GGATGCTGTAGCAAGAGTAAAGATACATATTCTGAGTGATTCAATAGTCTTGCTGCACACTAACGCAAATATATTTCTGTTACGTTTCGTCTGACGAGAGTCAGACTTCCTCACACATACGCAGTTCAACATAAATAGTTGAACAATCATTAAAGTAGCCATCTCTGATACTTCTGATACATTATTATAATACTACGGAAGACTTTGTCACCGATCACATAATATATACTTTAATCAGACATTCGATAATCGTTTCACATTTATGTATGTGTTCAACACGTATACGGTCATTATGATTTTTTCTATACTGAATAATTTATTGCGAACAGAGCAAGTAGTTGAACAAAAACAAAGTTATTAAAAATTGAAATACCACAGCCTTGTTTTTGTTCGCCATCTTGGTCTTTCAGTCATTGCTACTCTGGGATTGCCCCGGTCATAGAATAGGTGTGACTGCTGTTACCCTAAATTTAAAATTGTGTGGAACCATGAAAAACGTACGTGTTAGACACAAGTCTATAGATAACACATTATATGTTAAATGGCGCATTATAACTTGGGTTCAATTTGCGAACAGAACGAATTGATGCTTCTTCATCTTTAAATTTTTAACCACTTCCCCCATGTTATTTTGAAATATCTGTAAGCAATGTATCATGTTTACATTTTACAAATGACACCACACTCAGTTGGACTCCAACAGGGCTGTTGGACTTTTGTTCAGCCGCGTTTGAGGCCGATTATTTGTTTTGTCAAACTAACCTTCGGAGAATAGAATAAAATCAGATATTGTTTTTTCATATCAAACAGATTGTGAATTCTGACGCCACAATTAAAGCTCAAACAACCTTTTTATTTTTATGCATTGCATTGGCGAAATGTATCTAAAATGTAAACATTTTTAACGCGTCAGGTAAACTTTTTACAAACGAATGGCACCAATGCCGTTGTGATATATTCTATAATAACTTTATATTATTGTTGAAGTGTAATTCACTATTTTAGAGTTGGAAAATCAATGCTACGCAGTCCTGATTTATTGTTCACCATGTTAGAACACGAAATTGTGTACATGTGTTCGAATGAATGAATGTTCGCTTTATTTTGTGCGATATTTGCTGTAACCTGCGACTAGAAGTCGCAGTACTGTTGTTACTGATAACATCATAGCTATGGGATTTCAGGTAATTTATCTACTAATATTTCTGTTGGCAAAAAGACTTGGTAGGTTATAAATCTCAGTTATGCGATTTCAGAAAAATAGAGCACTTGTTGTCATATTAAAAGAGAACGCTTTGCAAGGTAAAGGATTATCGACAAACACAAAAAAAATCATTTATGTGCCGTCTAAATAATTAACTTGATGTGTGAACGTTTGCAAAGATTAATTTCATAATTTTGACAAAAATACTTTTAATAAGTTTGACAAATTAGGACGATGATAAATCGTCATGCCGATTTTAATTAGCTGATTGACGATGTTATCATGCTGTGAATCTACGAGCAGCTGACAAGTTGGTATAAGATTCGATGGAGAGAATAATTGAGCATTGATTATTGATTCATTAATAAATTTCCAAATTCCGACCATTACTTTCAAATCGGACACAATTCGACGGGTTTAGGGAATTGGTTCTCTGTTCTACATCACATTGAGGACCAATCTAACTATCGTAACTGGCCCGTACATTACTATTTTTGCCAGCGTTTGATAGCCCTGATGTCATAACCAGTTGTAAACGGGCTACCTTTGCACATGTCGTTCCGGAATTTATTTCAAGCTTAAGCGCAGTGGATTTTGCAATGGTAATCTGTTTGTGGTGCGCGTGATGTTTCTTCCTGCAAATAGTTATTGAGATTTGAGAATTATTTCATTTAAAAAAAATACCTGATCAGAAAAACATGGCCTGGGTAGATGAAATTATCCTCTCTGGTGTGAAGTAACGAGTGCGCGGCGCTCGTTTAGAACACGAGATTCGTAATTCATAAATGCGTTCTAGGCCTTATCAAAATATTTCTTGGTCATGACTTGGTAGAAACCCTACGCTGTGTTCACGAACAAGTACTTTGTGATTGCGTAAGAGGAATTAGTTGAACCAAAATGAGACTGTGAATCAAAGTAAAGAGTCAGTCCTGTTTTTGTTCATCAGTTTTCTCTTTCGGCGAATACCCCTTTATAATTGCTGGTGGTAGGTGTGTTCGAAAGAGTCACTTTGGTGTGTTCGTAAGGCGGAACAAACTTTTCAGCGTTTACACTATAAACTGCCTTGTTGATATACTGTAGTAATAATTATGCTGGATAAAAGGTTTTTGGTGTTGGAACGAACGATCCCCGAACGCAGGAAAAATTTGATTTCAAATACTCTAAAACAGACGTTTTCGATGGTTTGAACCATTAACAAAAATGACGTATCGAATATCGGGCCATTTTTAAACTTTGAAAAATGTATTGTAGTTTAATAGTTCAATACCAAAGGAGAAATATATTTTGAAGTTTCGATACATTTCATAATTTTTGTTTTGTCAGCAATCAGTTGGACAAAATCAGGACTGTAAAAAATCGTCGGTTCTGTTTTTGTGTAGCTTCATGCTGATTTAACGATGTCATCTGTAATATGTGACAACTTCGCAGCGTTAATGTTTTTCAAATTAGATTTTATTTGTGCACAGTTAGTATTTTGCTAAGTCCATAGTTTTACTTGCGATCAATCATATTGTCCAGTCGGTAGTTTCCCAATACTACTTGCTGACGCTTCTATTGCTGTCAAGCTCAGTCGATCAGCTGAAGATGGGCCTAACTAACCTAATAAATGGGATAGCATGATAAATAGAAATTGTAACGTAAGTATATTTCAGTATCGTCTCTAAGATAATATTAATATATATATACCAATATAATATCACTCAAATTTCGACTGAAGTATTGTATAAAAAGGTCCTATTGGTTTTATTTAACCTTATCATTTTATTAATAAACCAGTCGATAAGTTTCAAGGTTAAAGGACTTTCAATAGGTGCTTACATTTTTTAATATCAAATCCAGGTGCAATATTGTCCAACATCGATATTCAAGTTGTCATAAAAAAACAGTCACTGTCAAGTAAAAACTATATGTGAAATGAAGAAACTGCCGACTTTTCAATTTGCGCGGCCATTTTGTTGAGCGTCCATTGGAGAAAAATGAGAGCATCGATAAAACATCATTTTATGTTTGTTTACGCCATTTTAACCTCGTAGTGTTCTCTAATAAAATTCGCTTCACGCTCCCAGCTACATGCCCTCACATACACGCAGTTAATTTCCTGTTACAAAAGAACACCTCGGAATTCCTAAAATAATTGAAAGGTGAAATCTAAATATGTCGGGGTTAGAGTCCTTACTTTTTTAGTTTTTAAACTATTGTATTGACAAAAAAACTTTGAAAACCCTCAATTTGACAGGTATATATTCAAAAACTATAAATTGCCAAATTTTCCATGAAACTTGTACCTTTTTAGTTAGTTGTCGCCTGTCGGACGGACCTATGTTTATTATTCATAATGACAACGTCAATAAGAATGTATAATGGTTATATTCATGTTATAACATGGCCTATTTTGAATTTCAACTTGACAAAATTGGGGTACAGAATGCCAATCGTGATTGGCTGACTCCAGCCGACAGGCCTTCGAGAATTTTTAGTTAGGGTTGTGTTTACAAGAAATGCTCGTTGACGTATTTGCTGGTAGGCTCACCACTTTCCATGTATGAACTTGCCAACTTGACGTGTAAATTGGAATTCTTTGCATCCGGGGCGAAATATAACACGATATAATAAAAATTAAAACAACATTTAATCCAGCATACATTTTATACTTTTCATTGCATGTACTTATGGATTACGTACTTAGATGAAATCATTTGCAATTTGTCCTGTTAACTCCACTTTATATTCAGCCTTCGAGATCTCACGAGCAAAATTGTATATAAAAGTCAATACGATATAGTATCATGATTTGCATTATATGAGTTGTACAATAATGATGAGTGTAAAATACTTACTTCAGTCACGTCATTGTTCAACTCAAATAATTCTATTCACTATCAACATATGTGAACCTGTAAAGTAGTGACTAAAACCTTGCTTCCAGAACTCAATCCGCGTTTTTCATACTGAGAAAAAATTTTATTGAAGAAAGGTGAGTATGAATTTACCGAGGTAATGATATGTAACACTCGAATCATCATGAAGAAAAAAAGCTAGGACGAAGGAATGTATATAACAGTTGATTGACTTTCTTCCAAGACGTACCCGTCCGCACCATTTAAATGGCGACACCCTTTGCGTTGCGACTCCGTGACCCGGTTGTGAGAAATTTTGATAAAAAAACTTTTGCACATGCATGTTGTAGTGCAGCGATTTTCCAAAGGGTGCAAGGCGACGAGTTGCTTAAGTGCGCCTGCGAAAATTAAACAAAATTGTGTTGAACATAACCAAAATAAGATTGAATATTTTACATATGTATTTATTATTAAATGTTTATTGTTTCTTATTTTCGATGCCGTGTATATGAATCAATAAATTTAACAAGTTTAGCTAAAATGAGTGATTTTTTTAGCATTTCAAAGGAAAATCTGGCAGAGATGAGGAAAAAGAGTTGACTTTTATTCCTAGACCTACGCGATTTTGACGACTCAGATTTGGAGGCTATATTTTATGGATTGAAAGCGAGTTCACAAACCAGAACGAAATATTAACACACATGGCACAACGCTATTAACTTTTCTTGGCAGTAAAGTAGGAGCGTTTTTTATTTCATCACAAAATTTAACAAAAATATTCATGACTATGGTTTGTAGAATTCCCAGCAACCCCGTCGATGTCGAATCATCGTGATCGCAGGATCCTTAATAAGTGAATATTCCTTGTAATACAAAAATTGTCTTAATACTAGAGAATTCGATCCCCACTGGAGCAGAGCTTTTGTAAACTTGTTTAGCTAAACATAGTTCACCATAAATCACAGTCAAACAGAAGTTGCAATATTTAATAAGGTAAACTTAGATTGTAACAAATAAAAATGAGGAAATATGACACGGTTTTATGCTTTTGAGCAAGATCATCCACATATCAAATACGCTTGCTTTGGCTTCATCCTGAAGACAGTAAATACAAAACATATGGCCATGTTAAGGAATAATGAAATCCATGATACGACTACTACATAATATTGCGACAGCCAATATCATTGATTCCGACAATTTTGGTCATCAGTAAAGCAATGAAATTACTTTATTATGCCATTGACACCGAGCAATAATATAGTTGCAACACGTTTTCAAATATACCACACAAATTTTAAACCACTGTATCTCTTTTACAAAATAGTATAAATAGGCTAGTCAGTAGCCCCAGACAGCTGTAAAACATAACCGAAGTGCCTCTTCCAACCCACTGTATTTGCAGGGTCCCTACAACAAAATACCTGTGTCATTTCTCCCAAGTCGTTCCACGCTGCCCATTTTGCTTGTGCAACAAAGTTGAAAGCACCAGGTTTATCTGTTGTGTTCTCCCAAAGTTGCCTGTGATAAAACACGTTCGATGTTGTTGGATAGATGCAGGTATCAAATAAACTTGATACGGTTCCACCTACCTGCTTAACAAACCATAAATCTTCAGTTTCGCACTGTTATCTGGGGTCTTCTGTCAGTGTACCCAATTTTTGTATCGCAGCTTCAAATTTCCCATCAATTCCTGAATTGCATATTGAGGCTGAAAGTCTGATGTGACGAACACATATCCGCCTGGTTTAGAAAAATATGGGCATCTAGGCTAAGTTTTTGGGTCTTGGTATAGTTTAGTACCACATCCACTTCTAGTTGGGCCTGGCTCAACAATTTTGCATATGTCAATCCTAACCCCCACCTGACTACGTCATCGACAAATTACGTCATTCCGACGTTACAGTGGCGTAATAAGTCCCACCGAATTATGGGGATGGTCGTCCAAAACGCGCAGACGTGAACCCGAAATCGAGCAAGCTATTTCTCTCGTTTTCTCGTCGCAACGATCACGATAGGAGAGAGATCGCCGGCTTTAGCAAGTTCTTATCGGCGGCGCAGATGCCATTTCGGGCGATCGTAATTATACTTTGGCAATCCCTATGACGAGATGGTGACGTCGTAGTGACGTAATTTTTGGATGGCATAGTCAGGTGAGGGTTAGGAATAACTTATGCAAAATCGTTATGCTACGCCCACTGGAAATACTCGTGGTACTAAACTATACTTGACCCAAGCTTTTGATTTCATATTTATCTGAATGTAATCTTTGCCATTACACAACATCTGATTTGGCTTACACGGGCCTGGCGCAGATATATTCTAACAACACATTAGTTAAAATCACCTTGATCAACCCTAAAACACAACCATAGATTCATACCTGCTTACGGAAAGAGCTGTTCGAACAGTTGAAGACAACATATTTCAATTTCAACAGAAGTATCTCACACCTCACTGCTATGCTGAACAGAACGACTGACCAAGAACAGTCGTTAGCTCTTGCTAAGTGGACGAGGTGTGCAATTTGAACCCTGCAAATTCATTGGAGCATAAGGACGATTGTATTTGCTTTAAATTGTAATATGAGAGAAGGGGTCTCGTGTAGTTCGTACCTAACCTACTTCTAGTAGGCGTAGTATAACAATTTTTTGACATGCCAATCCTCAACCTCCAAAAATTACGTCACTACAACGTCACAATCAAGTCACAGAGCTTGCCAAATTCTCGCACGATCGCCCGAAATGGCATCGGCGCCGACGAAAAAGAACTGACTGACGTCAGCGATCTCTCTCCTATCCATATCGTTGCGACGAGAAAACGAGAGAGATGGCTGTTCTGCTTCGGGTTCTCGTCTGCGCGTCTTGGATGACAGTTCGTATAGTTTGAGGGGCTCTATTACGTCGTAGTGACGTAATTTTTGGATGGCGTGGTCAGGCGGGGGTTAGAATTGACACGTGAAAAAATTGTTATGCTACGCCTACTAGAAGTACGTTAGGTACGAAACTACATGAAACCCGAAAAAAGTGCTTGGACGTCAAGAATGTTCAAAGATTTCATGAACGTCACTCGGCCCCAACGTTCGCAGAAGCCTATTTTGTATCCTTCCCATTCTATATTTCACTGGCTTCTAGTTAAACTAAGCACTCATGCCGGTTAAGAGACTATCGTGCACAACACAAAAGAAAATCACTAAGCATAATGAGTGAACGCTTTCCTATTATTGGGTATCCTTGGGAAAACACGGTACTTGACAAGCGTGGAACAACTGCGCAAATATCTAACCTATTTGGCGAAAACACAATTTTAATGTAATCACAGTATTCTGCTTCTCCCAGCGTTACCCGATACCAAAAGCGAACTTCACCTCCATCTGATGTTGCCTTCAGTCTAATTTGTCAAAGAATTGAGTCATCCAAACGAAATGCTCAACTAACCACTAGACGAGGGTAAAACTGGGTGGATCCGTGAAATACTATTTTTACGTTGATAAGTGCTGCACCAAAAACTTGTCAGCTTGTCGCAGAAACACTCTAAAGGAGGTGCCGACAAAAGTGTTATCAATTTTAGAAGTGCGCACGAGATGGAAGTTATGTGTCACCATTTCACCCTTGTTATTAAATCCACAGCTGGACATAGCAACGACTTCCGAGAATCGGGGTTTGCGGACAACAATACCGCACCTGCACTTTTCAGACACGATTGCCGCATTTGCAATCACATCTTTATACTTTATACCAAAACTCATCTGCTTCGGCCTTTGCCTTTTTCAATTTGGCGGTTCCTATTGCAGTAACAGCTGTAATACCGTTTGTGTTATACGAACATCACGACATGGTTTAGGGCGGACTAAGATTTTCTGATATCTGAATTCTGCTTCACAAGAAGTTCCTGGCTACTAAGTTATTATACATCAATAAATGCAAATTTAACAGATTTTGCTGCATTTTGAACTTCATAACATTCATCCTAATTGGAACAAATAATCGAACATATTCGCAGCAGTGAAAAAAATGAACAAATTAATTCATGCGAGCATTATATACATAATCTGTGCAGAAATGAGATCGTGATAAGCTATATAACAAAGGCAAAAGACATTTAATCTGCAATTACATGTGCCCACAGAAGTTTACTTTCACTCAAAACTTAGCATTAAACATTATTTGGACAAATGGATAGCAAATTTCGTAGGGTGACCATACTATAAATAAACTGAACATGAGCCATGAATAGTTAATATAATAATGGAATAATATGGAAGGCAAAGCCAACGCTTGGCTATTTATTAATAGAACTTGACACTTAACAAGAGGTGCGTTCTGTGCCTTCACCATGAGTAATGTATCAAAATAAGGCATGAAGTAAATGAATTTCTCGATCAGAAAGCTTCTCTCGCAACATTGCGTTTACTAACTCCTGATTGGAAATTGACTTTTGGCATCATAACATTTCAAGCTTTCCTTATAAGTTCAGGGCGATAAAACGAACTATTCCAATCAATAATTGATGTTTGGGATTTTAACAAAACAAAATCTTATAGTGATAGTGTACGCTCTCTTCTTTATCTGGCATTACTTGCGGCGCATATGCTCATAATAAAGAAATTAGGACGACACTTTTGAACTGTATACAGATTGTAAGATATTTTAGAACACAGCCTTTCAACTTGTGTCCATGGTTTCAACAGATGTTGATGCAGTCAGAGATGTCGCTGTTGAATCTTTTTGCACGCTTTCAAACATAGATGATAGTTCTGCGCTTGACCTCACCTGAATGATATAAAGAGTTGGTGATATTACGTAGCCAGCGTGTGGCCTCGACTATGTTAGACCATGTCCATGTCGGGTGTGGGATTAGCTAGCCGGTTATTCGATTTTTCAGATGCATTGACTTAATTTCCAGTGGAGGGCCGTGACTGAAATGAAGGTATAAACGAGACATAAAAAGTTCTAGGGAAATCCACTGAATTTATAACAAGTTCGCCTTATATTAGGCATACCTAAAGTAAACAATTATTTCACATGATTAGACTAACAATACGATAGTTCCTGTAGCGAGGTCATTTATGCTCAATCAGGCGTGATTTTAAACTATGCCTAGGTTCAAATAGTGAAAAAGAGAAAGGACAATGCAGTTCAAATGTATTATTTTAAAAAATCAACCCCACGTTATTGACCTTACCTGGGCTAGGAATTCACTCATGACTGGTGATTTATCAGCCTCAGGAATATTAAGTAAAGCATGTACTGCACGTAATGCAGATCTCTTCAATTCATCTTGCTTTTCAAATTCCTGTTTTACTGAATCTGCTTTCACCTACAATATATCGTAAAATAAACAAATCTGAATTATTTCATCAGGCAGAAAGATCTTGAGAAAAGTAGGCAGCAATAATATTTCTTAACTTTAATCCGAGGTACTTATAGTTTGAATAGCCTTTGTACATTGGAATTAAATTACCAAACCATTAAGACTTATCCAAATCAATATAAAATGCTGAGATGAATTTTAGCGTACCAAATTATCCAGCCGTAGACAACAATACAAAATCAGGCTGATGCTATTTGAATTCCCATTAATGAATCCTCAATTTATCGTTGGCATTCTACAACAGTTAGCCGCTGAAGCCATTCCCAAATTTGACGAGATACATGTATATATGTGATATTTACCTTCACAGCACAAGTTGCACGTAATGGTTCTATGAGTTTGTCTAAGTGTTGTAAGACGACATTTGGACACAATCCTGCCAATCGCACCAACATCAAGAAAGTCAGCATCTGCAAATCAGAACACTGGTTGAAATTTTCGAAAATATATCATGAACAGAACGAATGAGATTTTCAGATTTATCCCAAAAGAGGAAACTGCATATGCCTTCCGAGTATTCCACAGAATATTTTGCAATGTGCACCATAAGAAAAGGAGCCAATTGTCATGAAGCAATGCAAATATTAACCATTATTCATCTCCTACTGCAAACTAGAAAACACTGTCTCTATTCATCATAAGAAGTTTAAATCTTAAATTGTATTGCAGAAACAAGATGGGAACCAAGAAAAGAAGTAGCCCTGAAGTGCATATTTATTATTCAATTAATAATGGAATATATTGTTATCAAAGAAAATAAAACCCAGTAATTACATACCTTTATATCATAACTGTCTTTCAATCCATTTTCAACATATTTCAAAAATTCGAATATATCAAGCTGTTGTACGCATGTGTCAAGTAATGTGTACATGCACTCAAATGCAGCCTTTCTAACATCGAGACCATCATCTACTGTGTGTTTGAAAGGACCCATCAAAACCTCTCTGAATAGAGAATAGTAGAGACAAACTTAACATACTCAACTTGACACTTGGGATACTCATAAAATTATCCATTCTTATGAATATTCGCGAAGCATAATTTCGTATACCTAATAACCATCAGTGCAATTGATCTACATTACATCTTAGACGAAGTACTTTGTACAATATGAACTTATAATGAATAAATTAAAATCAATTTCGAAAACAACTGCTGGATTATCAGAATATTTTATTTAGGTGTCAATGTTAAGTGTTAACTGATTCTTTGAAAATTTGATTCCAAATTGAAACCAAAATATATACTCTTTCTGTTTTGCTATAAACTTAAACTATGTTACCTTATAAGCTCAGTCCTTATCTTAGTCTCGTTGTACAAGTGAGGAAGAATCTCAGGCAGCAGATCACGGATTAATGCTGGTTTATTATGAGCTGCAGAATTTAACATGGTTAGAGTGACACGACGTACATTCAACTCTCCATCCTGGAATAAGAAAAAAGAGACGATATAATTTATTCGAAAAAATTTGTCACACTCACAATAATGAGACTAATCACCGAGCGAAGTTATGAGTTAGGTAAAGGAGAGACTTGGAGCAGTTCATGTCAATACTGTTAGGAAAACAGATACAAGGTAGTCAGTTCTCACAAAAAATTTGCCTGAAACGGTTTTGTCTGAAAACGTCTTTCAATATTCAGTCACATTGCTCAAAGCAGACAATTTATACAATTAGGAATGGTAGTTTTGGTTGACAAATAATCAAATTTCAGAACAATTTTTGTTTAACATTTACTTTGTAAATGCACATATGTGACTTCGAAGGTTTCATGACAAAAGACCTCTTTACAGATTTTCCAGAGTATCAGAAAATATGTCAATGTACTCACCAACAGTAATGCTAAGAATTCTCCAATACATTCTTTCAATAATGCATCAACCAAAGTCGGTTGATCCGTAATTGTAAATTTGAATGCAGTGACGACTGTTGCCCGTACAAGCACTGAAGTGGATGTTAAATTTTGTCGTAATTCAGGCAACAATATGGTTGGATGAATGAGAGTCAATTTTCCAAGACATTCAGCTACTACATTTCTTGTTCCTGCAAAGCATGAGGGCAATATACAAATAAGATGCAGATTCGAAAATTTTTTCTATGACAGATGGAGAAGCATTTATTGAACCTCTCTTGCATTGTGAAGATTTTCAGAGGCGGGATTGGTGTGACAGACATACACTTGAGTCTGCAAAGACATTGTGCTTTGTTTGGATCGCTGCATTATCAGATTCATCAGTTCGCATCTTGTGAGGGATTATAATGCTAAAAGGCTTATTAGCATCCCAGGGTGGTCCATGCTAGTTAAATTATAAGTACTTTCACCATGGAAGCCCAAATATATGAAATGACAATTTAACTAATCGCAAACAAAAGAACATAGTCAATAGTTCGCATAATCGACTGTCTCTTTCACCTTACACTTGGTTACATCAGGTTACATCTTGAAAACCTGATTAACTGCCAGCACCAACTACTTTTGAGAAATCAAAACATACCCATGAGAAGGTATGGATTTCTGAGATGAGATTCATTTTTAGATTTTGTGTGTGTAATGGTTTGCAAAAACAAGATGTCTAAATCTAGACTCAAATTATGACATATGCATGTGTGACATGATGTAATTATCCTTTGTTACACTAGATACAACACTTGCCTTCTTCTTCGCATTCACAATGCTTAAAAAGTAGTTTCCAGATATCGACAACATATTTCTCTAGGACAGAAAATTCTGACAGACTGATGGTTTCTTTGAGAGCATGCAGTAGTAGATATTGACTTTTTGGCTGAATGTTAAAAAAATTTTAATGGAAAAATACAAACGATTTCAACTTATTGGTTTACCTCACGTATTTCATTAATTTGCATATTGCTACATTGATTGTAAAAAGTGCATGTTTGTCAAATGTTTTTTTAACCTAGATTGAATCCTTGCTATAATATTGAAATAGGTTGACTTAGAGCTAGGCAAGCAATTAGAAAAAATTGTCCAATACCCCTGGCGTATGTAATAATCTGTAAAAAAAATGCAGTTTCCAGATCTGAACCTTGACAGCTAGTTGTACATCTCAATTCAATACACACATAGAATAATATTTGCTCACAATGTTTTCACAATGTGACAATATTGTTAATTCAGTGCAGCTTTATACCAACCAGCGAATTAAAATATCTGTAGTCAAGTACCTGGTTATGAATTTCCTTCAGAAGTATTGGTAGATAATGCTGTAGATTACCAATACTGACACGACCAAGTGAAAACGATGCAGCAGACTTGACTTCTTCACTAGATGCTGCAAATGCTTTCATGATAACCTTAATACATACAGAAATGGTAATAAAATAGGTTGTTTGACAACAGTTTTCAATCTGATACTTTCTGATTAGTTAGCCAGGCAATCAATCACTCATGCCACCAAAAAACATAAGCTTGAACTATATATTATACTCATCTTTAAATTTTGTATTCCAATTTCCAAACCTCTATTATTTATCAGTACAGTGTTCATATTATTTTGCTAAAAAAAATGAAATCTAAGCATCAGGGTTGCAAAATGTTACACACAACATATGCCAGGACTATGATTCTTATCAATATTTCTATAATACCTTTTCAATATCTGGGAAAGGACTCAAGTCAACTCTCAATCCAATTTCACCAATCGAAAGAACGGCGAATGTACGAATTGAATCACTAGATTTTGGATTAGAAGTATCCATGACAAATTGTCGAACAATGTTGTCAGTCTCTTCTGGACATGCATGAGTCAATGCAGAGATGCATTTTGCTGTTGAATAAAAATAAATATTGCTTATGAAAATTCGAAGTTATGAGTGTACGGACTACAGGTTTTGAATGTTGTTGGAGTTTTCTGATTTCTTCGTTTTATTTTTATCGAAACCAAAATAATGTCCTTTTTATTATATGTATTAATTAATTATTATTCATCTTCTCATTTGATTAATTGATGAATTAAAATCAATTGAATATGGTCTATGTTGCCTTTTTTAGGAATAGTAGAATATATAAAAAGTATTTTAGATGTAAAATAAACATGATTACAGAAAATACATGACACTCATACATGGCTTTTGCTCCTAACATGACAAATATCAAGTCCTTTTGAATATGACTAGTGCAATAAATAACAATTTCATCTTTTCAATCCCAATTTTAAATAGTTCTTATGAAACTATGTCAAGTCTAACATATTACCCTGCATTTAGTGAAAACTCAGTGAAATCTATTCCAGATACCTACCAGTTGAATGATAAGCTTGCTTGCTCAATGTTTGTCTAGCTTGTCCTGCTGATGGTGGCGGAGACATGGAAGCTCTTGCTTGTTGTTTTGTTTGTTTTTCCGGTACATAAATTGGTTCGATTAGTTTTCGTAAAACTTTATGAAATGAAATCTCACTTCCATCCGATCGTGCTGCCTGGCAAGTCACCAATGTCTTGAAGAAATCCAAAACAGCTTTCAATGCTCCACCTAAACAATAGTATAATCAGGATAAGATAAACTTAGGATAAACTCTCTTCATTTTTAATAAAAATAAATCAAACCTTACGCAGGCTTTGAATATTCAAATGCAGCAGAATTGGGGGTCGTACAATGACGACAATGTTTTTTCATGGGATGTTTTTAACGTCTTTACTTGGAACTAAGGTTACTAAGGTTAGATTTGGATTTAAAAGTAGATCTGCGTACCAATTAGATTCCTACCTAAAAATCACTAAGACGTTGAATACCCCACATTGGAGCACAGCATATGTACCAATAACGCAAACTAAAAAACATTCAATTGAAAACATATAATACTCACCTTGCAAAAGTGATGACTGAACTATCACATACACAGTTGGCAAAATATCGCTTGTTAAATTGGGACGGGCATCGAGTGGTGAGGGCCAGTTGGGACCTCCTGTTAAAAAAATTTGAGTGATTGCTTTTACAAATGTGGAATATTAATATAAAAAGACAAAACATCACAATCTTTAGATCAGGAATGTGCAACAGACCACAGCCTGGCCCGCCAAGCCATTTAGTGAGGCCCTTGTCAATACTCAGATTTTTCCCTGTCAAGCATAAAATCCTCTAATCCGACAAGATTATATTTAAAAAGACACTCATAAGGATTGAAATACCTGTTTTCCAGCTCTTGTCGCTGCGTTTAATCTTTCGCCCTCTGTTTGTCTGAAGTTGGCTATATGGCCCACCAACACAAAAAGTTACACACCTCTGCTTTTTAGATCATATAAAATGCTCTAACATTTAGGTACAGCAATTATATAACAAAACAAGGCAGACATGAATTTGGAACTCATACAACTGCTGAAAACACCATGATTCAATCTTTTTGACAAAAACTTCTTGATGCTTTGCGAAATTTCTATTTACAAATAATGCAGAAGATACATCCTCTATCGAGCTATGTCCAAGAAAAGAAGAAAGATTATTAATCCTCTACCTGCAGATGCAGCAGGTGTATTGATCATCAATGATAAAAGTCTTATAGCAAGCTGAGTAATATGGAGATCATTTTCATTAATCAGAGGAGCAAGTTCCTGTTCAACATCATGGATCATTTTAACTGTTATATCCCTGTAAACACAGTTTTTTTTATAATGCTTCCACTTTTCAGAAACAATTGGCAAATTTTAGCCTACGTTTTCCAGTTTGTCACGTGGTATAGTTTATTCAAATGCAGAAAGTAACTATTTTCAAGTTTCCACTTGTTTTCGAGTGCCTGAAACTTGGCTTTGAACAATAATAAAGTATAACATGCACAAGCATGAACAAGTGATTAATGTGGTCTGCATGTACGGTAAATACACATAAACAATCAAATCATTATTGGTCATTGCAATTATACCACCCCATGGCCACATGGACAAAGGGCAGAATTATTTCATTGTTGTCTGGCAAGGATAGAACATTTTACCGATTTCGAATTTAATATCAGACAATTACTCCTAGAATTAATTCAGTGTTTTGTCATGAAGCAATTTTAAAATCACATATTCATATTCTTACCCAGGATAATTGGTGAAAATACTTTCAAGACATCGAAGTGTAGCAATTCTTAACGAACGTTGATTCTTTCTCAAAAAATTTGCCATAATCGGCATTGCTCTCGCTAGAATATTGTTCAGAGAAATCATAGGTTTTTGGGGTGAAGCAATTGTATGTAACGCACGAACTGTCGTCAATCGTGTGATTTCATTTTTTAGTCGATCAAGAAATATTTCCAAAGTTTCTGGAACGTGAGAGGCAAGCCTGAAAAAATGGGTAATGTTAATATACTACACCATACAAACAAACCAAAGATGGTTATCATTGATTTACAAGAAAATCAATGCACATTAGAAAATATATATTTCCAAAGTTTCTGGAACGTAAGAGGCAAGCCTGAAAAAATGGGTAATGTTAATATACTATACTATTCAAACCAAAGATGGTTATCATTGATTTACAAGAAAATCAATACACATTAGAAAATATACATTCAAGCTCAAAAAATTCAGGTTTTCTTATCCGAACGACAGTTACAAGCAGATATGTGGTCAGAGTCGGCGGCATACTTGCCAAAATAATTCCAGCAAGGTAGGAAATGTCCCAGTTTCCAAATTTTGTTAATTAGCTTCAGAGATAAAATGAAAAAATTCCTTAAAATGCTTGGTAATGTCGTAAATTATTATCCTGTGGTTCTGACCAGGTAAAAATATAGTTAACTTCCAATTAGTTGACTCAATCATCATGAGTACAACTGACATACACTGCTGAAAATTAGGGAGTATTGAGAAATAAAATTGAGATTTTTCACTTATTTAAATAGCTGTAAGTCGATTTGATCTTTATGGTGATAATACAATTCTTATTAAAGACCTAAATCTAAATTTGAATAACAAAGACCATTCTTTATAAAAATAACCTAAACTCATTTCAATTGCTATTAATGAGTAATGCTCATGAGTGTAACATACTTGTCTCCCGCAGAAGCCAAAATTTGTCCCATGCAAGTTATTGCTCGTTCTTTGACTTCTTGATCAATGTCAGATGCTTTCAATCGATGGAAAGTCGCATCATAAAGATTTTTTATCAACGATTCAGGACTAGCAGCTAAATTTCCATGACATATCACCTTAAAGTAAAAAAAATACCTAAAAATTGTAAAGGGAATGAGGGGAAGTAGTTTCTTGTGCCAAATATTAGGTGGCAAGGATAATAAATTGGTCATGCTTTTTAATAACTTCCTAATTTTTTTTATCATAGTTTTACAAATTCACCCGAAAAAAAACTCCAAACAAGCAGACACTTAGACACAAAAAGACAAGAGAGAGACATTTTGCAGAGTATAGCCACACAGATGGATGGTCATCTACCGAATTGTTCGAGTATAGAGTCGTTCAACGACCGAGGTATCGCTGTACTAACGATTATCAAAAAGGTCAGCTAAGAAATTCTAACGAAAACATTTTTAATCGCCTGCTATATGCTGTCATTTTCTAGTTAATAGTGGAAATATATGCTAATTACCTTCACAAGATCTTGCATAACAAGTAGAGCATCTGAAGTTATTTTATAGAAAGGATCTTGAGCTGTTTGTACAATTGCGGGCACAAGTGCAGATACAAATGGATGAATAACCTGGAATAAAATATATATAAAAAAACTAGAGTATAATATTATTCTAAATATTCAATAATATTTTATATTGAAATAACAATCAAAAAAGGGAATATTATAAAACTACCCACCAGATGAAAGCCAAAAAGTAGTTTTTTATTGGACTGATTGATATGTAAGAAGAGAGGCCATCACTGATCAGAAATGGTGTTTTTAAACAATTTAAGAAAATCAGCATAAATTTCACAGTAAAAAAGACAAATTTCACATTAAAATAAGGGTTCGAGTCAAAGGTTAGCTAAAAAAAAATTGACCTTGCTACGAAAAAGTTAAAATTATTTGCAAAGCAGAATTTTTGTAACATCCTCTCTAACCAAAATAACAAATTACCTCGGGATCATGATGAGTGAGAAGAACATGAACAAAATTCAAGGTGTCAATTTTTAGGTTTGAAGTATTATGTCGATCCCCAGATAAGCAATGTTGTATTCCAGGCATCAAAACAACCAAATGTTCAGATAAACAACCAGGGACTGTCAGAGCAAGTTGAGTCAACAGGGAGAAACAGCATTGTCTTGTCTTGACACTTTTATCTTTAAGATTCTTGTATATAGCTGGAGTGAGAGAATAAAGAATTAAAATAAACAAACAATAATTCATAAGCAGTCTGATACAGCAAGATAATGATAGCATCTTGAAAATTTTTTCTCATAAAAACAAAATATACTACCATAAAATACCACATTCCACAATTATATATACCGTAAGACTCTTAAAGCCTACATATGGTCCATCCTTCTGTACGGATGTGAATGTTGGACGCTGACAAAAGACCTCGAAAGAAGACTTGAAGCAGAAAGAAATGTGGTAGGTATATCAGACGAATTATGAGAATATCGTGGATGGAAAAAAAGCCAAACGAAGAAATAATGGAAAAGGCCGGGTACAAAAGTTCCCTAATTAAAACCATCAGGAAAAGACAACTACAACTTTTTGGGCACATAAACAGAGCAAATGGGATAGAAAAGCAAATACTGTGTGGAAAGATTTGTGGTACCAAAAGTAGGGGAAGACAGCGCACAAAACACACCGACAGTCTGAATAATTACGTAACGAAGAAAGAATCCCCCAACAATGAACTCATCAGGAGAACTAACAACAGATTGGAATGGAAGGCCATGATCGCCGATGTCTGTAACAGACCTGGTACATGAAGAAGAAGATATACCGTAATAATCATCTGATTTTGACAGACCCTTATTATTTTCCACATAGATCAGCAACCAATTTATTGTTGTTATTAATTAGCAACCAAATGTTTATTGTGCAAGTTCTAAAAGCATCACGCAAGCAATGTAAATAACTTCCCTACGCTACAGGGGCGAGGAGTCCAGCAATGCTCTCGGACATAATTATTCCAACAATCTGTGAATCTGCGAACCCACACAGAGTAATTGGAGATGCAATGGCAAACATATTCGTAACGCTTAGCATGCTGCGCTAACTACTAAGAATAAAATCATAAACTCATCTACCTATGAATGGCAGATAACCATACTTAGAATAAATGAGTAAGCACTCAATATTACTTGCATTACTGGTATCAAGATATAAAAAAGCATAACCAACCTTTTACAATGCTTGGTACTTGTCCTGCCAACAGTGACAAGGGAGTGTCTTCTGTTTCCATGGAAATATCTTCTTCTCCAGATTTAGTGGATGAACTCAGAACGTTTCTGGTGTGTCTCACCAATGAAATGTAAGCAGCAAATACGTCAGATTTTACATTCTCTTCTCTTTCCTAGGGGAAAAATAACATGCCATTGCAACAAATAATTATCTATGGCATATCTTAACTCAATTTATTGAAATTGCTGGCCATAAAGCATAGTAAATGTAAAGATATTTCTGTTCGAATGATACATAATAAAGCACATAATATATGTCTTGATGATTTAATACATTTTAGACACTCCACCAACCAACATGGTGAAATGCTCCACTATTTAAATTGTCACAAGCCATGACATAATTGGTGAAAGAGTTAAAGAGCACTAAATGAGTAACAAAACAATATTACAATGCAAATAAGTCACCTCTCAAAATTAAATTGTTATTACCGGTATATGCAATCACATCTTATTAATAACACGAAAGAGCCACCCATTTACAATAATTTCTTCTTTTTTAAAAAACCTTCTACATAATCTTAGAATATGTTGAGCCATACCTTGAATCGACTAATGAGAGGTTGTGAGACATTTTTATAAAATTCGACTAGAAGTTCATGTCTGGTTGATACCACTGCTTCAATGCATTTAGCCGATGCCCTGCGAACCTGTTTCAAATAGCAATAATCGCATTGTTGACACTCAAAATATTTAACTGCTTAGAATTCATATTTTTGTCTGAATGTGCCCACATTAATAGAAGATTTTAAAAGCTAAACAGTTGTGTTAATATGGTATGGGAGTAATGTGGACATGACACGATAGTGCTTGGCAGTTGGCCCAAATGTGTTGCCGCTGCAAAATGTAGATTTGGAACTGTATGTCCCAACCAGCACAACATGCAACAAACTGGACATATACCATATATATCTAGGACTGGATAAATTTTTACTAACAAGGACTGAGAAGTCAGGAGTCAGAGACTGGCATGTTGTCACTGGAGTCGTAATTTCAAACTCCCAGCGGTGGAGTGGAAGTTCTAATTTACCCAGTGTTCCGAGTGTGAATTTCATTTTCGATAGTGATAAAAGACGTTTCCAATGAACACTATAATCTTTCAGTTTAAAAGCTTTCTTAACAGTTTATTAATTGAAATATTTTGTTTTTTTTATCAACATATGACTTCCTTGGAGTTCAGAGCTGAATCTGAATGTTTCAATTTCCACTTGAAAACAATCCCACCTTCCAACTCATGTCATCATCATCAGAATAATCATCTAAGTCATCGTCGTCATCAACATCAAGGTCATCATCATCATCCATTCCATTCTCAACGTCATCATCATCAGAATCGTAATTATAGTTCGGATCATAAGTCAAATACCTGGAGTTAGATTGAACAGGGTAATCTTGTAGCAAAAGTCAACAATACGTATAAAATATTGGTACTCCCGTAGTATGTGAACCAAGATGGCGGACAACAGAAAGCGGTATGTGTACCAGGTTGGGGTTAAAAAAATTTTACAGTATAGTATAATAAATGCGCAGCTTAATGTCATATAATGCAATACAAAGTGAGCATCACAAAGTAACCATTTTCAGATCATTCATAATCAGTCATGTTCAGTCATAAACTGACAATTGATAAACTGTAGGATTTTCGATATCTATTGATAACGAAATGCAAAATTTCCATAGAATTCAATATTTCCAATTCGAGCAGGGTAGTCAAAAGTACAATGGCAAGCATGGTCATTGTACTTAGCACCTGGCCCCTCACCTTGGGTAAATAACGTTTAATGGCTTCCAAACCAGCTTAAAAGTATCAATATTCTAGCAATATCTGTAAGGTTTGTCGCATAGAAAATGGTATTTTGGTTAAAAAAAGCAATATACATACTCGAGGCATAAATTAGTAATATCCGAGATATAGGGAGTCACTTCTAATGGACATTTTCTCACAAACAATTCACATATCTGAATGCAGTGTTCCTTCAATTCATCATTTTCCTGGACAATAGAAAAATACAACTTATTTTAGAGCAGAAAAAAGATGGTTAAAAAGACTATTGTTCAATCACACAGATTGGAATACTGTTCGTCTGAAGAAGTCTGACCTCAGGCAGACGGAACTTTTAATGATACATTGTGTCAGTGTGTAATAAATGCAGCCATCAGCGAAAAAGCATACAGGAAGGATATGTAGCCTCATATAACACAAACTGATAGCTATTTCCAGTGGGATTTGCCTAATCAGTAGCAATTATTTGGGCAGCAGTTACAGCTTACATATAAATTGTAACCATTCTTTACAGAAAAATTATACTACACCTGTTCTTTTTTGCAGAAAGTGCTGACCAATGGCATAATTTCAACTAAATATTGTCCGATTCTGTGTCCAGCTTGCCTGGCGATGGCACCAGTACATTGAACATATGTTTGTCTCAATTTCTTTGAATCTATATTGTCTCCACCTTTTAATTGAGTGACCAGATGACTTACAAGTTCAGTAAAAGTGGTGTGACTACAGGTGATAACCTGTAATAAAAGTAGTTTAACATTTTAGTAAATCTATAGCAGTGATTAGCAGCGTAACTTGCAAGAACTTAGGGACAAGATTTTTCCAGGTAAAGCACGCTAACGGGTATTTCACACAGTATTAAAAAGTACTTGAAAGTTAGATAAGAAAATATCCAGGGACTGCAGAGTGAAATTCTTGGCTCAAACCTTAATTAGTTATGTGTGAGATAGAGACTTTAAATATTAATTTAGACACAGTTTATTCCTCATTTACTGATTGAAAAACTGCTCAACAATCATCTTACCAAATGTCCGATTGCCGTAATAGCCCTTTTGCGAACAGCCATACGAGGGCTTTTCAGAAGTGGAAGCAACGAATCTTTCACTTGAGAATGAAAATTTGATAGAAGACCACCATGCTTGCTCAATAAATCACCTGAATTGGAAAGTTAAAAAATAGTTATACTGTTGATTATATATCATTGTATATTATGATGGAATGGGGACAAAATGTAGCAGGGCTTTTAACATTGTATATGGTTAATGTTTACTTTATTATCAATTTCCATTCTTTTTCCTACAAAAAATGGCTGACTGCACTCACACCAGATAACATCTCGAAATTTTTCAAGTGAAAGGGGTTTAAACCTTCCAATTTATAAAAAGTAAGAATCACAGAACTAACCACAAAGGTGACCTATACATCAATATAGCTTTTGTAAATTTGTGTAGCAATGAAAAAATCACGTTTTTATTATTTAATCGTAATTTGTATTATACAAAAAACTCAACAAACCTAAAATGTCAAGTGCTTCCAGTTGCACTGATTCATCAGTTTGTTTAGAAATAGCTGAAGTAAGTCTATTGGTTATCTTCTTACAAATAGTTCCAACTGTTCCATAATTTGATGTTGGGAGTTCGGTAATGACAGTTTTCAGACCAATACTAAAAACAGGTTAGACGATTGTTAATCAAAAGATTGCAAAATATAAATTCATTTCAGTACACAGAGTTACAAACATGGAGGGATGTTTATTCTGAAGTAGTTTGTTTAAAAATCTGCATTCATCGCAGTTGGGACAATTTTGTTCCCTATGATTACAGTTCCCCAAAATTGCAGTTCAAAAATCACTTGTTCAGTTCAGTTCAAAACTCAGTATTGTTCAAGTTAACTGCAAGAAAATTGAATGAAACTCAATCAAATCATAATCAGTTTTTTATTAAAATAGATTCTATGATCAAATTACCTTGATATATCTCTCAGTTGTTCTTTATCTGACAACATATTGTTGCACAAAGTGTCCACTATTGATTCAATTTGATATTCTTTCACCTTCCCAACCAAAGGTCCAAGACTGGAAAATATAACAACATAAGGGTAAATAAAATAAAAAAATTTTGGCAACTGAGTAAAAAAGCCATGGTCAAATTCATTCACAGTTTACACAGCAATCATCAATTCGAAAAGCAATTGAATACATCTGTGGTCAGCAACCTTCATGTACTGCAGGACCAAATATACACATTTACGGTAAAAGTGAGGTCGTTTGAAGACCACAGTTTGACAACCACTGGTGTCTATTACTATATTATCCAGTCTATTTCTTTGATCATTTTCAGAGATATTAGCCAATATGTAAATCCTTCTGTAGTGCTACTGTAACAGAAGTATCTAAACATTCGAAATGCTAAAATAATAACTATCGTAGGTTAAATTCACCTGCTCTAGATCAAGAGCCTATTGTTTATCAACATGTTTTGGACAAGAATCATGATGGCGTTGAACAATTCGATTTAACCGAGTTGGCATATTCATCTCAGTTTTAAATCCTGTGCCCAATATCTTAAACAGAGTGTTCTAAGTTGGGCAGGCAACGCCAAGTTTCCAGTCTTTTGTAAAATAGTAGCCTCCTACATATCAATAGATACCAGTGGCTGCTTGTATAGAGCCTTGTTGTATGAAAAAAAATTCAACAAACCTAACAGTTGTTGCATTTTTGGGTACTGTGGGTGAAAAGAAGTTGAAAACAAGTTTGCTTAATGGATACTATGTTTACGAATTTAGGATATGGGTAGAAAAGTCATCCATTCTCACCACTTCACGGCAAGATTCTGAACTTCTCCATTTTTATCTTCCAGCAATTTGAGAAGCATTTTAATAACCTTTCTTTCACTGTCATCATCCAATTTTATGGAGTCTTTCTGTAACTCAGTCATCAGATCATTTGTTGCCATGAATCTGAAAAATCATTTATTTTATGCAATGAGAAAAAACACAAGATTATTTTATATTCTCTTTCTATAAATATCTATAATGACTTCATGAAGCAAAAGGGGCTTCAAAAGAAGGAATTCCAGCTTGTAAATAAATGTGTGTCGTCTAAAATAAATTGTTCACATAAATACAGTTGAAGCAAATATGAATTCAGATTTTCTTTTCATAACTAACATGCAGACAGTCTTCTCCTCAATGAGAACATAACAGCATGTATCACGCAACTGAGAACATTGCAATCCGCTATGTGCTTTACAGCCACATTTGTTCAGGTAATGAAACCTTTAGCATAGCATAATAGAGAAGTATCTGAATTTTGTGCTCGCAATATTAACACAAAATCAGGTCATCCCTATCCAGATCAAAACAAATAAATAGTAATCCTTGCAAGGCAACGAACAGCCCAAAGTACATGTAGATTCAATCAAAAGATTAACCTGAAATCCTTATCACTTGAAGTCATCTTTTCCAATAAATTCGAGATATGGTATGACACATTCGCCATGATAATTTATGATTTTCCACTGTATATCAACATAAGATCTAGCAAATACTTTATAAATGAAAACAATAAAAAAGAAAGTTAAATTAAATGGGTCTAGTGTAGTTTCATACCTGAAGTACATCTGGAGGGCATAGCATAACAATTTTTGCATATGTCAATCCTAACCCCCACCGTGTCATCCAAAAATTATGTCACTGCGACGTCACAGTGACGTAATAAGGCCCCTGCAAATTTAAACAATACGAACTGTTATACAAAACACGCAGACAATCACCCGAAACCTAGCAAACTCGTTTTCTCATCGCATCCATCCTGATAAGAGAAAGATCGCTGTCGATAGCGAGTTCTTCATCGCCAGGCAGATGCCATTTTGGGCAATCTTAGGTATACATTGACAAGCTCTATGATGTGATTGTAACGTCGTAGTGACATAATTTTTGGATGGCATAGTCAGGTGGGGGTTGGGATTGACATCGTTATCCTAGCCCACTGAAAGTACTTTAGGTACGAAACTACACGAGACCAAATTAAATTAAGGGTCAAGATTTCCATTGAATGAATTATGTATGTGGGAGGTAAGGTGTAATGTGACATGCAGTGAACTACATTTTCCTCTTTCTTCTCAAAATCTGTACATTTTTGGGCAATGAAATACAGTAATTCCTTTTTTAACACATAGAACTATAACCATATAATGTTAGGTCAGAAGACTGAAAGGAATTTTGTTTTCTACAGTGCTAACACCTGACAAAAAGCTTAAAATATATCTCGTATTGCAGTATTGTAATTAATGAAACATGATATTTTATTTTTGTACCAACTTAATATGGAAATTTTTGGCTACCGATATAAATATGTTAAGTTAACGCTGCTATATCGCAATGTGACAACATTAAACCATTGACATTGTTACTGACTGTAGATTGGTAGACAATTGATTCTGTACTCTAAGACTCTGATCTGCTGGTCATTGCTGAATTCAGCAATTGCAGAATTGGCCTACCAACAGACCAATACAAAGCTAATGTCAACTGGCGCTGGGGGATTACTCTGAAGATAACTTCTTACAATATCATGATATCAGAATATGCACCAAAGTTACCCCAGCCCACACTCGCTCAGCCCACACTCAGCCTGACGTCAAGGGGTTAACCAACTATTTTACTGACTTTATAAACGTAATTACATAAAAACTTGGTGACTCTGACGATATAGAGACCATATCTGATATACACAACGCAAATACAATACCAAGCACGGCCCAGTTACCCCTCGCATGGCCTGACAAAAACGAGTGTGGGCCAGCGTCACACGAGTGTGGGCTAGCGTCACACGAGTGTGGGCTGGCATCCTACGAGTGTGGGCTAGCGTCACACGAGTGTGGGCTGACGTTCTGACAATGTTTCACCGTAAGTTAAGGCATCCTAAACGTTCACAGATTACTAAATTACATATATCCATGTTTAACTCAGCGCCAGAACCTCTCAAAGTCCGGCAATTGATGGCACAAAATAGCCACAATTGCCGGGAAAATAAATCGAAATCAGCTGAACAATGATATCTCTAATCACTGTTGCCAGATATATAGGTGGACAAGCATGAATTCACAGGAAGGTTTCACAACAAAAAAAAATTATATCTAAGCGAAATACCAAACCTATTCATTTCCATCAATAAGAATGAGATATGAACAAATCGAATCTGATTTGCACAAATACATCTTTTAAAATAAAGATTGAACAAGCAAATTCAAAAGCAAATTAAGTAACATTTACCCAAAGAGTTACATTGTCTTGATGGCTTTGAAGTCTGATTTCGGCACTTCTAATACTTTGTACGCCATGAAATCGACTTATTACATTATATATCCAATCTGAGCGAGTGTGGGCTGGGGTAACTTTGGTGAATATGCCAATACTGCAATAATATTTATTTATTACCACTGATTTGCAACTCACTTCACTAGTTCAGATAGAGAAATTGTTACGGTATGCCAGAGTTATGATATGAAATACTGAAGTATGAGCCAGACGTTAATTTAACACTGAACTCTACTGTCGTCAGATCGTTGAATCGTCAAAATGCCGAAAACAAAATGTAAATTTTTTTTTTATGAGTTGAAGAGCGACTTGCATTACCCAGTTCTGCAGTTACCGGTCATGCCGGTAGCCTACTGCATTCAGGCATTAGCCCATTTGAATCAAAGACCAATAGAGGATATTTTATTAAGATTTACAGCTAATTTTGATGCCCGTATCCTACCCACAAGGATATAGAAAAAGTTTAAGCCAGTACTTGCAGTAACTGCAGTAAGCTCCGAGGCGTTGGAATCGAACAAAGGTTGGCTTGCCCAATTTGCCCCAGATATATGGTGAGCCTAATAAACTAGTACAACAGTGCAATGGTGATAAATAATTGCACCGGTGTTCTCTGACTCCTAAATTAACAAATTTATAACAGACATCTACCGTACTGTAATATTAAATATAAAAAAAACATCTCAAAGCTCAACACAGCCCCGACCTCGCGCCTCGAAAACAATTGTGCTGCATGGAGTCCCTAACAAGCTCATCCGAATCCGAATAAAGAATTTCGTTTGTTTTTGCCCTTTTATTAACCATTCACATAAATATGTATTCCAAAAGTTGTAACACAATCAATGCATTCTTCGTGAATAAATACTAATACATTTTATTCATTACTTCTATGATGCCTTTGAAGTTTCATTATATACTCATTCCTAATCAAGGTCTTAGCGGTGGTGAGTCCAACCAGACAAAATTAAAATGATTCGTGCAAGATTTCTCCCCAAGCTTGAGATTAAAAGTTTATCAGGCTTATTATAACGAGGGGTTGGGGATCTTTGTTTTTCGACTTTAGAGTGACTTGTAATTGATTACCTACTTCGTCTGAGAACTTTGAAATCTATCTTTAAAGATTTTGGGTGTTCCAAACGGCATTGATAATCAAAACAAAAGAAAAAAATTGTGTCGTCATTTTTGTAGACGAAGTGAGCTCACGGTGCGCTTGGCTATTATGTTGTTTTTGTTCTTGTTGGCATTATTCGTCTTGTTGTTACAAAAAAAATCGCTTTTTTCATTCACTAATGAACCAATTGCTTTGAAATTACTTATATTTATTCATAAATTTGCTAGCAATTCTATGAGATATGATATTTCATCCAATTTTTGCTATATTTTTATTTTTCATGGAAACACGGTTTTCAATTCCAAAAGCGCGACGGATGTTTCCGATTTGACGCGAGGATACGCGAAACTCGGAGATTAATTGATATCGGCAGGTATGGTATGAAAAGTACTTTATTTTGGACTTCATGTCAATATATTTCAGCATCGCTCTCTTGTTATGCAAGAGTCATCATTCCAATTTTTACAATAGAATCCACAAAATCATAGTGGGATGTTGTTTGTCTACCCATGACTTAGACAAGTCAGGAAGGTCATTTTGATTGTAATCGGGCTGCATTTAGATGAATGTATATGTAATTTCTCCAATCTACTATTGCTAGATAATCTGATAAACAATTACGTTATGTATTTAGGTGATATATAAATAATTTATATATTTAAAAATAAAAAATTGCGATTTGCGTTGTTTATATGTACCATTATTTTTTAAAAATCACGGTATTCAAATTTCTCAGCGGAATACGGGTTTTTGTTGACTTTGCATAGTTCTCTTTAGCCTTATTGAGTATTTTTCTGAATTTATTCCCATCCTTCGGGAGCGATCTTTTGTTTTTAAGAATTACATTTTGCCGATAGCAGTTGAAAGATTTTTTTCGTTTCGCTGGGGCCTTAGCTTATTCCGGAGAATAGCACCATACAGAATTCTCAATACAAATAATGAATTCGTGTCCATGAGCACATGGTTTACAAAAATTCTGTACGAGGTTATCGTAGTTGAATTAGCCAATGTTATTCATTTGTGGTGCGTAAGTTGCTGTATATATAGAATAAAAAATCCAAGTTCAAAGTTCAAACAATCGCATGATATGGCTCTTGATTATGTTCATAGAATTAGTTTTTATGCTTATTATTTTTCATTTTGTGCATCAAGTCTATGCATATAAACCAAATAACTGGGTAGCTATTCTCATATCCAACATAGACTGGTAACCGGACGAAAGGCCGTGGCTCGCCATATGCTTAAGTCTTCTTACCAACTTTCTTCTTTCTCGGAATAAAAATGAAATGGCCAATATCGATGTTGCGTAGCATGAAATCTTTATGTGTGCAAGTGATTGCCATGTGAGCAATTTATATGGTACAAAATAGCTATTTGAGTACATATTTCATATAGTTTATCTCTCTTAAAGTATACAATTGGTGGAGCATACTGAATGGCAGAATTATTTTTCGATTTCTCACAGATAAAATGCTGTCGTCAATCAAAATCAGAATTTTTAAGCCACTTATTGTGCTCCCGTAATCGGTACCAGCTCAATTCGAGACGTTATAGGCTTGAAATACATATTAATATAAAGATAATCGCAATCTATCATTCAAGACTATAACAAATGCTGAACGGCCTTGTATTCGAGCAGTAGTAAGTATTCACTTTCAATCAAATATCCAGAGCGAATGGCGGGCATTAAGCTTCTTGTATCTTTGTTCAAACTAAAATTAATTCAAAACCTAAATATATATTTGTTTTCAAATCATATTTTTTTTGCTATATATATTTAGAAAAACGTGATAAGGGAATTTTATGTTCATTTCGTTTTCATATTAGTAGAAGTAAAGAGCTAAGAGTTAGTTAAGAGCAAAATGAAAGCTGCTTGTTGCTTATTCACAATATGGATTTCTGCTGTTATTGCAGAAAGGCAGTGTTCCACCATCTCTCCCGGAAAAGATCCCAATTGGTCAAAGGTATGAAATACAAGTTGGTTATGCTGGAGCAAGAACAATGAACATTAGCTTATCAATTACGTTGTGTTAAGTTATTCAAGTTTAAATTTAATGATTTCAATATTAGCCTTGAATTGGATGGCGTAGTGTTGTTCTTTGGTATTTATTTCAAAATTCAGTTGTTGGTAGAATTAGCAGTAACATATATATATACTATTTTTAGCCTTCTATTTAGAAACACAATTAACATCTTGTTACAATCATAATTTGATTCCCAGATAGTGTTTGTGGCGGGCTATCTCAGATTATATACCTTCTTACTTATGGCCTCTTGAGTTATTAGATATAAAGTGGACCTATGGGTTATGAAGAGCACTTTTTGACTCTTTTGGGGTCGGGGTCGTTATTAGATTCAGCAATTTTGCTGTTTTTATTCAATTATTGGGTACATTGGGATATTACGAATTTAATTCATATTATCTGTTATTTTGCTATTGATTTGTTTGTGTCATTTGATATGGAGCATAACGGTCTGGTGTAATAAACAAATCCAATTAACTTCAAGCACCATACTTAAAGAAAACAAAACGATGTCTACACAGTTTATATTTCCTGTTTTCTTTTTAGATAAACAGTTCCTGGTATAGTATATTTGATATGCCAGAAAGTGCGGGTAGCGTGGATTGCTATCATTGGCTAAGTGTTACTGGAACTGAATATGGGTTTTATGCTGATGTATCTGCCAACAATCACGGGTAATGATTTACACATCTATATTCGTATAATCTGTTTTTTCTTGTGGATATGCAGACATTATTTATCGACCTATATTTAGTTACCACTTGTACGCTTTAATAACAACATATATTTATTACTACTATTATATCATGTTTCATTGCCAATTGTAAATTGAAAATTATGTAAAGTGCTATATGTCGCGGCCCTCATGGGGTGGGGTCGGTTGAATTGCCCGGATTTCTATTATCCGGGTAACCGAGCGCATTTCAGCTATTCTATATCTTAAAATAAAGTCGTTCGTTTATTCGGATAGCTGTGATTGCAATTTCCACGCATAACGAATACAATGATCTTATTTCCGATAATTGTTAACAGGAGACTTTTGGGTAATTTCATAAGCTTCTTTGTTCGTTGTAAACATTGTCGGGCCTATCGCCATCGCAGGGTGGTTGTGTAATAAACGCTTTATTATCACAGCTTTCTCCGCCATTTAAGTTTATGAATATGGAAGGATTAATTTGCTAGTAATACGAGTATCCGATCTATTTGGCAGTCCTAATCTAATAAAAGGCGTGATTCGCTACATAATTCCGTCTCCGTGACACTTACCAATAGCCTTTTTATATTTTTGATTCTGTTATTCCTAGAATACTTAATACTTGTTTTCAATCGGAAATATTTATGAATTCATAATACCACGTGTACCACACTCTCAAAACAACCTAAAAGCAAGCAAAATCCAAGTCTTTATGTATATATAGGCTTAGTTAATTTGAAAATTAAAATCCTATTTGATTTGTGTCGAATGTCTGATTTCTAATTGATTTTAAGATACGACAAGCAAACTTATCAACTTCATTACACAAAAGTACGAACAGGTGTTTATACATTGGATCCAATCAGAAGTAAGTGCAATTTTTAAGTTCAAATATGTATTTAATTTATTAAATCGACTTCATTTTAAACGTCATTTAGAAATTGAGAAAAAAACAAGCAGATATCAAATCCTTTCTGTTTTCCAAATTTAAAAAGTAAGCTTATTAGCTAAATCGCATCGTGTCTGTTTCTTAATCACTATCCTGCTTAATTTATCAGTTATGGTTGAAGTTTGGTAACAATAAACATTTTGGGCTATATTCATGTCATTCATTTTAAACGTCCTATTCACTAATGTACGTAAACTATATTTTCGCGTCACTTTTTTTTTATATAAATCTAATAACTTTCGAAAACACAAATACAATGCCAGAAATTTAGAATCAAGTGCTACTTGATTGTATTTTCAGCAAACAAACTGGTGGAAAGTATGATGAAAGCCAACGAACATAGGAACACGCCGGATTTAGAAGACAAATTAAAAGCTGGTTAGTGAGGCTTCATTTGAAACGATAAACTGGACTATAAACTATCCCTATATCCGACTTCCACCAGCGAACAACCCTATCATTATACTTGAGCTAGCTCTTATCATACTCCTGAGTCCTGACAAGCCCGCCATTACATCATTAAGATTGAAAAATAAAGTCATTTCAGATAATATACCACGGTTCGTTGCTGTTAAAAGAATTATTGAAAGTACAAATATGATATCCATTACGCAATCATTTGTTTGACTTTACAAATTTGGTGTTGTTTGGGTCGTAATCGCACAGACGTGCTAGGCTAGCTAGAATACCGCAATACAAGAGAACATGCAGTGTTTGAGTAAAAAAAAAATTTTGAAAATTTGCGCTGAAACTGGAAACCACCACAAACTTACCGAGCGAACAATTTTAATATGTTTTTCAAAATAAGCAACTTGTTAGGACTTATTTTTCGTTCAATTCAAGTTTGGTACATTGATTTTACAAACATTTGTCCTACAGTTCTTACTGGTAATATAATCTCATTCATATCCAGGTAAACAGTTTTTCAGTCAATTAGAGATGGCAATATTAACTGACGAAGAGAATTATTTCATTCCCGTAATGTGTACCAGCGGAGGTAAGTATATTTGGATCTTTTACAGAAAGCCCTCCGCTAATGCAGAAATGGGAGAAAAACATCCCCGACACTTTTTAAAATCAAAAAAGTTAGTAATTATCCATTCGGGTTGGGAACGATTTGAATTTCCAGCGTAATCTGTACACCAGGCCCTAACAGGATAATTACGCATTTTTTTTAATTTGAACGGTGACGTGGGTGTTTTTAGCGGGGGGCTTTCTACGAGAGAGCTCATATTTTTATTCAGAATCAAGTAATAGTCGTTTATGAAGACAACACTAAGACCATGTAGACAAAATATATTAAAGTCGGGGATAGTGTGACTGAAACTTGGCACCAAATTGGGGGCAAAATAAGTGATGTATTATAGAAAGCATGTTACTAATATTAAAACTAAACATCGTATTTCGTTAAGGGTTTCTTTCTTGGATGATGGTCAACACACCAAAACCCACCGTTAGTCACACTGCGCTTATCTGGAACGCAATGGCAGAACATCAGGTTTATGGGCCTGTGGAATATACTTGGCGTTGTCTGGAGCAGGAAAGAGAAAACTAAAAAGTCTGATACAATATTCTGTTTTAATATGTTTGCTTTTGCGAAATAAAGATTTGACGCACTAGAAATTATCCACTGCGAACATTTTCAGGCCTGAATTTCCTACATAAAACATAAACCTGAAGCACTAGGTTTCTCATGCTGTCGTTTCCGAAATAATGCGAGCCAAGCTATTAGAGTAAATAATAAAAATAATGATCCATATAGCCTAATATATTGGAGGACGGGAATTTTGGGAAGATTACGAGATATTGTTGTAAGAGCTTGTATCACTCTGGGTGACCAATGGCAACCATCAAACCAATCTGATCGAACAGATCGTAGACACCTTGTGTCAAAACATTTCAAGCTCAAACCAACGACACTAAGACAGCTAGAACGGGTATCTGTAGGAATAAGGCAAAATAGCAAAACTGATTAGTAACCTAACATGCAAGCACCAACGTCTTAACGCTACGCCCTATTTTTAGCGCAATATGTTCTAAACAAAATCTGACCACTATTCGTATCTATATAACAAGCCATTCTGTAACAAATATTCATTTCACATAACTGTGAAGCAAAACACATTTCCATAGATAAATAATTGTTGCAGGAACAAATATGCAAAGTTGAAAAAAAAAACTGCAAACGACTTCAAATAATAGAATGCAGACAGAGGTCTAAATGCCAAGAGCACTGCCTCACTAAAAACCATTTAGCCAAAGATGAATCTGTAATTCAATCCTACAGATTTGGCATGCATCAACAGCTAATGATTAAGAGGATGTACGGCATAATACTTCTGAAGAACAATATGCAGTTGTATTATAGTACACGTTGATATAGCACTTTAATGGTAGCACTGAACAGCTTTCAGTGGTTCAAGCCATTTCCAACTGAGGATCAAATGAGCATAATTCAATTCCAAATTAAACAATAACATGGCATCATTAAAGGAGCCTACTTTGAATTATTAGATAACGCATCACCAATGGTTTGAACTAGTAGGAACAGTCCGCGTCAAGACATTAATGCACATCCCTGAATATAGGCAGTAGGCACCCTCATGATTCATGCCAATGTCTTGTTATAATCTATTCGCACATTCGATTCATATTGACTAATACCATACTGGTCAATAGTGTGGATGCAAATGAGATTTCTGTCGTAATTTATTGCAGAAGTTTTGTGAAGTTGCATGCACATGAACTTGAACAACTCATACACTTGTAAAAGCGTATATATATATATATATTATCATTCAATAATACAGTACAAGTTATGGAACAAATACCAGTACCAGATATAAAACTCTCAAACCATAATATGTTATACATAGACGTATATATATATGTTGTCAACGACAATCCAAATGAGCAGTTTAAAACGGATTACTGTTCCAGCATAATCGGTTTCAGCTACAATTCGTGATTTTATGCGTTTAAAATACCTAATAATAACAAGCTGATCGCAACCTATCATTCAAGATTAGAAAGATCGGAGAAAAAGAATTATTTCCAGCGGCCCTGTATTCGAGAAGTATAGTATGTATTGAGTTTTATAAACTAACTTCCATTCAGACGACTTGACTGGTAGTGCGTTGAGCAAAGTTTTTCTAGCGCAAACTAAAATTGAATCAAAACCAAAATCAGTTTCTCACTACATATAATTAGATAGATGTGTTAAAAAGACATTTTATAGTCATATTATTTAGTTTTCCGCCGAAGTTGAAATCTAATAAGTTTGCTCAGAGCAAAAAGAAAGATGCTTATTGCTAACTTGCAATGGGTATTTCTGTTGTTACTGCAGAAAAAATGTTTCACAGCTCTCCGGGAAGAGTACATGTTGATTGTGCTCAGAGCCTGATCATGGCCTCTTAGAGTTCTCAAGCACTTAAGACTTTGGTGCCCGATATATAGAAAATAATAATAATAGAAAAGTAACTAATGTTCCGTGTTATCTGAAATTGAATAAGTTTCAGTATTCAATACTGATTGAAGGCCAAATTATAATTAATTTACATGGCATTTTTTCAAAATAGTTCTTATGCTTAGACACAGAGATTTAAGATGATACTTGAGAAAGAAAAACAAGCAAAATTTTTCATTTATTTTAACCTGGACAATGTTGAGGTCCGAACTAATCTGACCAATCATTTCATGAAACCCTGATGCACTATTGAAATCTCGGGTATGAAATTTCTGTGGTGCCCTGAGCACGTAATTTTTTTGTTTAATGGTTAATTCAGCCCTGGCTACAACATCCGTGCATTATTATACGCTTAGAAATCCTTCAGTATAATATATTAAGACTAAATAGAGTTAGTCTTGCGTTCCAAAATGATACTTTCGGTGAAATCTGATATTAACAATATTAAAGGTACAGTGAAATGCTATTCAAACGTGTAACGACTGACGCTTTTTAACAGTATTGAAGTTACGACGAGATTCTTTTTAAACGTTAAATGACTGCTGCGTTTAACAGTATTGAAGTTACGACGAGATGCTTTTTAAACATTAAATGACTTCTGCGTTTAACAGTATTCAAGTTACGGTGAAATGCCACTTGAACGTTAAACGATTGACGTATTTTAGCAGTACTCAAGTTACGTTGAAATGCTGTCTACTAAACGTTTAACGACTAAGGCTTTGTCTGGAACGATGAACTGGTAACTATGTATGTCTGAAGAAGTCTGACCTTGGTCAGACGAAACGTTACAGAAATATACTTGTGTCAGTGTGCAGAAAGACTCTTAAAATCACTTAAAATAGCTATCCTTACTCTTGCTACAGCATCCTTGCATTATATGCATACGGATCCGCCGGAGCAAAAGCATAGAAGAAGAATAAGTAGTTAGCCTCGCAGAAACCAAATCATTAACTATTTTAACTGGATCACTGACAACTGACAGTGGTTCTCCATAATCGAAAGTCGTCTCATCCCCTTCTAAATCGCCTGTCCTCTCTAAAATATATCTTTCTTATAGTCAGACGTTTTTTAGAATCCCGACATAAGCACCAACTTGTTTACCATTTCTTCCCCCTCTCCTCCAATTGAATGAAATTCAGCAGGTTGTGTGTACGGAATTTTGGTTACCGAGAATACGGTCTCATTAAAACCCAGGTAAACAATCTTTTCAGACAAATAGATATTTGTATTTTTCGTTGAAATTCAAGTATAAGTCGTCGAGGAATTGCAACAAATCTAAGGACTACAGTGAATAGCCTATTTCTCGTAAAATAAAGATTTGAATCCGCGGGATTTGACCTATTGTAAACAAGGCATCCAGTATAATTTTTTTAGAAAGCGGACAGATACCAGTAAGCTAACGCTTGGACCAGTTACCGGTACCGCGGCTTATTCGTATAAATGTTCGCATTGGACGTTTGTTTCAAGGCAATAAGGGCAAGTTGGAGTTGGGAAAGATTAAGAGACGTTGTGGTAGGAGCTAGCTCAACGCTTTGGGCGAGTAGGTGCCATACGAAACTGCCCCGTGGAGTTGGTTAGCAACATCTGTAAAACCAACCGGATCGAATGAATCGCAGGCGTACGGTACCGGTAGTGTGTAAAAGCAAGCCAGGCAACACATTGAAGAAGCAAGCATCAAACTAACTTTTTGCAGGTGAACTTCCAAAACCGTCAAGAAACCACTAAGCATATTTTTCTCTCGAGTTCACCACACCGTAGCATACGTTGCGCCTAACACAATAAACTTCCCTACTATTGCGATCTACTACAAGGTTAGTCTCTCAAACTGCATAGCTATAAATCAAAACACTTTTCAATAGTCGCAAAAATTGTTGCTGGAACAAATATGAAAAGCTGAAAAAACCGACACCAAAAATAGAATAGTCAAAAAAGTGCCGATGCACTTCACTCACTTCCTCGAGTGGATTAAGGGGAAATCTGTTATTCAACCATACAGAATGGACATACATCAACAGCTAATGATTGAAAACTCATTTCACATTCAATTCAATGAGCAGCGTTGGAAAACAATAGGAGAACCAATTTCAACCATGATGTTTTTCAGAGGCGTGGGCCTTAAGCATAGCACCCCAATGGTCGCACCAAAAAAGTTTAAGTAGTTTTTAAGCAATTTCCAAAATTAAACAGTGTAATAGTTAGTAACAGTTAGTTTGAGTGCCTGAAATTAGATAACTATCGCCAGTGCCTTAAACTAGTAGAGTTGGTTAGTCGAAAGACATCAATGCACACATCACTGATTTATTAGCCAAACTTTTACAAATTGTTCATATTGATTAGTATTCATAAAAGCTTGTAGCGTATATGAAAATCAAATTTCTGTCCTAAACTATTGTTGGAGTTTTGTGACGTTGTATGTTTTATTGGTGATACACATGGATATATCACTTGAACCACCCAAGCATAGATGACAGTTCAATTCATGGAAAAATTACCTGATTGCAGTAAAACAACCATAAAAGGGAGAAAATAAATCGAATCTGAAAAAAAAACTAATTTTTTGGCCAGATGTCAAACATCCACAGTGGCCAATGATAGATAGAAATTGCAAACAAAAAAACAAAAAAATTAAAATCGAAATTAAACCCGAAAAAAACAAAATGATAGAATTTTAAGAACACAAAGTGCATTCAGAAATTTGGCATATATTGAAAGAATTCTTGTTCAACGATGTAAGCTACGTTTAGCTTGTCTTAACAGAGCATCAAAATCATCGAGTTCTTCTTCCTTCGGTTCTGGTTCCTGCATTTTACTATCTGTAATTATATAAAAACAAACAAAGAGTTAATTCAAACTATTACAGGGGTAATTAACCAAATTTGACAAGTATAAATCTGGAAAATCAGACAAATTAGAGTCACTATTTCTCATCATGCATTGGTGGCTCAAAGATTAACACAACACAAATAAAAAGTCAAATAAACTACCTAAATCTTCATAAGCAGTTTTGCAGAACTGTCTTCGTCCACCAAAGCACAATGTGTAACGAGGTTCATTGGGTCCCAATCCATTGTTTCCTTCCTCTATAGCTCGACATGCATCATTCTTGTGTTGAAATGTCACAAATCCATAACTGTCACTAGAAATGGAGAAACAGAAATGTTGATTCTTCAGAGAGAAATAGCTATTTTCCTATCAGTATGATACTGTCATAGAAGTAAGTTATACATAAGCACACATATCTATAGATATATTATATGTGCTTACCTATCTTCACGGAAATAAAGTCCTACTGTATCAATATTGCCGAAACGTATAAATAATCGTCGCAATTGCTGCTTTGTCATTTTTTTGTCAATACCACCAACGTACACAACACGACGTTCTTCCATTGCACGTTGTTGCTAAAAACATTAGAAACTTAGTTATTATAACACAGCTTGGGCGGTGTGGCGCATCGTGTTAAGCATTAGGAATACGCTCGCCATCGCATCTTTTATTGTCCTGTGTGGAATCCTGCGGGGATAATTATGTGCGAGAAGAGTGCTAGACCCCTCGTCATCGCCATCAAGTCTATGCATCTGGAACAAATAACTTGCTAACTAATCCCATACCCCCCAGACATGGACTGACCGGACGAGAGTCCGTGTTTCGCAATATGAATGAACCGTCTTATCGGATTCCCTCTCCCCTAGTATAAATATGTGAATCCTAACACACATTTACAATTGCTAAATGATATTTTTACATTTCAAACGATCATAACATGATTCAATTTTATTCTATAACAGTAACATTCTCTCTTGCGGAGTATTGTCCTTAGCGGTGGGTTGTAGATAAGAAGTTGGTGTTATATTTTGAAACTTCCCCAAGCCAGGATTCGGGATTTCAGACATTCACTAGTTATAGTAGTAGTCAAAATTTCAGACAGAAACTCAAAAAGCGTTAAGTTGACTATGTACGTAAGTATTTTGGATTGCAGCAATTTCAATCGAAGATAGCTTGAATACTACACTAAGTTTTTGTTATCAGAATGGTTTTCTCGAGAATTTGAAACTGAAGTTATTCTAAAATGGCTTGGAGTTCGTAGTCAAAAGTCCGGCTCCACAACCCTGTTTCTTAAACTGGCAATAAAATCTTCCTATCTTTCTGTTACTACATTTAGAGCCAGATACACAAACTTATCAACAAAACTCAAATATACTGAATCTTCAGCATCGACATTTGAGTGAAACAAAAGCGAGAATATTGGTCAGAGGCCGAAGACTTATCGATCGAAACGGGATTCCCCAAAACGACGCTCTTACCTCATAGTGACACCATGTGTTAATTAATAACTCGCTAATTATACGACATAATTCGCCCAAAATCAATAGGCTTCCGGTCCGAGATAAGATGAATCCACATGCAAAATCTGGAGCAGATTCAATCTCGCTTTCGTGAGATATCGCGTGCATCTAACAGACAAACAGACATACAGCCAAATACCTATCAACATACTTACCGATTAAATCGATAAGTAACAAAGTAATGGAGTTAGTAATCACAACCTTAAAACTGTTAAACTTACCTTCTTTTCTTTAGCTTCCTGGTAAAGTCTTCTTTCTTTCCAAGCTTCCCTTTCTCTTCTCCTGAAAAAGAATATATATAGGAACCTGATTAGCAAGGATAAAGATGAAAATCCTAATCTAATCCTAAATTTTAATTATAACATATCGAAGGGGTATTAGGACTCGCGTTTGATTTTCCTATATTTCAAATGTGGAAGCATTAAAAGTATGTTTTCAACACAACCGTTAATTCACTTACCGACGGTAATCATCTGAATCTTCATCTGAGGAATCGTAACTTTTTCTTCTTTTTTCTCTTGATCTTTCTCTTCTATTCCGTCTCGCCTCCCTTGACCTTCTTTCGTTATCCCATGTTCCACGATATTCTTTTTCACTGCATAAAGAATTGTTGTCAACCAGGTATTGAATGCAAAGTGATATGCTTTTATAAAGGATTTCACAATCACACATATGTATAAGATTCTATGTTTTTAGATAGACTAGAAATCTTCCAGTTTATCATTCAACTTACCCAATTTCCTATGCTTATGTGGAGGGCGTGGGATTTGAACTCATATGCTAAAAGTACATATTCAATCACTAACCTACAACTCGATGAATAAGAAGGTGAACGCGAACTTCTAGAATAACTTCTTTCTCTTGGTGTGAATGATCGTTTTGATCTTCCTCTGGAATATAAATACATTCAATGTGTTTAGTTAAACAGTATATGCAAGGTATTGCACTTTTGATAGACACTGTTGGGTCTCGCTTAGCTATTCAGACAAGCTTATTACTACACTGGGGTGAAATACATTACCTAGAACAAGATGTGGGAGGAGTTCAAATTTTTTGGGTACCACCAATTATATAAAATTGTTACTGTGGTAAATATTAAGGTGTTCTACTTGGAAAAAAAATCTCAGTCTTCAGAAAAAATATTCGAAATGTTCGATGTTCACAATATAAATTTCCACAAAGTGTTAAAAATTATCTTTCAAAACAAAACTCCAGATAAGCAAACACTTGAATCTTTAGGATTCAACATGGCTATCCCAACACATAGCTTGTATAACTCCGGGTTGAAGTGAGGCTCTGACCCAAGTTCTCTAACATGTGATTGGAAATTTTTTCCAAAGTATAAAATTTTAAAGTCTTGAAAACAAAATTTTTTACCTTCTTCGTGACCTAGATCTCGACCTTGACCTGGATCGACTACTCCTTGACGAATAATATAGGGAGTCTGGTGAGGAAGAATAACGAACAGATGGAGATCGATGAGGTGGTGACATGCGGCGAGAATCATCATTACCTTGACTTGCTACTACTCGACCAGATAAATAGTAACTTGGAATTTTAGAGTATAAAACTTTTTGTGATGTTTCTTCATCCTGTTTGCTACTTTTATGTTTTTTGTGTTTCTTTCTCTTTTTTGTTTTTCTCTTTTTTCTTGAATGTCTGTGCTTTTCGCGTTCTTGTTTATCACTAAAAACAAGCATATTGGATTCTAATTTTCAAAAAATCGGAGCTGAGGTAATTGTAAAAATAAAATTTACAATAGATTAATCTCTACATTTTAAAAATAGGTCATATAAACTTACATTTTCTTGCGTGAGGTATCAACAAACGTGTATATTTACTAATTTGAGCCTATATTAAACACGGAGGGCAAAAGAATCTAAAAGTGAATAAAATGATCAATTTAAAGACTTACTGTGTTAGAATTTCAGAAGTAACAGTGTCATCTTTTGCATCCGCAACATCATCATTGAAAGTTTTGACTGCAGGGTGAGGACGTCCATAACTGAATGAAATAACATTCTATAGTTATCTTTGAACATGTAGCATTCAATATCATAAAGCACATGATTTATTGATTAAGAAACTTTGAGAACAGCCATTCGAACATTTCCAAATTATTCTGGCCTGATGTTGTAAACTATTTTTGGACCATTCATCTTTCTATGCATGGAGAATATAGTAATGTGTCAAGTTTTGACAGTCAGATTGACCAGTATGGATATCAATACAAAATCCATCTTCAGGGAACAGTCTAAGGCTGCATGATAAACCTCAAAACCCCTAATATCCACAAATTCCAACCAAATGATAAAAGAATTGGGTACTCCTGTAGTATCTGAACCAAGATGGAGGACACCGGGACATAGTAGGTGTACCAGGTTAGGGTTAGGCCATAATTTCAGGTACAAATACTACGAGACTCGTAATAGAACTGAAATAAAGAGAATTGGAATAAAATTATGGCCTACCCCTAACCTGGCACACATACTATGCTCCGATGTCTGCCATCTTGGTGCACATACTTCTGGAGCACCAAGAATTGTACTAGATGACATACAACATGCTTTCCACAAATATAAAAACAGCAAAATTTGTTGAAATACTAGGACTCGTGGAATGCAATAGCCTTCTAGACATTTCTTCCATCTCAAAATATTGAAAATTTATATTCGATTGGTGCATTAGTTGCAAAGGAAAGTGTTTTTTTTCACCAATTTGGCAAAACACTTCATAGGTCCTCTTTGCGTTCAATAATATGAATTCAAAAGCATTGTTTAATACATACGAGTAATAGGTAGGAAGCCTTGAATAATATGTTTCTGATTCATTGACTGGAGTTCCCTGTGGAGTTAAATGTTGACTCTCTCCTACTGCTGTTAATTTCACAGCAAAATTATTGCTACTTCTTGATTTTTTCAGGTTCTGGGTTCTTCCACTGTTTCGTGTTACACTATTTGGCCTTTTATAATGGAAAATATTTAAATGAAGATATGACAAAAATTTATCTTTATTTGACTTACAAGAAGTGAGTATGTAGACCCTCAAATTTCGTTAGGTGTTCTTTCATAATACATGGATCTTTGTGGCTTTGCTCTAAGGAATGCTATATTCTCTCAGAGCAGTGTAAGATTATTTCCAGGTATTGTGGGAATTAAATAGCGTAAAATTCCGATTTCACAACAACAGTGGTCAATGTTAGACGTAAATACGATGGCATCATAGGGTAAAATCTTGCATAGGTTAGGCAATGCCGAATCAGGAAAATTAAGGGTCTTCTAAACTCTAGTAGATTCTTACGTAGCAGTGGCTGCACATGAAGAGTTCTCAGAGGTATTAATAAATCATAAAAAATAAAATACATTAAAGAACAAAAAATTATATTTTGATGAATAAACCCTTCGATCAGTGAAATCTAGATGTCAATATTTTACATACAGTAATACAATTCTGTATATATTTTGATTTAGACAAAAGCCATATGAATATTAGGGAAGACAGCTACACCATTTATATATTCTTATTATTAAACGCATATTGCAAGTCTATGTCTTATATACCTTGTTTTACCGGAACTAAAATAATGAGGTAATTTGTTAAATTCAAGTTCAATGTCATTTCCAGTGTTATCTGTTGTGTTAATCAGTGGATCACACATGACATTCCTCAATCCTCGTTTCTTTAACCCATCCGCACCATCCTCTTGTCTTTCTGAAAAATGTTAAATTTTTGGTACAACATTACACAAAAGTATTTTTTTTAAATCTCACTTCTAAAGAAAGACATGTTTTTTATATTGAATCGTGAAAACTTCATTTATACGATATCTAAACAATATTTTTATTTGATAACACCAAATCACAAAATAAGGAAGCAAATTACGATAGGATTTTATATTCATCCAATGGAAGAAAAGTTGCCAATTGAGGTATCACTTTTGCAAGACCAAAATGTCAAAAAAAAAAAGAATTTTAATCTTATAGTTCAAATGAGGCACATTAAGCCGAATCATAAATCAAAAACCCTCAACTAATGCATGATATTGAAAGTAGAGTAAGAATTTAAAACACAAATATGGTAACCCAGCGAGAGAGAGATAGAAAAGCACTTGGCCGAAATGATATGTTATGATAAATTATATAATTGAAAACTGCCTGGACTGATTCCCAAGAATGCAGATAAACATTAACTTAACACAGAGTTTATTAGCTCCTTACTTTAACACAGACAAAACATAAGTGACCAGTGAACAGTACAAGACTAAATAGGTGCAGTAATTATAGGTGTAGACAAAGCAATCATTGATGTAAACAAACTGATCTGAAGTAATTGACACAATATTACTACACTGACTGTATGTTTTATTAATATCCAAATTAAATCAGATGTTTTCTCTTAATGCAAAAACTAATCTTGCCAATTGCCATGCAGCATTATTTCTAAACAATTTCACCTCTTTTGAGTTGATAAGACCACATATTTGCTAGACGCCATCTGCTTCGTGAATCACTACCTTCACTGGATCTCATTCCACTACCTGAACATATACAATACTCAGAATGCTTCCATTTTGTAGTACTGGTTAGGGCCAACCTTAAAACAATAACCTAAACACTTGATCACATTTTTCCTGTACTTTAGTACCTACACAAGAGAACATCTCTCATAAAGCATGTTGCTTTAACAGTGTGACTTTTGGAGGAAAGCAGTCCAACAAGTTCATCTACAAACAGGCTAATTATCTTCCTCAGCTCAACTACATGGCAAATATATACAAATACACATATCAAACTAATAGAAAATATACACTAAACTATTTCTGTGCCTGATCAACACATTGTGCATTATACACGCATCTTGACTTACACCTCAAAACATGTAAAAGGGGGATGAAAACTAACTATCATGAGTACTACAGACTACCGCTTAGACTGCTGATATAACTATGTTGACATGCTTTAAGTCCAGTCTCCACATCTGTACAAATAGTCTCTGTGCAATTGGTTTCATTTAAGAACAGAATGGAGTATGATCAAAGAACTGAATTACTGATAGAAAAGATAGACCTTAGATACAATTTTTTGCAATCAGAGGTGAAAAATGCTAAGAAAAAAGCATGACTATCCTAGAATTTCCAACGAAAAAAGATCTCCAGGATTCAGCTAAAAGCGTACTGATAGATAGAAGTGTCAAAAGCAATCTTATTAAGGCAGAGGCCGGCGATACAGATAATTCAATTCAACTGGACCAGGGAAACAGTCAGGTTGAGGGGGATTCCACATCAAATGAAAGTATATCTGAAATATTTTTAAATTACAGAAATACATAACTACTAACCTTCTGAAACGAGCTTTCCAGTCAAAAAATATGATGGAAGTTTGCAGAATAACTTATCAGCAGTGGATAGATTAGTTGCGACTGTGAAATAAGAAAGATGTAAATGAAAAACACACATTGGATAATACAAAAAATTCTCATATAATTTTACATATAAAACTAAAAATTTCACATATAAACATAAACCCTTATCTTCACACTATTGCACGATCATATAAATTTAAGCCAGTAAGTGATGGCTGAAGCAAAACTGAATTTAGTGTTCAAATAATCAAAGTTTCCGAACAAGATAAAAAGTAATGCATATTTACAAAAATTCATTTTTCAGAACAAACCTGTTTCATCTGGTCCACCTAATAACTGATCTTCTTCTAAACTTGCCATTGCATCTTCTAACGTTATAACAGCTGGATCAGGATCATCGATTAGAGGAGTCGATTCCATTGCATTATTATTATTATTATCAACTTCCGGGCTTGTGTTTTCCGTTGTTTTGTTGTAGAGCAAAATCTATAAATAAGGGATAGGATTAAAACGAACTCTCCAATACAGAAATATCATAGATTCCATTGAATTATTGGAAGAATACATAATTTTCCCATTTAGTATGCTTGAAAGCAGTAGAATATCAAAGAACACAGTTTTGCAGTCTTTCATCTTCTGATTCTATAATACCGTTTCAGGAAATGGGTTGTAGCATAGATTGCACATAATACAGATTTATGGTACAGATTCCAGACGATGTACATGTATGATATTAATACTATCTTGACTGATTATTAATAACCAAAATTACAAGAAATGCCATTCACAGTTTTGCATAAACTTTAGTTCTATATAAACTGACCTAATAATGCATTTCTATACGTTTTCAATAATGAAGAGCTGTTTAGCAAGTTCTAATTATATATCAACTGAAATATCTTAACAAGTTCGTCTATATCTCATATACTGTCAAATTTTGACTGACACTCTGTTATGTTATGTCATTATAAAGACAATCGATTGATATTGATTAACTATTCATGCCAGTCCGCGGCCTATAAACAGTGTTTCAGCAAGAACTGTAAAAATTGTTTACACCTAAGTGGAAAATGCACTAGGTCAGACCTACTCAACTATTTTTATCGAAGGTCCGCAAACAAAACTTCAAAATTATTTGGGTCCGATCTTTCCAGAAATGATATTTCGGCATCCTTAAACGAGCACTTCCTCGACCGACTAATGATTAGTAGCAAATTAAATTTGTTTATTATGGTGTTATAGTTCTTTTCGTATATATTCAAAACTATGAAAGTCATTTTATAATAGGAAATTCAAAAAGTGGGGCTAATGATCCAAAATAAATAATTAGGTGCGGTCCAAATCTAATACACGAAAGGTCCGGATTCGGACCGCGGTCCGCCAGTTGAGTAGCCCTGCACTAGGTCATTCTTAAGTTAAACAGCTATGTCAAAAAAATACAGTAGGAATTTTGAAATAGAAAATTAAGTTTAAGTTACCGTATATTTAAGTTTCATCACAAAAAAAGGTAATATGTCAATCTCACCTCTTGAGTTCCATCGTCGATAACATCAGAAGCTAACATTTCAGCAGCCGCCATACTCCGAGTCATTGAAAATTTTGCTGTACTTTTTGACTGGTTAGCACACAGCACCGTATCTGTATTTGTGATGATCTCAGAAGGTTGTGAGGAGACAGTGACAGATGATATTGGTAGCACTTCATCAATAACTTCCATTTCCTCTCCAGGGTGTAAAATAGGAACTGGCGTGCTGGCGAATTCTGTGCTTGATTTATTAGGGTTCCCAGCAACGGAGGTATTTATATTAAAATCAATAGGAAGGGCAGAATCAGGTGCAATGTCTGGTTTGAAAGGTACATATTCCTGAGGACAGTCTTTAACAACATTACAATTCAGCTCAATTTGGTCAGATGGGATATTTTCAGAGTCCTTAGTCCTGTGGTTTGATTTAAGAAGTACAGTTGAGGCATCAGAATCGCTTGGTTGTAACTTAGATGAAGAAACTACTGTCTGATTGGATAAAATCAAATTAGGAATAGTGCTTGTAATTGGAACATTTGAAATGGATTGTGTTTCGCTTGAAATAGCCATACTGGTTGTACTAGATACACAGGGTGACGAGTTTGTAGTAATTGCATTTGAATCAGATTGCAATGACTGTGCAGATGATGTCTGCAATTTGTGTGAGGTGACAGGTAGTAAAACATTATTTGGAAAATCTTTAACCAATGTAATGATATCTGAAGCTTCTGTTGAAGATGCCCCGTGTATCATTTCCGAATTCAAATTTTTGTTATTATGTTCATTTCTGGTAACCATTTTAGATGATGCAGAAAATGATGGTTGATCAATAATTGTCTGAACTACTGGTTTTAATTTTGTACTCATAATTGGTTCAACATTCTGAATAAGTTTAGAAGTCTTCGCAATGGATGAAACAGTCTTGCTTGACTGATTTTTATCATTCACTGCAACGTTCCTTTGCTTTTCATGTAGTTCAGCCTCTTTCTTTTTATTGAAGTTTTGTTTGATTTCATGAATCAACGTCAATGGTGAAGGAAAAGAAGATTTTTCTGAACTAGATTGTCGACAGTTTGCTGTTTCGCTATGCGAACTTCCCGCTTTCACAACAGGAACTTGATCATTTCCTGGCTGCTTAAGAGATCCTATCACAGATAATAGTTTTTTCAACGCGTCTGCTTGTTGTTCTTTATTATCAGCAATATCCTGCGGAGAAGTACTTTCATCTTTCTTCTTAATTTGCTGCTTTGCCATAAGAGTCAAAATGTCTTTCAATTGTCCAGTCACACCGCTAAGAATTAACGACTTTGTTTCGACACCATGTTTATTAGACGTAACAAGTTTAAAAGTCGGTGAAGCTGGTTGTTTTGTACCGACAGATTCGGTTTGTTTTTGTTGCATGGACCTATTTGTCATCATAGCTGGAATTTTCAAATCTTTGACAGGGGTGACAGGATTTCGTTTATCACGTGGATCAGTCGGAACCGATGAAGCATTTGAACAGCTGGGTAATTTCATTGGTGATGATACCGGTATGGTTTTAACGACGGATGAAGGTTGAATAGGAATAACATCACTATTAACATTTGATACAGATTTCAAATCCTTATTTCTGCTCACAAGTTTGCATACGACTGGAACCGGCGCTGGTTTTGATGAAGAAGTTGCAGTTGTTGGAACTTGTATCATTAACATCTGTCCTGAACTGCCAACAACTGGCGATGATTTGACATTGATAGTGTTATTACTATTAATACTAGTCTGCAAAATCCGTAAATTATTTCCGATTTTAAGAAGTTGTGCTTTCGTAGTTGGTTTGATAAATCCAGAGTTATTGCGCACTTTATCGGTTTTTCGATCTCTTTGAACGATGGTGCATTGTGGTTTTGTCGACACGGAATTCTTCATACGTGAAGCATTCACAGTGGATGGATCACTGGATAAGAAAGCATCAGTGCCTGTTACAATACTTGATACATTATCGCCCAAGGTATCAGATATGGATGATGGCGTATTTAAAGTGTTCTTTAGCACCGAAATGTATTCGTCAAATTCAAGTAAACCACACTGGTTCTTGATGACAGTTTTACGTAAAGGTTCAGGTAAGGGAACTGGAACATTTTCATGCACAACTTTCTGTGAGCGATGTTGTACTCTATTTTCCGCGGATGATGTCAAAATCATTTTTGGTTGTGGAGTCGAAGATGCAGGGATCGAAACAACCATAAAATTGTTTGGCGTTCGAGCTGCACCCCTTAAAACCTTTGGTGAGCATGTTGGGCTGTTAGGAGCACTTCTTGTTCCCGCTCGAACTTGTTGAAGATAATCTTCCCACTTAAGAACTTTCTGTGATGCTAGTTTTGACTGAGAAGCTGGCGGATTCTCAGGTTGAGTGAAACTTCCTTCAGAATCTTTACTTTCTGATCCGCCAATCGTTCCAGAATCTAGAAAATATATAATAAATAGTAGAAATTAGACACCCATATTATAAAATTGAGATAAGATATTAGTTTGATGTGAGAATCGTGCAGATGTTTTTAAAAATTCAAAAAGATGTGTGAAAAAAAGAGTTTGTGTGAGAAAAACACTAAAGTATGTAATACATGGAATGATTTATCTGGCACAAATGGCCTTAAACAGTGATATCCTAAAAACAATGACTACAACCAAGTCGAACATGAAACTAAGGAAAAAAGACTTTCAACAGCTATGGTCGCATAAATAGTTACGAAAACAATGAGTGATTGATTTCCAATCGGTCTGCTATGATTTAAAACAATTTGCCATACCAATGTAAAGAGATACACCAATCAACTATGAAATACACTCACTTGTTGTAATAAAATTGTTAGCTGCGTCTTGACCATTACAGTAATCGTGATCCACAGATTTAGATTCCGACTTTCTTTGGCCATTTTCATCATTCACAGCTTCAATTCGAGATCTCTTTACTTTCAGTAAATCAATTTCACTATTCGCTCCTCTCTTGCTGCCTTCGATACGGAAACAAAAAATATTAAAAAAATATATAATATTGAGCAATTTTATGTTCAAATTCCACGCTTTCCACCTTACTGATTGTGTGATAAACTGGATAGGCTACCCGAAGAGTCTGTTCCTTTTAAAACAGATTATTCTATAGAAAAAAAAAAATAAAAAGATTATTGTATTCAACTTACTTTTAATTGACACTGAGGAATCACTTGCAGATGATATTGGCGATGCAATATTGCTGATTAACTGCTGTTTTAAATTCACAGATTCTGGTAATTTTGGTTTTAGTGATCTAAACAAAATATGAAAATTAACATGAATTGAATAATGCCTGGCACCAAATCATACCTGTTTTAGGTATCTCGTTCATTCACACATGATGAAAATGCCTCTAAATGGCTGAGAAAGAGGGTACAAATTACAGCATTTTGAACAGTGGTTTTAAAACGGTGGGGTGCGGCCCACGAGGGGGGTGTAGTCCTGTAAATTTGTTAGATTTAGACCCGAATTATTTTGGATATTTACATTTCAAAACTTTCCCTTTATTTCATTATTCACATTCTATCCTTGTATTTTCAACCTGTTTTTTCAAATAAAACATACTTTCGCCTTACTATCTGTTATTTGTAGCTTATTGTTAGCTAGTTATTTTTGAGGTGGAGCGCGAAACTTGACAAAATCTAAAAAGGGTTATTGTTAGCTAGTTATTTTTGAGGTGGAGCGAGAAACTTGACAAAATCCAAAAAAGGGGCTTAATAAGTTCGAAAACCAGTGATTTACAACATTGGGAGTTTGAATGATTAAAAACCCAAACTCACATTTCACTACTTTTTGTATTCTGCGATCCACTTGAATTAATGGATTTTGACACAGGATGAAGGATTATCCTGTTATACAAATGTAAATTTTGGTGCTAATAAAAGTTCAAGAGGAATAAATTACTATTTTCAAATTAAAATCTTCAATTGTGTTACAATTTTTTATAAAAAATCAATATAAATACGAGTGAGCGCACTAATATTTGCATATAAAAATTGAAATTAATTTATTATACAATGATTTAGAAATTCAATATTCCTTTTAATATTTTTTACTTTTTTTTTTGCTTTCAACTTACCTAGCTCTCTTTGGCTGTTTTGCAGTCACCTTTTCTGAGGGTGGTGTTCTTTCCCTGCTGTTTGGTGCTGATCCATATTTTCTCATGTACTGCTTAGTGTTCAATAATCTTGTTGTTTGTATAGGTTTTGGTTTTTGAACTACTGGAGGATCAACCACTAATGGAAAAATATGAAAGAAATGTCAAATAAATTCAGATAATCTACTAATTTTCAACTTTCAGAAAATTGAACTTTTTTCATCCTAAAAATTTTAGTAAAATAAGCCAGAGCAGACATTCATGAAAGTCTGAGACTCTGAGAGTGTGGGAAGTGATAGTCTACCGGTGATTTGCATGTTGGTCCAATAACACTGGAACCGAAGCAGTCAGCTGCTTGTGCTTTGCCTTATTCAGAGTAAAACAATTGGAAAAAATTTATTACCTTAAATCAACTTGCCTCAGTCTAGGTGCAATGGTAACAAAAGTAGACAGACAGTGAAATATTATGGTGCCTAATTGAGATAAAAAAAAACTCGAATCATCACATAACTGTTTCAGGTCTATCTATGGTTTTAGCACAAACCATCAACAGAACAGGATTTTCATATTAATTCTGCGGAGAAAAAAGGAAATAGGATGACTTAATCATCCTGTTCGTCCAGGTCAAATAGGATATAGATTACAGGTCCATTGTTCCATGACTACTGTGATGAAGGACCAGCCAGTAGCTACAAAACCACAAAATGACAGCGAGGACTTCAGCCATCTTCTTGCAACCAAAATTATCCCTCCCATAATTCCAATCTACGAACCATACAGGGTAGAGGTGTGATGGCAAGTGTGTTCCTGGTGCTGGTGCCTATAACACTCTCATGTAATGCAGAAAATTATTGTGCAAACATAAGCAGGGATAAAACTAACCATTTATCTCATCTTTAGCATCAGTTTCTATTGCCTCCATATGCTTTAATAATTCAGCGAAAGGTTTCTTTTTTCTAGGAATCTTGGGACGAAAGTCATCTTCACGACTTGATGATGAACTTTGCGAAGGACTCGATATCTTGGACTAAGAATAAATAAAGGTAATGAACATAGATTCTACTGCTAAGTGGTGAGCCTGAAGAACCTACTCGATTATAGAAGAATAGTTGACCATAACACGGAAAAAAATTAAATTTCATGTGAGGCAACCAGTTCAGTGTTTATGGGAAAATTTCTTGAATTCAGAAAAAAAAGATAAAAACTAAATGGCTGCGTAAATTGTAAATTTGCAATACCTGAAATCAACAAAAGTCTCTTTGGTAAATTTCACAACAAAATATAGAGTACAGTAATATCTAACCTTGCTGGAAGAGGCATCTGATGAATTCGGTGAATCTATTTCCTTTGGATAATTTTCATTTGAAGGACTCAAGAGTAGTTTCTTGAGCTACAAGAAAAGTCAAAAAAACATTGATTGCTATACCAGGAGTTGAAACATATTTAATTTATAAAAGATGTTCAATAGTAATCGGTTATAGATGCAAATATGCCCAAGATAGCTGTATAAAATAAATTAATCGCACTTCAAAAAGGCTATTATTTTGAGAAAAAATAGAGCAATGCTCAAATACGGGCACATTGACTAAATGACAATATAATGGCTATTAAAAGAAAATTGTGAGATGAGACATGACACAAATTTGACCTCTGACAAACCAATATGAATGACTCTGCTTGAATGTTGTACAAACAAATCATTAAAGCACGTGGCTTTGTGTTGACAGCATACAACCGAAAGACATACAAACTCTTACCATTGATGGCTGACCCAAAAGATTGTTGAAGTCTGATGATGAATTGGGACTTGTATATGTTTTAGTAGGACTTGAGTTAGAGAAAGTGCATGTTGAGTATGGATTGTCTAATGATGAAGAAAGACAAGCAAAATCTGACATGTGATCAGATTCAAAATTGTCAAGAGATTGTTGTAACGCTTCTAATAATCCAGCTTCATTTTCTTCAGCTAATTTTTGCTTCTGTAATGCAAAAACAATATTGTTTCGATATATATACGATATATCTCCATAACATTCTCCATTCTGTTGACACAAAACAAAAAAATCTCAAATAACTTGGTTGAAACATATTTTAACTTGGATTCAAAGAATTTGAAAACAAATTACTGAATGATATATATTTAGAAATAGCCAGTTGCGACTTTTATAATATGGACTTTGGGTAAACTTTAATTCAGTCTAATTAGAAATTGGAACTATGCTAATAGGACAAATACCCAATTACAATTTTAACAAGCAATCAGATAAAATGCAAAGTTATTTTGAAGGTTAATTGAAAATAAGAATAAATTTAACAAACAATTTAAATGAAAACATTCATTAAAAATGATCAGAATATGATATTTCCCACCAAAAACATTTACAAAGATATTGTGAAAAGTTTAAATGATAAATAGATTAAAAAAAGTAAAAAATGTAACACCAACACACGATTTCGTGACACAGAAAGAACAGCTTGCACTCAGGAATATTGTAAACGGTTGTTTACTTGTAAAATATAAATTATATTAGAACTAGAAACAATTTTGATCGAATGAGAAAACCTACTAATAGTTATGCTTATAAATTAACATATGGCATTAAAATTATTGCTGTATGTTGTGGAATACTGAACTCATATTGATGCATAACATTCATTTTGAGACCAATTTTCAGTCCCAAAATTTTCAGTTTCGTATTTACAAGTGATAGCAATACAATTAAATTGGAAACAGAACAATCCACGAAAATGACTTCATTTAAGAATTTTTTCGAGCGTGAGAAATTTTATGGACCACTACTCCCATTTTTAGGTCAATTGAAAAATAAGATAACAAACAATTCATAGGGCTTTGAATATAAAAATAGATCAAGTTTAAAACAAAAAATCGATTTTCTTTTCAAAATTGTATATGTTTGTCCGTATTAAAAGTGTTAAAATATAACGAATAAAGACTAAAATGTAACATAAAACATTAGCCATTCATTCCATGTTTTGACTAAACAACATAGACTAATGAACCAAGCACTAGGTTACCAGCCAGTAAACCAGATTGTCCCCGCTACCTTAGTTACCAATTATGAATGAAAGTGATTCAATAATAGAACAATTGCTTACTTGATACTCGAGATGGGTATCGTAGTGTTCCTGTAAATTTTGTGTTTGTTGATTATACCATTGTACCACACCAGCATATTCATCAGGATCAAAAGCTACTTTATCTGAAGAAAAAAAAATAGGACTTGAAAAATGCCTCGAACTAGTTCAAAATTTGAATTTGAAAATCGGATTATGCTTTATGTTTGGACAAGGAAAATAAAATTATAAAATTGTGATTGCAATGTGATCTATGAATTCAGCAAAAGTAATCAATACAAACTGCAATGATAGAAGCAATGTAAATCTAGTTGGCAAACCACTCGATAACTCTCAAGCATAATACATAATAACAAAAGTTAACTGCAGATGAAATTGATGATTTAAGGATCCCGAAAGTTATACACACAGCCTGTGTCACGATTGGTAATAATGTAAAATGAAGTAGTATATCCGCTGTAAAAAACACCATGACCAACAAAAATGCCATGCCAAGCCAACACCAACAACATTTTGTTGGTTAAAATAAAAACATCAATGCATTACTTTGGTATAGCTTTGGTAGTAAACTGGGGTTTTTGCTTCAAACAAATGATTGCAAGTTTTTATGAGATTTGGAATTTCCTTGAAAACAGTAGTTTAAAATCCATCAATACATTTCTGTTACCAAATAGACTTGCACATACTGCTCCAATATTTTTTTTGGTCAAATTGTAACTTGCAGTAACAGAAATTTTCCAGATATTCCGGTATTAAAGCAAATATGTAATCACATGAAGCTTATTGCTAGTTGGTCTGATGATCCCTAAATGTAGCATTACTGTGTGATCACACCACTAGTTCAAAAAATGTTTTAGAAATGAAACAATCACAATATAAAGAAACATAGCTTATATACCCGGACAGCTTCCTTCTGAAGAATCTCCATTTTCTGCTGCGTTTATTAAAATATCGAGATCGGGAATATCATTGGTTTCCAACATTGCCATACTCATGTTATTGATGCATTATCAATATTTATATCTAATGAGTAAAACTATATGAAAATCCTATCAATAAAGATCTCAAAATAATCCAACATGTACAATCGATACATGCAGCAGACATTCACATTCAGACATTTTTCAAATGACAGAAGTCAAAATTTAAAATACACTCAGGCTTAATAACACTTACTATTTTGTTGAACAATAAACCAATTTTAAATTACTGTGTACTTCTGTACTTGCATAAATAAGTTATGTATTCAGATATGTTTATCAGTTTATCCTTGGAACTTGCTAAAGGTTATTAAGCTACATCAGTACATGCTGACATGGGACGAAGCTTTTTAAATTTGGATATCTCACACTAATGAAAATTAAAACATTACTTAAGTTTATTTAACTGTTTAATTTCAAATTATTCAAAGTCTGAAAGTGTAGTCTCAACAGACAGACAGAATTCCTAGTCTGATCCATGCCTTTCTGCCTTTGGCTTACAGACTTACGGCTGTAAAATGTTTAGAGATGCTTCTATCTATGTCTGTCTGTATACTGGTATATGACTATCATCTTTTTCTGTCCTTACACAGTTATACAATCTGTAATACTTCTGTCTGTCTGTACTTGAATACATAGACCAGACTGCCAGAGGACCATGGCACAGTAGTGACTGTCAAACCGCCGAGTTGTGGAATATGGATAAGATACTGATGCAATGAAGAATTGCAGAACGGCGCAAATTCAGGACAGAAGGCGTGGTATTATAATACACTACGCCCATGAAAAGATAAAGCATAACCTCCTACTGTCCTAACCAGCCTCAAAGCCAAACATAACCGACATTGGACTTCCATAGATAAAGTTATGTTGTGACAAAGTCATGCTTTGATGCTACTCGCTAAAATACCCGCTAAGCCAATAAACATTACGAAACAACCAGCCGACGCGTAACCCAGCGTACAACAAATAATGTGCGTCACCGTAACACGTGGTACATATAACAATCGCTGCCTTTGCACAGAACGCGCCAAGCGCCATTGATGGGTAAACCTATATTGTGGCTAGTTATATTTATCGTCGTAGCTATTCACTGTACCTCAGACATTTAATGCATGCTTAGTTTACTACCGGTAATTATATTGTATTTAATAACTGATTTTACATATAAAGTCCAGATATTAACATGACCATACAAAAATGGGTATTGAAATGGGTGGATTAAAACTACGATCAGGCGTGACAGACATTTATTTCATGTTATCATGTTAATCACGCGAGCGTGAACAAGAATGGTGCCACATCTGGACAAAGTAACTGGACTGAGTAACGTTCCAGTGTGTGGTCATTCTCATAACATTCAATTTGATCAGCGTGAAAGCAATGGTCAGATTAGAGAATAGTATTCTATTATCAATTTCAAGTGAAGAATAAAATAAATAATATTCGTATAAATTTCAGTGCAAACTGATTGCTATAATTAAACCAAAGAACAATTGAGCAGCTCATAATTCTTAGAATCTAGTTCGATTAAAAACATGAAGTCGTCATTCAAACGACCTTATTTACGCAACTCGTTGATGTCACAAAGAGTGATGATGTCAGAGGTGATATCACATTTCAACGTATGTCGAAACTTGAATGTATACTTTGGCCTTATCAAAGTGATTTCGAATATTTCACAATCACGAGAATTATAAATTGAATACCGTTTCGATTTTAAACTATTATCTACGAACAAATATTAGTCTGGTATGTCTGAAAGTCAATTTGAACAGAATCAAAAAAGAAAAACATATATATAATATATATATGTATATATATCAGGGAAAAATACATTTATATTCCGGTTCATACCGTGTTTACCCGAAAATAAAACCTAGCCTAAAAAAATAGGACCTACCCTAAATTTTATTAATGGTTTTAATATATCCCTTCCATCCTTGGCCAAGTAATGTTTCGAATATGTAAACATTTTACCCGACCATGCATGGCCGTTGGAGGGTTAAAGTTCTAAACAAGAGCAGAACGTAAAATCAATCGTGAAATTTCGTTGTAACGCACACTGACTCGTTTAATAATTGTTGCGCCTATTATCATCGAAAATGACTACAATCGTTAAATTTTGAAGCATTTGGGCAGTAATAATTAAGGCAAGACATAATCAAAATCATAAAGTGAAGTGCTGAATTTGCAAATTCCGTAAATAAAATTAAGCATTACTCGGTAAGGATTTTAGCTATTATAACCGTCGCGGGAGTTGTTTTGTTGAAAAAAACGTTAAAACTTGAAGGAATTAGTATTGCGAGTTTATCTATCTAATACTAAAATAACACGAACACCATAGAAAAGCATTAGAAACTCGTAAAAATTATCGTTTCAATAAATATCCGCATCTCGGTTACCGTTCACTTTGAACAGACACGGTTACATTTACAAGCGGTGATAAGTAAGATCAAAGCCAAGGCAGAGGATAAAACTCAGAATAAAATTAATTTGGTTTTGAAATCAGTCCTTAATCAACAGCTGTCGCTGATGTGAGCGCATGGATATACTGGAAATATAAAACTTCGATATCCGGCGACCCATTATTTTTGCAAAAAAAGAGAAAGGTCGGGAATATAGATTACCAACTTTAGGATATTGCCGCCGAAACGACCGCAGTGACAAAAACAATCAGCGATTATGATGAAATTAACCAGTAAAAAACGCTTTATTGTCTACTTTTCAATGTTTCTATTTATTTCCGACGGGAGTATCGACTTCCGACGTTCTGGATCCTTGTTGTGTATAAAAAAAAATATTCATTATTCGACTATTTGGTATTCGTTAAAATTATTCATAATATTCGATACAGAAAATCATTCGATTTTGCCCACCCCTAGACTAACAACCATTTAATTTGGCTTTGATTTCTATTAAGTATGTCAAAGCGGGCCGTAATCGTGAAGGATGCAAGGTGCAGTTGCTGATTGAGATGATCGCCAGTTGATTGGCAAATATTTCGGGACTATTTTCGATTACTGAATCAAAATTAAAACTCTCCAAAAATTAAAATAATCATTGAGTTATTTGATTTAAACATAATATTCGGAAATGCGATAAAAACTGAAAAATCCACGAAAGCAAGTCAATGATTACAGCCATGTCTAAAATCTCTCCATGTGAAAAGTGTCCGAGTGGCCGCGAATACGCTTGCTGTTGCGTCACTATTGCATCTTGTAGATTAGTCAACGGTTCGCAAATAAACACAATCCATTCGACTAACAGACAATGATTAAGACAATGATTAAGTCAATTATTAGTTTTCAGTGAACAAATTTCTTTGAAAGTAGTTTAAGTTTTAAAGCATTCACAAGAGCCGCAGGAGAGGTTGTTGAGTTGAGAATGACTGGTATATATGCTGACAAAATCGGCATATATATCAATTTATATCCATACATGCATGTCAGTATGCTTGTAGTTAACATGTCATATACCGGCAGAATTGAATGCATTAATTCTATAAATGAAGATATACTGGTTCAATTTTATCTTTATACTGATGACCACTGCATATAATTGTAGGACACCAGAAAATTCAATTCAATTGATTAGTTATTTATATGATTACCGAATATCCTATAGCTGAGTCACGTAACATGCCTCAAAAAGTCCAAGTAATAAAACTATGGGCTTGTATCCTAATTTTTCAACAGACTGTAATAAATCAACGCATCGTCGGGCACCCGTCGGCATTTCAAAACACCTATTGTTGTTTTCATAGTACTACCCCGTTTTCTGTCAAACAATCGCCCCATTGAGTTACTAAGAATCTCAGAGTAAATGAACCGAAAATGGAACGTTTTGCATTTTTGCAAATACCTCAGCTTATTAGCTTACTAAATTTCACCAGCTGAGGCCAACGTTCTTGAATAGTTTCCACTCTAGATTAGAGGATGGCAAGAACTATCTTATCGTTTTATATACTGGCTGGCATCTCACTCATCGGTTCATGTAAGTAGAGTTTTATTTCATTCTGCTAGTTTGTAGTTTATTAGTGGAAAATACTTATTGCGAAGTATAGTCGAAGCAAAATTGAATACCAATAATCTATGTATATAATAATATGCTTGATTAGATTACCCTGTTCCGATTTTCCGAAAGTATTTTTTTTATCTCTGTCTTCATGTTAGTGGAACAGCATGTACTAACTGCGAGGATACTGTTGCAAGAATTAACACGACTTTATTGAATGAATCAAAATTATTACATAACAATTTCACAAATGGTATTCGGCAACGTTTCGCTAATAATCGTTGCTCTGAAACTAGAAATATGAAAGTGGTAATTTACGATACTCTAGTTTTGTGTGCCTATAGCACAACCACCCCGAAAGAAGTCACTCAAATGAGTTATTCAAACAAAATATTAGCGTATATTTATCAAGCGAAAATAAAATATTGAAAACGAAATTTTCAATTATTAATTTTTAATTTCTCGTATCGTAATATTGTACGTCATAAAGCATCTTGCTTTTCGACATAACCTGTATGCAATTTCATTTCGATCCTGGTGGCAAAACATTTTTCCCACGCGCAATTAACAAATGCCTAGAGCCCTAGCCTAGACCAATGCATTAACAAAATTATTCTTATTACTTATCGATTTCAATCGGTAAGTATGTTGATAGGTATTTTTCTGTCTGTATGTCTGTTTGTCTGTTAGATGCACGCGATATCTCACGAAAGCGAAATTGAATCTGCTCCAGATGCATGCGCATTCATCTTATCTCGGACCAGAAGCCTATTGATTTTGGGCGAATTATGTCGTATAATTAGCGAGTTATTAATTAATTAGTGACGGGACACAAGGTGTCACTATGGAGTAAGAGCGCTGTTTTGGGATCCCCTAACTTTCGATCGATAAGTCTTCGGCCTCTGAACGATATTCTCGTTTTTTTGTGATGGTGATTAATCTCAATAGACACGATTCCATATATATCTGATAACTGTTTTTATTGTGCATGTTTTGCTCAAAGAAAGAAGTGATGTCCACATTGTGAAATGAGACAAAAAATTCAGGCATAGGATAAATAATAATATTTTTTGGCCTTTTCTGTTATTGAACACGATCGTTTTGTTAAATTGTTGTTGTTAGTATTTTTCTTTTTTGTTGTTGTTATTGTGAAAAATCGCTTTGCTTTTAAATTTTCAGTAGTTAAACATTGTTGTTATCGCTAGAAGGCTATTATTTTTACTCATTACGAAAATTTCTGTATGGTGGATGACTGTATGGAATTCATTTTAACCCTGAAGTTTTGTGTGATGACTTCATCAAATTTAAAAATTGCGCACCGTGTTGCGGTTCCGCAATCTGGTGGACAGCGAAGCCGTAGAGTTAATGAGATTTTAGTTTAATAACGATATTTCAAAATATTTAGGTCAAGATCTGACTTGCGAAGGTGACTTCAGTGTTCCTCGTTATGAAAGCGGAGAAAGATTTATAACGTCAATTGGACAGAAGAATTACGATTGCAGTTGCCGTGGGGTTGACTGCGAGCAGATTACATGTATTGTTCTCCAAAGCACTTCGGATACTCCTGGTAGGGCATTACCAGAATATCAGAATAATCTACACTCTGCCCACCTACTATCTGTTTAGATAACAGAACCATCAGTCGTGTAATAGACTCAGTCATGAGAGCATTGTATGTAGTTATCGTTTACACGACAATGTGTTTGTTAGCTTTCCTCCAGTTTAATGGGCTGTCTTGAACAGGATACATCTTCTCAGACACGCTAAACTAAACTAAATTATTTAATTAATGCCCCATTACAACCTTGTGTGGAGCAAGTATCACTTAAAGTACATGATGAATATTGTTTATTTTACGGTTGTACACAATTTTATCTAACTCGTTTAATTAAATTAAAGATTTCAGCATTATTGGCTGTAACCAGGGGTGGGATTCAATTTTTTTGTCAGCCGTCTTCATCACAAAAGACATATTTTTTCACCCGGTTTTATCACAAAAAATCAGTAACCAATAATACTGACCGGTTTGCTGATCCCATACAATTCCGTGAGACGGTTCTATAGAACCGGTGCGAACCGGCTGAATCCCACTACTGGCTGTAACCTGTGAAAACATTTATTATTGCAGAATCCAGTGAAACTTGCCGAGACTCTAAGACAGGGTTGGTATACGCACGTGGAACCTCATTCGTCAGATATTTGAAAAATGAAAAAATACTTCAATGCACATGTTCTTCGATTGGACCTCTGAAGATCAAGTGCAAATCCCCACAATGTGTCATTCCCCCTCCTCCGCCTCCGACACGTTCTCATCTGCGGCGCAACGGTCAGAATATGTTTTGATAGAATAGGATAGGTTTTACATATTCATGCTGGGGGAGAGTGAAGCCGATAAGACGGCTTAACTATATGGCAAACCACGGCCTCTCGTTCGGTTACCAGTCCATGACGGATTTGAGATTAGTTTCATTATTTAATTTCATTTGTTCCTAAAATTGCTCATTCTAAATTGTTTGCTCCTATAATCTGATCGGGGCGTGGAAAGCATGACAGCAAAGTATCGATTTATGAACACCATTATATGCCGTGGTGGGATTCAAAATGTTAAGAACGGGTTCTCTTTGTATCGACCTCACTAACAGCAGGTTCCACTTTACATTAATCCAATATGTAATTTTCAAAATGCCAACTATTACACTTGTTGTCAGCCCAAGAACGGGTTCGCTGATCATCACGACATTCCAACGGATTCGCTTGAACCCTACTGAAGCCCACCTTTGATTATAAGACATGCGATTTATATACTCCCAGGTTCGTGCTATGACAGACATACTGATGACTGGCATCCATACAATGTTTTTTATACTCGAAGAGTTATTATGAGTTATGCTCCAGATATTATCGGAGAATACAAATGTTTGTGCAACCACTTATCGTCAAGATGCGCAGGTAATCACAGAATTTTAAAATAATTTGAAAGAAAGTATTAAATACGATTGTCCAAAATTTGACATTTTAATCGCCCTGGTCAGTGACGCTATCATAATAGTGGACAGTTTTTTTTTCTTATAGTAAAAATTGACCACATGCTTATTAGGATACAAATAACCTGTTGATAAAAGCAGGTCTGATAGGCATCCATGTTGGGCATCTGTTGTTATTGGGCATTGGCATCGGTTCCATTACATTTGAACCCACGTACATTTGAACCCATGGTAATTGCACCTGTATGCTATTGCACCTATGGAATTTTTTTTGTTTCACGGATAGTTAAACCCATACTAACCATAACCCATGGGTTTTAGCACCCGCATATAGATTGAACCCGTGGATATACGCATGGGTTCAAATGTACGGTCACCATTGGCATCTGTTGTTATTATGATAGCTATATTTCTTTCATCAAATATCAGCGGTTGATCTACCATGTTGTGACACAAGAACTGGTAGATTTGTAGCAAAGAATGAACGATTTGTTGCCGAACTTGACGGATTGTTGCCGATGAGTTGCATGTGCTTAGGGGGAAGAGGAAAAATTGGATCTTGTGAACAACTTCACGATAGAAGAGAGATAGGTGAGTACATGAATAAGTGTCTGCACATGTAATTCGGTATTTAATGTGCTGTCTGTGTTAGGCTTAGTGTGTACTATGTTTGTACAAATATATGTACTAAATATCTGCGCGTTTTCAGGGCAAAGTCAAAGGGTCCGCAAAAAACGTTGCCTGGACACCACAACTAACAGATATTATCCCGAAGGCTCAAAATTCATCCAGATACGCCGAGATGTGGAAAGAGTATGCACTTGCCAAAAGAAACAAAAACGTTTGAAGATCGTTTGTTCTCCAAGATCAAGAGAATTCCCTGAGTTTCGCTGATAGCATTTTGTTTTGACATTGCTGAGAGTGAATGTTGTCAAATTGTAACAATACTACGAACTATTTTGATGATTATTTTTACGCGACAGGTTGCTCATCTCACAAAGCATACTTGCTTCAACATCGTGCATTCGCAACAACTATTATATACATACTCATCTCTACAGGCAGGACTGATGGGACAGCACACATTCGTGTATCCCAAGGGGAAAGTGGACACGAGGGACAAACGGGACACGTGAGACAATTGGGATATCTTATATAAGATTACCTTTTGTGCGTCAACAAAATTAACATTATGTCCTTACCTTAGTTTTAACCTGATGATGAGGTAATGTGATAGCGCGTATACACAATCAGAGTCATAAATCGTTGGGCGTATGTCGTGATCGGTAATATAAAATACATTCTGGAGGGCGAACACAATTCTTTCCCAGGCAACTGGCGGGCCGATTCGGACGAATTTTGGTACGTGGGTGGTTCACATAACCCCGAAAATTTTTCATTGCGATCAGGACAGAGTAGGGAAGTTTAGTGATTTGGAGGTGGGTACTTGTCAATCAAGTCACACTCGAATGATTTTGTGGTTGAGAGGCCTTTTGACGTCTTTTCCGGGGTGGGAGCACTGAACTGAAAATACATGAAACGTTCATCTCTCTCGTTTTGCGTTGTCTCAGAGCGGGACAAATTGATCTCCGCCATCTTTGCATTTATGCTTCCAAAGTTACTTCGTGCTGCATCTGGTTTTGGCCTGTTTTTCATCTATTTTAGTACCCAGTGATCCGCATATGGATGTATATTCGACATTTACTGGATATTCAAATACAATTATATTTAAGTTATGAATTTAGAGCCTGATGTGAATCTCGTTCTTGAAACAATTTGGTTGTTCACGAGCTTACACAATAGAATAATAGATGATATAAATCAGTAGTTCTCAACCTGTGGTACGCGGGAGCTTTTCAAGGGGTACGCGAGCAGCTTTGAATTATTGCAACAATTAACTTTTCAGTCGGCTGAAATATGCCGGCAAAGCTTTATCTTCCTTAGTGTATGTATTCGCTGAACAGCCTTTGTGGATGTTTCTCCAAGCATCAGTTTCCTTGTTTATTTCCGTAATCATAACCAATCAGCAATAAGTCAATAATGACGTGACCATACCGATTGCAATTCCTGCACCCGGCCCCTCAAACAGATATTCAAGCATTACGAGTTCTATTACGAATTCGGGGACTGTTTGTGTTAGCGAAGTGGATATACCCCCTTCCCATAGGTTTCAGTCCCTTTACACAACTTGGTGTAAAGTAGGCGAACAAAACTAGTTACCTCCATATTGGTACACACACTTCTGGAGATCCATTTAGTTCTATTTATATATATAGCTCGGTTACTACGGAGCCATGCCGCGCAATGATATTGAAATCGCCACGCAAAATACTTAAGGCGATATGATATGGCAAATACAGGTAAATGAGGGAGCGATTTCGATAAACCATATTGGTTAATGTTCTGTGGTTGTTGTTGTACGCTTTTGACTGATACGTTGGCAATATTATTAATCCACGACTTAACGCAAATTGAGGAAACAGCCAAAATTAGCACCGTATGGCGGGCTGGGATATATTAGCGTTCGATACATAATGTGAAACGAATCAAGATCAGCAGAATATGCAAGAAAAATCGACGCAAATAATTGTTCACTGTCAAATGCCATAAGAAATGCATCACGCGCCTCGTAAAAGTTGGTCTATCGCCCAAACGAGAGAGCGTCATCTAATATTAAAGGAAATTTCAAAAAATCCGTTTCAGAATTACAGAGGTCGTCGTCGTCGTAATCTGTGACGTTTTGTCTGCACCTCAATTACCTCACTCAAATGGTGAACTGCCCGTTTGCTGTTTGAGAATGCAGGATGAATCATAATATGTTTAATCGAAACAATAAATCGTACTTTGCAAGTTTTGAGGTTTGCCATCTGTATTTTTTCTTCCATAATAGCTGTTATTATGCTTGTGTCCCCCAGCAGTTTCAATTCCTTCTTGTTTATATTGTCATAGGATGGACAACTTTTGGGATTAGGAATGAATCATCTGATCAACAATATTTTGACAAGTATTTCCTTGAAATAGTCTACACTCTACACCTTTTCCTCAACAAATGTGGCCAATAAGGCGTGACAATTTGTCAAAATGAAGAAGGTGCCAGAACATGACTTCAAGGTGCCTGAGTCGACGGGTAACCTCAAATAAGCTCGTGCACACGCCAAGCTCCTAATGCATATTCCTGTTATTACTTGTCATTCTTGTTTTCAGCCACAGTTATATAATCAATTTTCTTGTCTTGTTAAAAAGGAGTACTGATTCATTTTTGTATGTACATTTATACGAATGGTTAGCTAGTATTTAACAAGAGCTATTTTGCAAGCTTATTTTATACGACAGTGAAATTGTTCGTATTCCAAATTTATTAATCGATGAATGAACCAAGTTTTTCTCGAGGAAATGGGTTGCAATAGAGTCATGGCATGAGTGGACATTCAACTTAAAAATTCAACAGATAATATCGTGGGAAATCTGACTCAAACTTATTCGATTTCAATCGCAATTCGCATACTGCTTACAAGATACAGTTTTGAAAAATTCTAAAGTAAACACATCGATCAGCTAGATAGAAGATGATCATGAAAGATAAAAGATTCGATCAGTTAGTTACCTTAATGATTAAATCAGATCACCATTTGGAAAATATTCATAGATTCACTACTCGTGACATATTTTTCCATGCTGTAATCTTCAGCTATCTTATACTAATGTCCAAATTCGATAAAGCAGTGTCGATTAAAAATAAAGATTGTATGTCAAAATCTTTTTATCACCATTACGAAAATACTTCTATGAAACGCCTATCCATGTATTCCTTGACTGTAATCTTGTCCGTTTGATCATTGGATGCTTCGTGACCAAACCCATCTTCGTACTCGAATTCCTCCATCAAAGCGTTATCATCAGCTTGACCAAAATACACGATTGATCTTCGTGTATTCATCCTGTTACTTTGATCGCGAGGTGGCACAACACGATGGAGCTGAATTAAGAGAAAACGACTTTTTAGAATATTGAAAAACATCATTTTCTATAGGCTTCAATTAAAGTTTGATATAATAGGACATACACAAATCATTTAGTAATAGATATATACCGTTGCACGCAGTCTTCCTCCACTCCATTTCTGTATTGTTTCGCCAAGATTTACGATTATTGTTCCTGGTATGGGTGTAACATCAGCAAATTCTCCTTTTGCATTTATTGACTAAAATGAACATTGATCATATACGACGTTATTAAAATAAATAAATATTCAAATTGAATGTTTATATAATATATTGTTTTGTAGTCCGAACTTTGTCATAAAGTAGTCAGAAGTCGCAATTAGGCATAAATCAAGGACAATTTTACGGACCCCACTTCGTTGTCACCAACAATCTTGAATGTCGATTACATTTTGAATACTGGAATTGTCTCTCGGGAGACTAATAACCAATTAACAGTGAATTTTTACAATTGGCAAACAATATTACGAATCTATGCTCACTTGTAATCCTCCATTTTGATCTTGGAATAACAGAATCAATGTTGTCCAATCTGTATGGTCAGCTACACGGAATTGGTTTTCTTTCAAAGAATCATCTGTGGGAACTGGCGGATAACTCACAACTTTCATCGTTGACATATTTCCCTTTTTATTCATCAGCGAATGACATTTGCAAAAATATTCAGGATCCTATTGAAAATCATTAGAATTTGAAAAGTGGTTCAATTTATATAGTTAATTAAACTGCCGTACCCATACTGGCGTTATAAAATGAGACCGATTCATTCATATATTGCAACCCTTATTGACGCATTCCTCTCTCGGTTTTTTCAAGCTTTTTATGAAAAACTCTATTTGCATATATATATCTTTAATTTTAATCGGCAAATTTTTTGCGATGCACGAAACTTGTATTCTGTTTTTTTCTCATTTTGAATAGTTCAAAATGTATGTATATATATATATCTCCATTATAATAATGCTAAATAAGTAAAAACTATTAATTATACTATACACGCAAATACAAAGTGAGATTTCCCCTCCGAAAACATTCAGATTCTTCTCAGGGAGGTTGGGAAATGTGTTAGGACAATTCGGAAGAGTTGCGCTATAGCGGGGGGTCAGTAACTTATGAAATTGTATCTTTCAAACTTTCACAGTTACAGTACAGTCTTTTGTTTACAGTGACTATGCCTAGAATTGTATTATTACTCTCTAATACTGTATTTCAGCGAAGTCTGGTTTGGTGAACGACTTACTTTTAATCGCATTGCACTTCCGAGAGCTTTTAACAGTCTCATCTCGAGTACTTTGCACATATCAGCAAATGCTAAAAGCTTTTCTTTAAACTTTGGAACATTGGGCCAGGGTGTACTTTCGTCTTCTATGGCGGAACCAGCGATACGAAATCCCTCGAAGTAATCAAACTCTCGTTTTGGGTTAGCCATGTTGAAAAATAGATAGAAATCGTTAATATGAAATATTACGACCTGATATTCAAACTTCAGCTATTTTGAATTAAATTTTCAATTTCATACACACTAGTTGCTGATGTTATTCGCCATGAAAATTTTTTTGTTTTATGATAACATTGTACACTTATACTTAAATCAAAACCTACTTCAGATTAATAGATGTACTATCGTATTCAGGTCATGACAAGCTAACAATTTACCACAATATTTTGTTACACATATATATTCGATTCATTAAGCCAAGCCATCGGCTTCCCTCGGCCAATTATATGCGACGTCAACAATGGATATGTCATATGTACATTTTTTAGCAACTTGCGACCAAATGCCGAAATGCTAATGCTTACTTTGTGCTTCCGATTGGATCATATCCAAATTCAGCCTTGTTGAAGTAAAATTTTCTTTTTTCTTCTAAAGGCAGTGAGTAAAATTGCTCTGCCACTTCGTTCACTCCATCAACCGATTCACTACACATGAACATGATTTCATTTAATGTCTAAGCGTCTCTAGTTTTCACGATTCGACAATGTCACATCTTAGGTAATACGATAGAAAAAATTAATTCTTCAATACTTTATTTAAATCTAGACAGAACGGGTGGATACACCCTATATATGAAATGATAAAATAAATTATATATTCATCTTTACCTTGGTAGTCCATGATTTGACAAGTAGACAAATCCAGATGTCGTAAATGCGCGGTATAAGATCTTCCCCACATCACGGATAGCTTCGTCACATATTTCTGCATCATCAACCTGAAGTCCGCATTTTGATAGATCAACTATTGGAATTTCATCTGTCATAATTGTTCATTAACCTGATAGTTATACTCTACTACTACTCTACAAATAAAATTGGGCCTCACTGCAATTATAAATCTCAGACATGAGAAGGTAATAATATGGTCTATATACAAGTCGTGACGCGTGCACAAGAAGAAGCGTGAGGAGAAGAACGCTATTGGACTATCTGTTGCCTTGAATAATAACTTCATGTAGGTGTATAATATTTCTTGGATAGCAAAACCCATATATATACATGTTCGCGATACTACCAACCAAGCGGACCAAGCATTTAGATTCTGTTGACCTGATAAAATATGTAACCAGCAAACAACTCGTGTCGTTAAATAGGAGACAACTTGTTTGCGTTAGACAACAGGCATGTGACTGTAAAGCGACAAAAACAGCTTTGCGGTGTGCTAATCCAATTATTTACCCGAGGCTGAATTCGTAGTCTGCATAAATGTCTGGCAAAAACCACGAGTTTATGCTTGATGGCACATCAACGCATCAATTCATCACATAATATACGTTGAACTACTTCACTGAAAAATTAATTGCCTAATGCAAGTGAGCTTAGCTATATCCTAACATGAGAATCACCGCCCAGGGTAGGCTGAAAAAGTAAAAATGGAATGAAACTATATTGATCTGATGCAGTAGTGGGATTCAGCCGGTTCGCACCGGTTACATAGAACCGTCTCACGGAATTTTATGATATCAGCGAACCGGTTGGCATTACTGGTTGATGTCGATGTTCTGTTTGTAACAGAACCGGCTGAAAAACATGACTTTAGTGAAAAAAACGGCTGACAAAAAAATTGAATCCCACCACTGATCGGATGACTGACTAAAATGGAAGCCTCGGCTGGCCATCTGTATTACTATTCTCCATGTCGGTCTAACTGATATTTTGACTTTATATTTTTAAATATATTTAGGTTATTATCGAGGATTGATTACGTTAACCCACGAATATATGAAACAGGGGTTCTCAACCTGGGGTTCGCGAACCCCCAGGGGTTCACGAGAAGATTTCCAGGGGAACTGGTATGTTTATTACTACCATAGGAAAATGCGTATCCATTGAAACTAGACGCCAATGGGGACGTAGATTTTCCCTGATTTTGCGTTGTTGTGATTATGACGCAACAATGTGAAATTCAAGGCTTTGCGTACAAACTGTGAAATCTCTAAAGACAGCGTGCTGTGAGCATTGGAGAAGTGATTATGCTTATTGTAACCTGGTTGGGAGAGGTTTTAAGAATTCATCAGTTAGGCAGACGACAAGGGCAATAATATCAACAAGACGATTCAATTTAGTTACATATGGTCAATAAATTGGTGTTGCAACAAATTGTTAGTTAATATAACAGTATATCACAGTGGCGGCGCGTGGTCATTTTGACAACCGGGGCAAGCTACTGCGGGACCAAGTCACCCCCATCTACGGGGACAGGATGAGCGCTGTAAGTTCTCCCATAATTTTATGAGTATAAAAACCATTCCATCGGTAACAACCAATCGGCAAAAGCGACAATTTTTAACGATAAGAAAGTGTCTTTAAAACCGGTCCAAGTCAAGGGATTAATAAATATAGACATAGTTTATTTTGAAACCTCTTTCAAAAGGAAAGGCAATATTTACCCAGATAAATACAATGACATATTAACAGAAACTTCGGGAAAGCAGACAAAACCTAAAATAAGGTTTAAAACGTTACTATGAAGAAAGGAAAGGTAATGCAAAGATAAGGACATGCGTCGCTCACTCATAGATATATATGCTGCTAGACTTCTACTGCTTGAACATATATGCAACACGCCGCGGTTTCTTGGAAGCAAAATGCTCAATAACGCGCTGATTAAAGTCATGCATCCCAGAAATAACGTCTCTGTGAATGGATAAAACAGCCAAGGAATTTAATCTATCTTGCTTCATTGTGTTTCTGAGATACGTTTTAATACGCTTCAGCGTGCTGAATGTTCGCTCTGCGTCGGCGGAAGAAATAGCCGTCGTCAAAATGATGTCCAGAAATTTTGCAGACGCCGCAAAGGTAGTTACTAGAGTGTTATCTATGAGGAACCCATAGAGCGCGCAAGTTGATGTGATGTTCAAAAAAGTTTGGTTGGTGTATATACATCGCAATTCATTTTCCAATTTACCCACGTTTATCATGGGGTAAAATTTGGAGACAGTAGCCAACAAATGGATGGGAAATTGACGCGCAAATTTTGAAAATTTTCTGGGGTTCATCAAAGAGAACGCGGCAAGGTGTTCAGTGCGCAGACGATCGCCTATTTGATTCACCAGAATGTCACAGCATTCCTTTGCAGACAAAATCAAACGCTGCGTTGTTTGCCCGCGGCGTAAAGAAGCACCCCATGTGTCGTCGTATTTTATTGTTTCCCGGATACGAGATACAGCATCGCAGAAGTCTGAAATACACGACTGCACAGACGCTCCATCCATTAGCCTTGACTGCAATGCGCCGTATAATACATCCACGTGATAGAATATTGTGGAGAAAAAAGCGAGAAGAAATGAAAACTCACCATCTTCTAGCAGACGCTTTAGACCTGCCGCCTTCCTCACAGAGCGTTCGTCCCAAACCGGAGAGCTCTGAATGCCATTGAAACACTCAATGAGCTCAGACCTAATTTCGGACACGCCCTGCACCACGCGTGATTGGAAGTTCCAACGTGTTGGTGCACAAGCTGGGAGACGGCGGTTACATATCTGGCGAAGGAGGTCAGAGCGCTTCGGCGAAACAGAAAAAAATGAAGAAAACCCCGAAACATTTGCAAAAAATATACGGACGAGAGGGGTATCAAGACACATATTTTTAATAACGAGGTTAGGTGTGCATAACAATGTAAAAAATGCGCATGAGGAAAATATTCTTTTATATAAACTTGAACACCATGTTTCGACCCACTCACGACTGCCGCGCCGTCATAAGTTTGAACTATCAATTTTGACTTCGCGTTGTAAGGCTGTAACACTTCTTTCAGTACAGCCGATATCCCGCAAGCCGTGCGATCAACGATTGGTACAAAGCTGTGAAATCTCTCGGTAGGTTTACCATCTTTCACAAACCGAAAAATCACAGCCAGTTGGGAAACGCACGTGATGTCAGTTGTCTCGTCAAACTGAATCGAAAGGAACTGGCAATTCTCAATTTCCAGAGCCAAATGTTATAAATAAATTTTATACATTGAGTCGAGCAAATCATTTTGGATATTCTCAGATGTCCCTTTCGAAACAGTTGCGGCATCAAGATGATCTCTCAATACTGTATCTAGGGATGCGGTGTATTCCACCATATCCAAAAATACCCCTCTATTAGAAGAGCCAGCCCGTTCATCGTGCCCACGGAGGGACAGCTCGTGACAACCAATGAACTTCAAAACATCTATCAATCGACCGAGAACATGGCGGTTTTTCTCGACGTTTTGGTTGTGCCGACGAATAGAAACCGCGCGTCCTTCATCCAACTGTGCTGCAATATCAACATTTCCGAATGTTCGGTATTTTACTGCATTGTCCAGATGCTCCATAGAAGATTGATGATCCCTGGCACGCTCGGAAAGATGTTTAAGATCTCTAAAACCAAATTTACACCAACGTGAGTCACGGGCGGTAGCAAAAAGTAGGCAATAAAAACAAAAAAGTGCATTTTTGTCCTCGCTGTAACACAACCATTCGTGTTTTTTATACCAAGTTTCTGCGCAGAATGTACGCCGACGCTTTCCTTCGTCATGGGATTGTTCCAGTGAACAATTTTTTGGTTGATAAGGCCCAAGACGTTGTGCCTCTAATTTTTGTTCCAGCGGCAGCTGCGAAAACGGAGTGCGAAGTAGTGCATCAACCTTATTCATTATGAGGTCTAAGGCTAAGAAATGCGAAGCCGGAAAGAAGTGAGGAGTTCAAAAGGAATGTGGAAAATCGAAAGCAAATGGACTAAAGGTCTCTAACTGATTCAAATAGCGAAACAAGCGACAAAAACGAAGGCGAGGAAACTATCAACTCTTCAAGCAACCAACGAACGAGAAGGAATGCGTGAATATGTCAACACGTTGTTGTAAGAAACGTCGGCATTGTGTCGTCATAATTTCGGGGCTAGCCCCGATCGGCCCCGATGATTTAGTAAAAGAAACAGAAAACAAACGAGACAAACGCGGCGAGTGGAAGATAAAAGAGAGAATACGATATACAATGAGCAACCGGGGCAAAATCGGCGTCGCCCCGTCGATGTTCGGCGAAGGCTTTGCGAGCGTAAAATGAACCATGTCGGGAGAATATGGCTAGTGTAGACAGTCGTCTGTGCAACCGATATTGAGGTATTTTTCGAATATTTTTTATTATACCGAAAAAAACAACCGGGGCATTGCCCCGGTTGGCCCTATTGACGCGCCGCCACTGGACTATATCACAACTTTGTTCGGTGTCAGATTACTGGGGGTTCTCGTTGATTGTTTCGTGACTCTTGACAGAAAAAAGGTTGAGAACCCCTGATATAAAAGGTGTACAATAAAATCAATACACGATATGCAAATGTAATTGATCTAATTTTATTAATGTTTAGCCCATCCCCGTGTAGTTGATGGATGCAAACTTTCATTTTTGTTCCAGAATCTGGATGGTTAACGCAGATAAAGGAATTATATGGAGTTGGATTGGATTTTACAATCTGTGAGTTGAATGTTAGCGATTGTGATCCAGAGGAATCACCTTCATCTGGGATAAAACTTTATAAGGCATTTCCAACTTCTGGTTTTGCCTATTTGTAAGGATACGTATATCAAGGCAATGAGGATATATACAATGCGTAGAAGTTGCAACACTTGGTTGGTTATTTCATTCTCTTTGTCGAAATTGAAATCGTATGGCTTTACGGTCAGGGCTGCCACTCGCGGGCGTAGCCAGGAATTTTAAAAGGGAGGGGGGTTTTGAAATTTGTAATTGCCAAGTTTGACTGTAACAGATGGTCTGGTCTGAGGCCGCGAAACGCGAGTTTCTGAGAGAACTGATGTTCAAAAAATTGCTATGTGTGATACAGAATAGAACAGAATGGATTTTTTTTAGAAATCGAAACTGAATATGTCAGGATTCGCCAGGAACAAGGGCTTCAAATGGAAGTTGAGGACCGAATGGATGTTTCCCCGAGCATCGACTTCTTTGTTTCTTTCGCGACATTGGCCAATCAACAAGATGCAAAAAGTTACTTAGTCCCGCAACCGCCCAGACACTTTTCTCGCTCAGACAGATTTTCAGGCGTTGTCGTAAACTTTACCTCGTTTTCGCGTTTTTGAAATCTATTCGTTAGTTTTTAGTTGAGTTTCGGATATTTAAATATATATCAAATAATTCAATGATCACTTTGTCTTCTTAGGAGTTTCAGTTTAATTGCAGTAATCAAAAATGAGTGTATAAATAGTTGTGATAGACTAGGATAAAATTCTTTACCGGTACTTTTATACAAGAGAGCTACGCCCAAATATATGGACACGGGTGTTCGCAGTACAGTACGGTTTACCGTACCGTCAGATCACAGTCTACAAATATATTCACACCAAGCGAAGCAATACAGTAGGACTTCAAACTTTCGCTAAGGCGGTACGGTAACGTCCCCGCAGAAAAGAAAACTAACATTATTGCAATACTGTACGGTACAGTACCGGTACCGTAGTAGGACAGCGTAGGAAAAAATCGTAGCAAAGTACCGCAAGGACTTCGTTACGAACCATTGACGTTCGATGGCACGTGATCAAAAAGAAGAGGAGTGTCGGCTATGCGTCCGCAGAACGTTCGGTGACGTCATAGCAAACAAAAAGAAATCTCACAGGGCTAACAGAAATATTTGAAATAAATAAAAGTAATAGCCTTCTGGAGAAACATTTCATCTTTAACCAGTAAAAATTTCGAAGCAATCGGTCCAGTAATGAAAGAGAAAAGCGTTTTTTTTCTATTTTCCACTAGATGTCCAAAAAGTGTCAAAGAACAACAACAACAAGACCAACATAATATTGAAACGATCGTTATGTCCACTACGTGTCCAAAAACAGATTGTTGTATGCTATAAATCAGAATGATGGTTGGAAACAAAAATACCCCATTTTACAGGCCCCAACTTGCAAAACCACTCTTAAATTAAGCACCGAAAATATTGAAATGGTAAAGTATGGGAAGAATTTGGTCAAAAGTCAGGGGAAGATCCATAAATCGCCTAATTCGGTCACAATCACGTCGCTTATACTTGACGACATCCGGAGACGGAGCCATAAAATTTTATGCGCTTATTCGGCTCGTGGCAAGTCGCACCTATTGGGGCCGTTAATTCTTCTGTTTATGTACAGCTGTGGGGTCCGAAGCGTAGTACAGTAAAAGCATACTAACTATGAACCGACGGAATAAAATGTCATGGCCGGTAGCTACTTTTCAACTGGAATTTGCTGACAATCCCTTCCATTTGAACTAGCGGTAATGATTGGAGTTTTGGACATTAATTTCAGAATGTTGAATAAGCGAGGCTGTAAGAAAAAAAAATATTGAACGAAATAGACACAAAATTGTCATCAGGTGACAAAATCAGAAGTACATGTCGCTAATAATTTGGTATCATGACAGGATTCAGGTAGGGAGAAATCAATGCTAGAAATTAATTCATTATGCCCAAATGTAAAGAAGAAATCATCGGATCATCAATAGATAATCCTAACAGTTCTTGCATATGCAATTACATAATTAAAACAAACCAACTTCGCCTAAAATGAATCAGCTGTGCGGCCCTGTGCCTGTAGTGAAACACCTAATTATATGTATCAACTCGAATTCCAAAAATCATCATTCTGATATGAGTTCAACACTGAATAGCAAATTAAAACTGGAAGTCTGTATTCTAATGCTGATTCATACTTGAAAATCTCAAGTAAAGTTTCGAAAATAAACTTGTGTGCCTCTAATACTTTTTTATACCGTTCATCGCAATGCCAACTGTTGACAAAAGCAGAATTACCCTACAGGCAAACATATCTGCATGTGGTTCAAGTGCAAATATGATGAATTGATAACTGTTTGACAGTTTAGCATGTTTATACTTTCGTTATTGTTTACTTTAGTAATAATACTTGGATGCTGACAGTAAAACTGTGGGCAGCTATACAGTAATCAGGTGTTGGGACTTTTATTTTGTAATAATCATGTGATGGCATTGCAAATTTTTTTGAGAATCGGAAATAATATTATCGGTTAATTAAAATGCACATGTGATTCTGAATATATTCGTTTTATCACAATACCACTGAGAGACGAGGAAAATTGAACATAACCTATAATTGGATTTACAACATATAAAAGTTGCTGTAGGTGACAGCACGTTTGCACCCGCGTACATTTGCACTTGTATACTTTTGCACTCACGGACATTTGCACCAATACATTTTCACCAACAGATTTTAGCATCTGCATGGCTGTTTTAATCACAATTTACGTGCTGATTACAAGATAAAATTTTGAAAAATGCAAATTCTAAAAGTAAAAACATCGAGTAGATAGATATACTGATGATCATAGAAGTAAAAAGGTCTCCTGAGACGAGTTGCTTGATAGATTAGATCAGATCACTATTCGGAAATTATTCACAGATTCACTACAGATGAGCTATTTTCACATATTTTCCATGCTGTAATCTCTAGCTATCTTATACTAATGTTCGATTTTGATCAAAATAAAGATTGTGAGTCATAATCTTTTTATCACCATTACGGGAATACTTCCATGAAACGCCTATCTGTGTATTCCTTTACTGTAATCTTGTCGGTTTCATCATTAGATGTTTTGTGACCAAACCCATCTTCATACTCGAATTCCTCCATCAAAGCGTTATCATCAGCTTGGCCAAAATACACGATTGATCTTCGTGTATTCATCCTGTTACTTTGATCGCGAGGTGGCATTACACGATGACGCTGAATTAACAGAAAGCGACTTTTTAGATTCTTTAGAATATTGAAAAACATCATTTATCAATACTTTCTTACAATGAAGTGGCTTTATAGTTTAATATAATATGACATATACAAATAATTTAGTAATACGTAAATACCGTTGCACGTAGTCTTCCTCCACTCCATTTCTGCATCGTTTCGCCAAGATTTACGATTATTGTTCCTGGTATGGGTGTAACATCAGTAAATTCTCCTTTCGCATTCATTACCTAAAATGAACATTGATCATGTACAACGTTACTCAATTATCTGGATTAATATAGTTGATGTAACTTAAACTCAATAAATAGTGATATATATTTATCAAATCGATTTCGTCAAATTTTCTCCAGGCTGCGTGGTTTACGGACCCCACTTCGTTGTCACCAGCAATCTTGAATGTCGATTGCATTTTGGATACTAGCATTGTCTCGCAGGAGACTAATAACTGATTAACAGTAAATTTCTACGGTCCATTTCAACAATTTGCAAACAATATTACGAATCTACGCTCACTTGTAATCCTCCATTTTGATCCTGGAATAACAGAATCAATGTTGTATGGTCTGTATGGTCAGCTATACGGAATTGGTTTTCTTTTAGAGTATCATCGGTGGGAACTGGCGAATAACTCACAATTTTTATCATTGTCATATTTCCCTTTTTATTCATCAGCGAATGGCATTTACAAAAATATTCAGGATCCTGTAAAAAATATTTTGAAATCAAAAGTGGTTTAATTTATATAGTTAAACTGCCGTGCCCATACTGGCGGTAGGATCACATTAAATTAGATCAATCCATTAAAATATTAGACTAGATGTTCCCAACCCTTATTGACGCATTCTTTCTTGCGATATGTGCAACTTATACTCTTGTTTTTGTACATTTTGAATAGTTTATAAATCATGCATATATATATACATATGCATTACAATAATACCAAATAGGTAGAAACTAATAATAATAATACTACACGCAAATATAAAGTAAGATTTCCTCTCCTAACCATTCATATTCATCTCAGAGGAGGTTGGGAAATATATTCAGACAATTCTGATGACTTACGCTAGTGGGAGGTCGGTTACTTATGAAAGTGGTATCTTTCAACATTTTTATTTTTGTATTATAAAAAAAACAGGAAAGTTGGACTTTTACAGTGACAGTGCAGTTCTTTGTTTACAGTGACTACCATGTTTCCCCGAAAATAAAACTGAGTCTTATTTCAATTTTCTTTCAAAAAACAACACTAGGGCTTATTTTCGGAGAATGCCTTATATTTTCATTTAATAAAAACAAAATTACAAAGTAGAGAATTACGAGATTTTTAAATATACAAAATATGAAAAGCAATATCCATTTAATTATAAATAACCCTATCTCAGGTCATTGAACCTTCTCCTCTCGCACAGGTTTCAGATTAATCATTTAAAACGTATAGGAGAGATTTCTTTTATCGACTCTGCAAAAAAAACATTCGCTTTATTGATTAGGTCTTCTTTTCAGGGTAGCTCTCATTTTCGGGGAAACACAGCAAGTTTAGAAACGTATTATTATCTTAATACTGTATTTCTGCGAAGTCTAGCGTGATGAACGAACTTACTTTTAATCGCATTGCACTTCCGAGAGCTTTTAACAGTCTCATCTCGAGTATTTTTACATATATCAGCTAATGCTAAAAGCTTTTCTTTAAACTTTGGAACATTGGGCCAGGGTGTACTTTCGTCTTCCATGGCAGAACCAGCGATACGAAATCCTTCGTAGTAATCGAACTCTCGTTTTGGGTTAGCCATGTTGAAAAATAGATGAAAATCGTTAATATCAAATATTCGAACTCCAGCTATTTTGTTCATCAAACAAAAATTTTGTTAACGATTAGTTGATGCACCACAACATGTATATTTTGAGAACTTCACCAAATGGCGAATTGCCAATGCTTACTTTCCGCTTCCGACTGGATCATATCCAAATTCAAATTTTTTAAGGTAAAATTTTCTTTTCTCTTCTAAAGGAAGTGAGTAAAATTCCTCTGCGACTTTGTTTACTCCATCAATCGATTCACTAGACATAAACACAAAGTTGGAAACACTGCTTTATCTATTTACAATCGCACGGTTTCATTTAATGTCTCGGCTTTTCTAGTTTTCACAATTCGGCAATGTCACATCTCAGATAATACGATAGATAAAAAAGCCTAATACTTTATTTAAGATTCAGATAGAACGGGTGATAGACAGAGGACCTTGATTAAATAAAATATATATTCATCTTTACCTTGGTAATCCGTGATTTGACAAGTAGACGAATCCGGATGTCGTGAATGCGCGGTATAAGATCTTCCCCACATCATGGATGGTTTTATTACATATTTCGGCATCATTAACCTGAAGTCCACATTTTGATAGATCAACTATTGGAATTTCATCTGTCATAATTGTTTATGAACCTGACATTTATAGCCTACTCTCCAGAAATCAAATAAAGTTTGGTCTCACTACAAATAAAACCACATGCATATGAAAGCGATAATATTGTATAAATTCAAGTCGTGTCGCGTGCACGAGAGAGGGAAATGAACGCTCATATAAAAATAAAACGTGAATAAAATAATATAAGAAAAAAGAAGTAAATTAATTATTGGCTAGCAAAACACCATATACATGCTCGCGATACTACCAACCAAACTGATACAGCTTTTGATTCTATTGACCTGATTAAATATGTGATCAGAAACGTTAGCCAGGAGAGAATCTGTTTTCGTCAGACAACAGTAATGTGACTGTGAAGCGAGGTAAACAGCTTTGCGGTTTGTTAATATATCTAACTCAAGGGTTCAAGGGTTCCGAAACCAGAGGTCGCGACCCCAAATTGGGTCGGAGTGGTGAGTAGATAAGGTCGCAAACAGGTCATGGGGTCGCTGAGGTATGGTAGAGGATGGATGTACAAACCATCTAGGATTTGACAAACCATGATAACTTTAGCAGTTTGTATCATGGCTTACTGTAAAACAGGTTCATAGGCATCGCTCTATGCTTATGCTATAAATAATGTAGGTGCTTATTGTGACATCACTTGAAAGTTGTGTTTGGGGTCGTTCTGAAAGAAGCTTGGGAACTTCTGATCTAACTATTTACCTGAGGCTGGCTTCGTAGACTGCATCAACGTAAGACAGAAAACTACCAGTTTGTGATTGATGGCACCCAAGCGCACCAATTTATCACATAATACACGTTGAGCCAAAATTACTGAAAAATTAATTAAGTGAGCTCCGCTATATCCTAACACGAGCATCACAGCACAGGGTCGGATGAGAATTTAAAATGAAATGAAACCATGTGGATGTGATGACTGACTAATGGAAGCCTCGACTGGCGATTTGTATTACTAATATCCATGTTCGTCTAACTAATATTTTTACTTTCTGTTTTGAACTAGATTTGGGTTATTATCAAGGATTAATTACGTTAATCGACGAATACCGGTATATAAAATTTGGATAATAAAGTTAATGCACGGCATGTATATGTAATTAACCTCATTTTGTTAATATTTAGTCTATCACTGTGTAGTAGATGAATGCAATCTTTCATTTTTGTTCCAGAATCTGGATGGTAAATAACACAGATAAAGAAGTGATGTAGAGTTTCCTATAGTTGGTTTTACAATATGTGGACTGAATGTTGACGATTCTGATTTATAGGAATCATCTCTGCTACAAATTGGGACAGAGGAAATTGTCAACCTCTAGTTCTGCCTATTTGGAAGGATACGGTATATATCCAGGTAGGTGAGAGGTGCTGATGATGATAATTGTATATGAAGGCGGTAGCATTCGATTGTTATCAAAGTTATATATATATATATAATATGAAAAAGGCATGATGTAAGCAAAACTATGCTTTGTTGTGTTTCCGTGTAACTCGTGACTTCAACATCCTATTTGATTCTCATCGTCATCGTCCTTCAATGGCTGTCATTGTAGAGAATCAACTTCATAGCAATAAGTTAAATGACATCGAATCCAAATTTTTAATGCCCTATTAGAAAGGATGGGATGATATTCATATTGTAGTCTTTCAGCTTAGAATCTGCACGGCGAAAAATTGGTATTATGTCTCTGACTGCGTGACTCAACACAGTGACAATGCACACTTTCTGCAGTGAACGTCTCTGAATAAGCCTCAGAAAATTCTCAAATTACCACCTTGTGAGTAGAGTAATTAGCCTTGGTTTGGGAATCACTGCCACAATATGATGAAATAGTAATGTATTTGACCACATGTGATAACTTGTGGTCGGGCGTGGTAATGAATATGTACTGAAGTCCCAGTTTAAATCTATTTATGTCTGATAATATTCACCAACCATGCATGAGTTTTTTCTGTCTTTATCGTGATTTTCACAGAGTGATAATTCCCACCGATTTAGAAGGCAGATCCAAAACCGTAAGATCTTCGACATACTTCCTGTCAGCAGATGAAAAAAAACCACTCCCTGAGTTGGAATATCAATCGATGGGGAAAATTTCTTGCACGACAGAAACCAAATCGTTAAAGAAACAATGATTGCAATTGATTTCATTAGAAATATGCGTGACGTGAATTACAGTATTGTCCAGAACAAGTTTTTAGACTGCATTTAACATTTGATATTAGTACACCAATAATTAATTATATTTGCACATGATTGCAAGTGCAATTTTATTATTTTAAAATTTAATTTCTGAAAATATTGAAACGCCAATAAATATTGACCCACAAACGTTGCCATTGGTATTTTTGTCCGGACTCGGGGCAAGTTAATCATTTGCAACATTATTGCAATGTGTCACGTACGCGTATAGACTGTTCACTGCGCTAAACAATGTTATATGAAGGAGATCATTATGATTTTAGATAAACGAGGACACACTACTAAATATAGACATATTTTACGTCCGGCTTGTTGTCTACATAAATATTTTGGCGGCTCGCGAGGTTCGCAAAACAACTCAAATAAAAGTCTTTTCAAACCAGGTTATGGGGAAACGCATGATTTTACTCACATGGACTAACTATGTGTCGATATTGGTTAACAGTAACATTGACAATTTTTTCGGTATCGTTGTTTGTATTGGCTATATGTAGACAGATCTTTTCAATATATTTAGCTTCTTGGTGTGATCCATAATGTTGTGAAAAATAAGTCAGAATAAAGATGTTGACATTATTTTTCGCGTGGAGGGATCATGTTCCCGGTATTTGCTTCTTTAATTCTGAGCCATGCTCGTCCCCATCCCCGCGAGTAGAAACGGAAACAGAATTCAGACCTGATTTAACTATTTACAAGTCAAACTAGCTCAACTAATTTGGGTATTGCTTCTGCGAAATTTTTATATTGACATTTTTAATATTACATGGTTGGACAAGTGGGACATGTCGGGAAAGTGGGACACGACATTTTGGAGACACCCTTCCCCAAGTGTGCCGCCGCTCGATAACCAGTATTGGTTCTCGAGTCTTCTTTCACTCTGGAATGCGATTTTTTTTTTTATTTCCTTAAATTTGAGTATCTATAGTTCGTACTTTCAGCACGGTGAAGAAATAAATTACTGATCAATGAATCAGTTTGGTTAGATGAGTAAACATTCATTTATTGGACACCTAGTGGACATAACGATCGTTTCAATATTATGTTGTTCTTGTTCTTGTTGTTATTTGACACAGAATAACACACCTAGTGGAAATATTAAAAAAACGCTTTTCTCTTCGAATACTGGACCTATTGCTTTGAAATTTTCAGTGGTTGAAGATGAAATTTTTCCCCAGAAGGCTATTACTTTTATTCATTTTAAATATTTCTGTTAGCTCTGTGAGATTTGTTTTTGTTTGCTATGACGTCATTAAACGTTCTGCGGACATCGGACGCCATTTTGTGTCCTACTGTACTGCTTCGCTTGGTGTGAATATATTTGTAGACTGTGATCTGACGGTACGGTACACCGTACTGTACTGCGAACAGACGTGTCCATATATTTGGGCGTAGCTCTCTTGTTTTATCAGCATTAGTAGCCAAACCCTATGAGTTTCCCAATCGAACACCGGGATTACTAGCGTCAATGCATCTGATTCAATTATTATATCTGTAACACAAACATCAATTTATTACTTATCGATCTTAAGATCGGTAAGTATATTGATATGTATTTGTCTGTATGTCTGTCTGTCTGTGTGTCTGTTAGATGCACGCGATATCTCACGAAAGCGAGATTGAATCTGCTCCAGATTTTGCATGTGCATTCATCTTATCTCGGACCAGAAGCCTATTGATTTTGGGCGAATTATGTCGTATAATTAGCGAGTTATCAATCAATTATTGATATAGTGATCTAGATTTTTGTAAAGCGAGAGAATTTTGAAACCCGCCGAGTGTGTGTGTGCGATGCGTAGTGCGCAAGTTACAAGAGCGGATGAATCGAAACTGCAGTTTCTGTTTTGGGGGATCCCCTAACTATCGATCGATAAGTCTTCGGTTTCCAACCGATATTCTCGTTTTTATATTATCTGGAACATCCCTTTTTCAAACTAAAATAATGTGCACTATGAGTAATGCTCACAGACTATTGTTTTAACCCGTCTTCCGTGCATACTAAAGGTAATAACGAGAATATCGGTCAGAGACCGAAGACTTTTCGATCGAAAGTTAGGGGATCCCCCAAAACAGCGCTCTTACTCCATAGTGACACCTTGTGTCTCATCACTAATTAATTATAACCTCGCTAATTATACGACATAATTCATCCAAAATCAATAGGCTTCTGGTCCGACCCATGATGAATGCACATGCAAAATCTGGAGCAGATTCAATCTCGCTTTCGTGAGATATCGCGTGCATCTAACAGACATACAGACAAATACCTATCAACATACTTACCGATTAAAATCAATAAGTAATTACATAGTATCGAACCCCAGGTATCGCAATATCGACGGTTTTTCGTTGGTATCGGCGACAAATGTGGTATCGGTACATCTCTAGAACTATCAGGTTCATTTTATCCAAAAGGGCATTCGAATTGTCATTTTATGATATTTCAATGAGACTTTTGGCACTTTTTGTCACTGAGTAGCTCACCTATAATCACATAAGTGCGAATATACTATAAAACTTTATTTTATTTTATTTCTGGCTTATCCAATGTTCTTTAACATAAATACCATTTTATGCGGAAATATTAAGTAAAACTTGCTAAAGTTACAAAAATAATACTTGGATTAAATTAGTCAGATTTTGTCTGAAATATTAAACGTCTCAAAGCACTATTAAACCGTAAATATAAACCATCTTTTTACCATGTTATACTGAAGATGAATAACACATTTGTACATATGAACATTATGTATGAATTGATAGTCAATTTAAATTTGGAAGTTCATTATCCACAAGTTTAGAAGCAATCGCGTGGGAGATGCGAACAATGTGCACGGACACGTGGATTTGATACTGTTGTGTATTTACGTCATAGCTTGTTGTTTTTAACTCGGACTAGATTTGTGATTATGATGTCATAATTGGATTCGAATAATAAACGTCATAAAATGAACCTGTTTCGTTTAAAAAAAATATACAGCAGAAACATATAAAAATTCCTCTGTAGCAACAACATCAACTTCAAATGATCTCCAATATATACTATGATGTAACATAATGAACTATCTCTACTTTCTCTTCTACTCTTCAGTCGAAACGGTTGCGAAATTGGGTGTATCGGGGCTGTTAAATCTTCTGTTTATGTACAGCTGTGGGGTCCGAAGCGTAGTACAGTAAAAGCATACTAACTATGAACCGACGGAATAAAATGTCATGGCCGGTAGCTACTTTCCAACTGGAATTTGCTGACGAGCCCTTTTATTTGAACTAGCGGAGTTTTGGACATTAATTTTAGAATGTTGAATAAGCTAGTAAGCTGATGAATTGATCATCCGGTATTTTTACGGCACACGTAATCATTACCGGTAAGTCAGAAATTATCTTGCGCTAGTATTGTACTGGATTAATAAATGAGAAGAGGACATTTCACGGGAATTGTTTTTGATGGCACACCCTATACTAGAAGAACATGTCAGAAAACTCAACTCCAATGAAATTGAGGTCAATGATGCTTACAACTCATAAATTGATATATCAGATGCTTGTTTTGATATGACTGATCGCTGTGGTTATGGAAAGGCTGTGGGAAAAATATTGAACAAAATAGGCACAAAATTGTCAACCGGTGACTGAGGCAAAATCAGTAGTACGTGTCGCTAATAATCTGGAATCATGACAGGATTCAGGTAGTGAGAAATCAATGCTAGAAATTAATTTATTATGCCCAAGTGTAAAGAAGAAATCATCGAATCATCAATAGACAATCCTATCAGTTCTTGCATCTGCAATTACATAATCAAAACAAACCAACTACGCCTAAAATTAGGCTTACCATACGTCCCGCTTTTCAGCGTTTTGTCCCGCCGTCCCGATAAGTCAGCCAAAAGTCCCGCTTTTCCAGCATAATACACAAACATGTTCTCGTTACTGTTTTGTCTGTGTAGCGCAGCGCTAGCCTACTTACTGAAGGTGAATGCGTTCGTTTCCCGCTGATTCCCATTGATGGCAGACGTATCGCATGTAAAATCAATACTAATTAGTCTAAATTCGAATTATTTGTACCGGTATCGTTAACGTCAATTCCTTCCTATTTTTCGAACAGAACCCGATATTTGGACAGAGAATATGCGCATGAAATTGCGATAACAGTATGGTCAATAAAGACAGCCGAGACAGATTTAAATGTAGGAATGTAGGCCTATGTAGTAAAATCGGAAAATGTGAAGTTATAAAATCACAGCTAAGGGCTCGTTGTCCTTCGAGGCGTCCCGATTTGAAGTCACAAATATATGGTAACCCTACCTAAAATGAATCAGCTGTGCGGCCCTGTGCCTGTAGTGAAACACCTAATTATTTGTGTCAACTCGAATTCCAAAAATCATCATTCCGATAAGAGTTCAACACTGAATAGCAAATTATTGGAGGTAAATAAAACTGGAAATCTGAATTCCAAAGCTGATTCATACTTGAAAATCTCAAGTAAAGTTTCGAAAATAAACTTGTGTGCCTCTAATACTTTTTTATACCGTCCATCGCAAATTGACAAAAGTAGAATTCGATATACAGTATTCAATACAAACTATAGGTGTACAACAATTTTTTTTAAAGAGTGTAATGCAAGTTCTCAGAATTACCTTACAGGCAGACATATCTGCATGTGGTTATGGAAAAAAAGTGGAAATATCATGAATTGATAACTATTTGACAGGTTAACATGTTTATATTGTTATTGTTTACTTTAGTAATAGTACTTGGATGCTGACAGTAAAACTGTAGGCAGTCATACATGCAGTAATCTGGTGTTGAGAATTTTATTTTGTAATAATCATGTGATGGCATTGCAAAAATTTTTTGAGAATCGGAAATAATATTATCGGTTTAATTAAGGTTTATATTCGATTGTGAATATATTCGGTTCACCACAATACCACTGAGAGACGAGGAAAATTGAACTTATTCTAATTTGCTTATACATATAAAATATAAAAGTTGCTGTAGGTGACAGCACATTGCACTCGCGTACATTTGCACTTGTATACTTTTGCACCCACGGACATTTGCACCAAAACATTTTCACCAACAGATTTTAGCATCTGCATGGCTGTTTTAATCACAATTTACGTGCTGATTACAAGATAAAATTTTGAAAAATGCAAATTCTAAAAGTAAACAAATCGAGTAGATAGAAAGATATACTGATGATCATAGAAGTAAAAAAGTCTTATGAGACGAGTTACTTGATAGATTAGATCAGATCACTATTTGGAAATTATTCACAGATTCACTACAGATGAGCTATTTTCACATCTTTTCCATGCTGTAATCTCTAGCTATCTTATACTAATGTTCCATTTTGATCAAAATAAAGATTGTGAGTCATAATCTTTTTATCACCATTACGGGAATACTTCCATGAAACGCCTATCTGTGTATTCCTTTACTGTAATCTTGTCGGTTTCAACATTAGATGTTTTGTGACCAAACCCATCTTCATACTCGAATTCCTTCATCAAAGCGTTATCATGAGCTTGGCCAAAATACGCGATTGATCTTCGTGTATTCATCCTGTTACTTTGATCGCGAGGTGGCATTACACGATGACGCTGAATTAACAGAAAGCGACTTTTTAGATTCTTTAGAATATTGAAAAACATCATTTATCAATATTTCCTTACAATGAAGTGGCTTTATAGTTTAATATAATATGACATACACAAATAATTTAGTAATACGAAAATACCGTTGCACGTAGTCTTCCTCCACTCCATTTCTGCATCGTTTCGCCAAGATTTACGATTATTGTTCCTGGTATGGGTGTAACATCAGTAAATTCTCCTTTCGCATTCATTACCTAAAATGAACAATGATCATGTACAACGTTACTCAATTATCTGGATTAATATAGTTGATGTAATTTAAGCTCAATAAATAGTGATATATATATTTATCAAATCGATTTCGTCAAATTTTCTCCAGGATGCGTGGTTTACGGAGCCCACTTCGTTGTCACCAGCAATCTTGAATGTCGATTGCATTTTGGATACCGGCATTGTCTCGCAGGAGACTAATAACTGATTAACAGTAAATTTCTACGGTCCATTTCAACAATTTGCAAAAAATATTACGAATTTACGCTCACTTGTAATCCTCCATTTTGATCCTGGAATAACAGAATCAATGTTGTATGGTCAGCTATACGGAATTGGTTTTCTTTTAGAGTATCATAGGTGGGAACTGGCGGATAACTCACAACTTTTATCGTTGTCATATTTCCCTTTTTATTCATCAGCAAATGGCATTTACAAAAATATTCAGGATCCTGTAAAAAATATTTTGAATTCAAAAGTGGTTTAATTTATATAGTTAAACTGCCGTGCCCATACTGGCGGTATGATCACAATAAATTAGATCAATCCATTAAAATATTAGACTAGATGTTCCCAACCCTTATTGACGCATTCTTTCTTGCGATATGTGCAACTTATACTCTTGTTTTTGTACATTTTAAATAGTTTATAAATCATTCATATATATATATGCATTACAATAATACCAAATAGGTAAAAACTAATAATAATAGTACTACACGCAAATATAAAGTAAGATTTCCTCTCCTAAACATTGATATTCATCTCAGAGGAGGTTGGGAAATCTATTCAGACAATTCTGATGACTTACGCCAGTGGGAGTTCGGTTACTTATGAAAGTGGTATCTTTCAAATTTTTTATTTTTATATTATAAAAAAACAGGAAAGTTGGACTTTTACAGTTACAGTGCAGTTCTTTGTTTACAGTGACTACCATGTTTCCCCGAAAATAAAACTGAGTCTTATTTCAATTTTCTTTCAAAAAATAACACTAGGGCTTATTTTCGGGGAATGTCTTATACTTTCATTTATTAAAAACAAAATTACAAAGTAGAGAATTACGAGATTTTTAATTATACAAAATATGAAAACCAATATCCATTTAATTATAAATAACCCTATCTCAGGTCATTGAACCTTCTCCTCTCGCACAGGTTTCAGATTAATCATTTAAAACGTATAGGAGAGATTTCTTTTAACGACTCTGCAAAAAAAAACATTCGCTTTATTGATTAGGTCTTATTTTCAGGGTAGCTCTCATTTTCGGGGAAACACAGCAAATTAGAAACGTATTATTATCTTAATATTGTATGGCTGCGAAGTCTAGCGTGATGAACGAACTTACTTTTAATCGCATTGCACTTCCGAGAGCTTTTAACAGTCTCATCTCGAGTATTTTACATATATCAGCTAATGCTAAAAGCTTTTCTTTAAACTTTGGAACATTGGGCCAGGGTGTACTTTCGTCTTCCATGGCGGAACCAGCGATACGAAATCCTTCGTAGTAATCGAACTCTCGTTTTGGGTTAGCCATGTTGAAAAATAGATGAAAATCGTTAATATCAAATATTCGAACTCCAGCTATTTTGTTCATCAAACAAAAACTTTGTTAACGATTAGTTAATGCACCACAACATGTATATTTTGAGAACTTCACCAAATGGCGAATTGCCAATGCTTACTTTCCGCTTCCGACTGGATCATATCCAAATTCAAATTTTTTAAGGTAAAATTTTCTTTTCTCTTCTAAAGGAAGTGAGTAAAATTCCTCTGCGACTTTGTTTACTCCATCAATCGATTCACTAGACATAAACACAAAGTTGAAAACACTGCTTTATCTATTTACAATCACACGGTTTCATTTAATGTCTCGGCTTTTCTAGTTTTCACAATTCGGCAATGTCACATCTCAGATAATACGATAGATAAAAAAGCTTAATACTTTATTTAAGATTCAGATAGAACGGGTGATAGACAGAGGACCTTTTATATGGAGTGATTAAATAAAATATATATTCATCTTTACCTTGGTAATCCGTGATTTGACAAGTAGACGAATCCGGATGTCGTGAATGCGCGGTATAAGATCTTCCCCACATCATGGATGGTTTCATCACATATTTCTGCATCATCAACCTGAAGTCCACATTTTGATAGATCAACTATTGGAATTTCATCTGTCATAATTGTTTATGAACCTGACATTTATAGCCTACTCTCCAGAAATCAAATAAAGTTTGGTCTCACTACAAATAAAACCACATGCATATGAAAGTGATAATATTGTATAAATTCAAGTCGTGTCGCGTGCACGAGAGAGGGAAATGAACGCTCATATAAAAATAAAACGTGAATAAAATAATATAAGAAAAAAGAAGTAAATTAATTATTGGATAGCAAAACACCATATACATGCTCGCGATACTACCAACCAAACTGATACAGCTTTTGATTCTATTGACCTGATTAAATATGTGATCAGAAACGTTAGCCAGGAGAGAATCTGTTTTCGTCAGACAACAGTAATGTGACTGTGAAGCGAGGTAAACAGCTTTGCGGTTTGTTAATATATCTAACTCAAGGGTTCAAGGGTTCCCAAACCAGAGGTCGCGACCCCAAATTGGGTCGGAGTGGTGAGTAGATAAGGTCGCAAACAGGTCATGGGGTCGCTGAGGTATGGTAGAGGATGGATGTACAAACCATCTAGGATTTGACAAACCATGATAACTTTAGCAGTTTGTATCATGGCTTACTGTAAAACAGGTTCATAGGCATCGCTCTATGCTTATGCTATAAATAATGTAGGTGCTTATTGTGACATCACTTGAAAGTTGTGTTTGGGGTCGTTCTGAAAAAGCTTGGGAACTCCTGATCTAACTATTTACCTGAGGCTGGCTTCGTAGACTGCATCAACGTAAGACAGAAAACTACCAGTTTGTGATTGATGGCACCCAAGCCCACCAATTTATCACATAATACACGTTGAGCCAAAATTACTGAAAAATTAATTAAGTGAGCTCCGCTATATCCTAACACGAGCATCACAGCACAGGGTCGGATGAGAATTTAAAATGAAATGAAACCATGTGGATGTGATGATTGACTAATGGAAGCCTCGACTGGCGATTTGTATTACTAATATCCATGTTCGTCTAACTAATATTTTTACTTTCTGTTTTGAACTAGATTTGGGTTAATATCAAGGATTAATTACGTTAATCGACGAATACCGGTATATAAAATTTGGATAATAAAGTTAATGCACGGCATGTATATGTAATTAACCTCATTTTGTTAATATTTAGTCTATCACTGTGTAGTAGATGAATGCAATCTTTCATTTTTGTTCCAGAATCTGGATGGTAAATAACACAGATAAAGAAGTGATGTAGAGTTTCCTATAGTTGGTTTTACAATATGTGGACTGAATGTTGACGATTCTGATTTATAGGAATCATCTCTGCTACAAATTGGGACAGAGGAAATTGTCAACCTCTAGTTCTGCCTATTTGGAAGGATACGGTATATATCCAGGTAGGTGAGAGGTGCTGATGATGATAATTGTATATGAAGGCGGTAGCATTCGATTGTTATCAAAGGTATATATATATATAATATGAAAAAGGCATGATGTAAGCAAAACTATGCTTTGTTGTGTTTCCGTGTAACCCGTGTATGGTGGCCCATCGTTGTCACGTGTAAAATTTTAAAAAAAAATGAAAAAATAAAATGAAAAAGCGAAAATAAAAAAATAGTTGTGAAAAAACATGAAAATAATTGAAAAAATAAAAATAAAAAAAATTTAAATTAAAAAAAAATTGAAAAATAAAACAAACAAAAAAATTAAAAAAAAAATTAAGATTAAAAAAAAAATTAAAAAAAAAAAAAAAAATTTGAAAAAAAAATTGGATAAAAAGAAAATAAAAAGGTTGACAACGATGGTCCGCCTCGTGGCCCATCGTTGTCACGCGTTTTTATTTTTAGAAAATTTGATGCTGCTTGGGACCAACGTTGTCAGACTTAATCCTACACGCACAAATGTGTTTCTAACTCACTACTGATTTTCATGACCAATATCCAATAAATTCAACATGAAAATGTTCTACAAATTCTCCATGCTACAAGTTCAACCACAAGCAATATATTTATAATAAGGATAAGAGAATATAGAATTGGATACGAAAATTTGTTTTTACGTGTAGAAGGTAATTTAATTGGAAAATGCTGCTTAACTGCTCAGACACTCGTGCGATGCCGGTACGGTATGCAATCCGTACCGGTACCCATGCAATCACTCGTGAAAGAATGGGAGATGATGAGTGATTGTATGGCTACCGGTACGGTCAGACGCAAAGCGACTATAACCGACTACCGGTATTTGGTAAGACGGTACGGTACCGGCATCGCGAGTGTCCAGACAACTGAGTAGTTAAGCAGCATTCTCCAATTAAATTACCTTATACACGTAAAAACAAATTTTACGAATTTTCGTATTCAATTCTATATTCTCTTGTCATTATTATAAATATATTACTTCTTGTTGAACTTGTAGCATGGAGAATTTATAGAACATTTTCATATTGAATATTGCTCAAGAAAATCAGCAGTGAGTTTGAAACCCAGGGAACACATTTGTGCGCGTAGGATTATGCCTGACAACGTTGGTCCCAAGCAGAAGCAAATTTTCTAAAAATAAAAACGCGTGACAACGATGGGCCACGAGGCGGACCATCGTTGTCAACCTTTTTATTTTCTTTTTATTTAATTTTTTTTTTTAATTTTTTTTTTTTTTTTTTTTTTCGTTTTTATTTATTTATTTTTTTTTAATTTTAATTTTTTTTTTCATTTTTTTTTTAATTATTTTTATGCTTTTTTACAAAAAAATTTTTATTATCGGTTTTTTATTTTATTTTTATTTTCAATTTTACGCGTGACAACGATGGGCCACCATACCCGTGACTTCAACATCCTATCTGATTCTCATCGTCATCGTCCTTCAATGGCTGTCATTGTAGAGAATCAACTTCATAGCAATAAGTTAAATGACATCGAATCCAAATTTTTAATGCCCTATTAGAAAGGATGGGATGATATTCATATTGTAGTCTTTCAGCTTAGAATCTGCACGGCGAAAAATTGGTATTATGTCTCTGACTGCGTGACTCAACACAGTGACAATGCACGCTTTCTGCAGTGAACGTCTTTGAATAAGCCTCAGAAAATTCTCAAATTACCACCTTGTGAGTAGAGTAATTAGCCTTGGTTTGGGAATCACTGCCACAATATGATGAAATAGTAATGTATTTGACCACATGTGATAACTTGTGGTCGGGCGTGGTGATGAATATGTACTGAAGTCCCAGTTTAAATCTATTTATGTCTGATAATATTCACCAACCATGCATGAGTTTTTTCTGTCTTTATCGTGATTTTCACAGAGTGATAATTCCCACCGATTTAGAAGGCAGATCCAAAACCGTAAGATCTTCGGCATACTTCCTGTCAGCAGATGAAAAAAAACCACTCGCTGAGTTGGAATATCAATCGATGGGAAAAATTTCTTGCACGACAGAAACCAAATCGTTAACGAAACAATGCTTGCAATTGATTTCATTAGAAATAGGTAAGACGTGAATTACAGTATTGTCCAGAACAAGTTTTTAGACTGCATTTAACATTTGATATTATTACACCAATAATTATATTTGCACATGATTGCAAGTGCAATTTTATTATTTTAAAATTTAATTTCTGAAAATATTGAAACGCCAATAAATATTGACCCACCAACGTTGCCATTGGTATTTTTGTCGGGTCTCGAGGGCGAGTTAATCATTTGCAACATTATTGCAATGTGTCACGTACGCGTATAGACTGTTCACTGCGCTAAACAATGTTATATGAAGGAGATCATTATGATTTTAGATAAACAAGGACACACTACTAAATATAGACATGTTTTTCACGTCCGGCTTGTTGTCTACATAAATATTTTGGCGGCTCGCGAGGTTCGCAAAACAACTCAAATAAAAGTCTTTTCAAACCAGGTTATGGGGAAACGCATGATTTTACTCACATGGACTAACTATTTGTCGATATTGGTTAACAGTAACATTGGCAATTTTTTCGGTATCGTTGTTTGTATTGGCTATATGTAGACAGATCTTTTCAATATATTTAGCTTCTTGGTGTGATCCATAATGTTGTGAAAAATAAGTCAGAATAAAGATGTTGACATTATTTTTCGCGTGGAGGGATCATGTTCGCGGTATTTGCTTCTTTAATTCTGAGCCATGCTCGTCCCCATCCCCGCGAGTAGAAACAGAAACAGAATTCAGACCTGTTTTTAGTTATTTACCAGTCAAACTAGCTCAACTAATTTGGGTATTGCTTCTGCGAAATTTTTATATTGACATTTTTAATATTACATGGTTGGACAAGTGGGACACGTGGTACAAGTGGGACATGTCGGGAAAGTGGGACACGACATTTTGGAGACACCCTTCCCCAAGTGTGCCGCCGCTCGATAACCAGTATTGGTTCTCGAGTCTTCTTTCACTCTGGAATGCGATTTTTTTTATATTTATTTATTGGACACGTAGTGGACATAATGATCGTTTCAATATTATGTTGTTCTTGTTCTTGTTGTTATTTGACACAGAATAACACACCTAGTGGAAATATTAAAAAAACGCTTTTCTCTTCGAATACTGGATCAATTGCTTTGAAATTTTCAGTGGTTGAAGATGAAATTTTTTCCCAGAAGGCTATTACTTTTATTCATTTTAAATATTCCTGTTAGCTCTGTGAGATTTGTTTTTGTTTGCTATGACGTCATTAAACGTTTTGCGGACATCGGACGCCATTTTGTGTCCTACTGTACTGCTTCGCTTGGTGTGAATATATTTGTAGACTGTGATCTGACAGTACGGTACACCGTACTGTACTGCGAACAGACGTGTCCATATATTTGGGCGTAGCTCTCTTGTTTTATCAGCATTAGTAGCCAAACCCTATGAGTTTCCCGATCGAACGCCGGGATTACTAGCGTCAATGCATCTGATTCAATTATAATATCTGTAACACAAACATCAATTTATTTTTATATTATCTGGAACATCCCTTTTTCAAACTAAAATAATGTGCACTATGAGTAATGCTCACAGACTATTGTTTTAACCCGTCTTCCGTGCATACTAAAGGTAATAACGAGAATATCGGTCAGAGACCGAAGACTTTCCGATCGAAAGTTAGGGGATCCCCCATAACAGCGCTCTTACTCCATAGTGACACCTTGTGTCTCATCACTAATTAATTATAACCTCGCTAATTATACGACATAATTCATCCAAAATCAATAGACTTCTGGTCCGACCCATGATGAATGCACATGCAAAATCTGGAGCAGATTCAATCTCGCTTTCGTGAGATATCGCGTGCATCTAACAGACAGACAGACAGACAGACAGACAGACAGACATACAGACAAATACCTATCAACATACTTACCGATTGAAATCAATAAGTAATTACATAGTATCGAACTCCAGGTATCGCAATATCGACGGTTTCGTTGGTATCGGCGACAAATGTGGTATCGGTACATCTCTAGAACTATCAGGTTCATTTTATCCAAAAGAGCATTCGAATTGTCATTTTATGATATTTCAATGAGACTTTTGGCACTATTTGTCACTGAGTAGCTCACCTATAATCACATAAGTGCGAACATACTATAAAACTTTATTTTATTTTATTTCTGGCTTATCCAATGTTCTTTAACATAAATACCATTTTATGCGGAAATATTAAGTAAAACTTGCTAAAGTTACAAAAATAATACTTGGATTAAATTAGTCAGGTTTTGTCTGAAATATTAAACGTCTCAAAGCACTATTAAACCGTAAATATAAACCATCTTTTTACCATGTTATACTGAAGATGAATAACACATTTGTACATATGAACATTATGTATGAATTGATAGTCAATTTAAACTTGGAAGTTCATTATCCACAAGCTTAGAAGCAATCGCGTGGGAGATGCGAACAATGTGCACGGACACGTGTATTTGATACTGTTGTGTATTACGTCATAGCTTGTTGTTTTTAACTCGGACTAGATTTGTGATTATGATGTCATAATTGGATTCGAATAAAAATGTTGCACGTCATAAAATGAACCTGTTTCGTTTAAAAAAAAATATACAGCAGAAACATATAAAAATTCCTCTGTAGCAACAACATCAACTTCAAATGATCTCCAAAATCTACTATGATGTAACATAATGAACTATCTCTACTCTCTCTTCTATACTCTTCAGTCGAAACGGTTGCGAAATTGGGTGTATTGGGGCTGTTAAATCTTCTGTTTATGTACAGCTGTGGGATCCGAAGCGTAGTACAGTAAAAGCATACTTACTATGAACCGACGGAATAAAATGTCATGGCCGGTAGCTAATATCCAACTGGAATTTGCTGACGAGCCCTTTTATTTGAACTAGCGGAGTTTTGGACATTAATTTTAGAATGTTGAATAAGCTAGCAAGCTGATGAATTGATCATCCGGTATTTTTACGGCACACGTAATCATTACCGGTAAGTCAGAAGTTATCTTGCGCTAGTATCGTACTGGATTAATAAATGAAGAGGACATTTCACGGGAATTGTTTTTGATGGCACACCCTATACTAGAAGAGCATATCAGAAAACTCGACTCCAATGAAATTGAGGTCAATGATGCTTACAACTCATAAATTGATATATCAGATGCTTGTTTTGATATGACTGATCGCTGTGGTTATGGAAAGGCTGTGGGAAAAATATTGAACAAAATAGGCACAAAATTGTCAACCGGTGACTGAGGCAAAATCAGAAGTACATGTCGCTAATAATCTGGAATCATGACAGGATTCAGGTAGTGGGAAATCAATGCTAGAAAATATTTTATAATGCCCAAGTGTAAAGAAGAAATCATCGAATCATCAATAGACAATCCTATCAGTTCTTGCATCTGCAATTACATAATTAAAACAAACCAACTACGCCTAAAAATAGGTTTACCATACGTCCCGCTTTAGGCGGGACAGTCCCGCTTTTCAGCGTTTTGTCCCGCCGTCCCGATAAGTCAGCCAAAAGTCCCGCTTTTCCAGCATAATACACAAACATGTTCTCGTTACTGTTGTTTCTGAGTAGCGCAGCGCAAGCCTACTTACTGAAGGTGAATGCGTTCGTTTCCCGCTGATTCCCATTGATGGCAGACGTATCGCATGTAAAACCAATACTAATTAGTCTAAATTCGAATTATTTGTACCGGTATCGTTAACGTCAATTCCTTCCTATTTTTCGAACAGAACCCGATATTTGGACAGAGAATATGCGCATGAAATTTCGATAACAGTATGGTCAATAAAGACAGCCGCGACAGCTTTAAATTTAGGAATGTAGGCCTATGTAGTAAAATCGGAAAATCTGAAGTTATAAAATCACAGCTAAGGGCTCGTTATCTTTCGAGGCGTCCCGATTTGAAGTCACAAATATATGGTAACCCTACCTAAAATGAATCAGCTGTGCGGCCCTGTGCCTGTAGTGAAACACATAATTATTTGTGTCAACTCGAATTCCAAAAATCATCATTCCGATAAGAGTTCAACAATGAATAGCAAATTATTGGAGGTAAATAAAACTGGAAATCTGAATTCTAAGGCTGATTCATACTTGAAAATCTCAAGTAAAGTTTCGAAAATAAACTTGTGTGCCTCTAATACTTTTTTATACCGTTCATCGCAAATTGACAAAAGTAGAATTCGATATACAGTATTCAATGCAAACTATAGGTATACAACAATTTTTTTAAAGACTGTAATGCAAGTTCTCAGGATTACAGAATTACCTTACAGGCAGACATATCTGCATGTGGTTATGGAAAAAAGTGGAAATATGATAAATTGATAACTATTTGACAGTTTAACATGTTTATATTGTTATTGTTTACTTTAGTAATAGTACTTGGATGCTGACAGTAAAACTGTAGGCAGTCATACATGCAGTAATCTGGTGTTGAGAATTTTATTTTGTAATAATCATGTGATGGCATTGCAAAATTTTTTTGAGAATCGAAAATAATATTATCGGTTTAATTAAGGTTTACATTTGATTGTGAATATATTCGGTTCACCACAATACCACTGAGAGACGAGAAAAATTGAACATATTCTAATTTGCTTTACAACATATAAAAGTTGCTGTAGGTGACAGCACATTTGCACCCGCGTACATTTGCACTTGTATACTTTTGCACCCACGGACATTTGCACCAAAACATTTTCACCAACAGATTTTTAGCATCTGCATGGCTGTTTTAATCACAATTTACGTGCTGATTACAAGGTAAAATTTTGAAAAATGCAAATTCTAAAAGTAAACACATCGAGTAGATAGATAGATATACCGATGACCATAGAAGTAAAAAGGTCTTATGAGACCACTTGCTTGATAGATTAGATCAGATCACTATTCGGAAATTATTCACAGATTCACTACAGATGAGCTATTTTCACATATTTTCCATGCTGTAATCTCTGGCTATCTTATACTAATGTTCCATTTTGATCAAAATAAAAATTGTGAGTCATATTCTTTTTATCACCATTACGGGAATACTTCCATGAAACGCCTATCTGTGTATTCCTTTACTGTAATCTTGTCGGTTTCATCATTAGATGTTTTGTGACCAAACCCATCTTCATACTCGAATTCCTCCATCAAAGCGTTATCATCAGCTTGGCCAAAATACGCGATTGATCTTCGTGTATTCATCCTGTTACTTTGATCGCGAGGTGGCATTACACGATGACGCTGAATTAACAGAAAGCGACTTTTTAGGATCTTTAGAATATTGAAAAACATCATTTATCAATAATTCCTTACAATGAAGTGGCTTTATAGTTTAATATGATATGACATACACAAATAATTTAGTAATACGTAAATACCGTTGCACGTAGTCTTCCTCCACTCCATTTCTGCATCGTTTCGCCAAGATTTACGATTATTGTTCCTGGTATGGGTGTAACATCAGTAAATTCTCCTTTCGCGTTCATTGCCTATAGTGATATATATTTATCAAATCGATTTCGGCAAATTTTCTCCAGGCTGCGTGGTTTACGGACCCCACTTCGTTGTCACCAGCAGCAATCTTGAATGTCGATTGCATTTTGGATACTGGCATTGTCTCGCAGGAGACTAATAACTGATTAACAGTAAATTCCTACGGTCTATTTCAACAATTTGCAAAAAATATTACGAATCTACGCTCACTTGTAATCCTCCATTTTGATCCTGGAATAACAGAATCAATGTTGTCCAATCTGTATGGTCAGCTATACGGAATTGGTTTTCTTTTAGAGTATCATCGGTGGGAACTGGCGGATAACTCACAATTTTTATCATTGTCATATTTCCCTTTTTATTCATCAGCGAATGGCATTTACAAAAATATTCAGGATCCTGTAAAAAATATTTTGAAATCAAAAGTGGTTTAATTTATATAGTTAAACTGCCGTGCCCATACTGGCGGTAGGATCACATTAAATTAGATCAATCCATTAAAATATTAGACTAGATGTTCCCAACCCTTATTGACGCATTCTTTCTTGCGATATGTGCAACTTATACTCTTGCTTTTGTACATTTTAAATAGTTTATAAATCATGCATATATATATATATGCATTACAATAATACCAAATAGGTAAAAACTAATAATAATAGTACTACACGCAAATATAAAGTAAGATTTCCTCTCCTAAACATTGATATTCATCTCAGAGGAGGTTGGGAAATCTATTCAGACAATTCTGATGACTTACGCCAGTGGGAGTTCGGTTACTTATGAAAGCGGTATCTTTCAAATTTTTTATTTTATATATTATAAAAAAACAGGAAAGTTGGACTTTTACAGTTACAGTGCAGTTCTTTGTTTACAGTGACTACCATGTTTCCCCGAAAATAAAACTGAGTCTTATTTCAATTTTCTTCCAAAAAATAACACTAGGGCTTATTTTCGGGGAATGTCTTATATTTTCATTTATTAAAAACAAAATTACAAAGTAGAGAATTACGAGATTTCTAAATATACAAAATATGAAAACCAATATGCATTTAATTATAAATAACCCTATCTCAGGTCATTGAACCTTCTCCTCTCGCACAGGTTTCAGATTAATCATTTAAAACGTATAGGAGAGATTTTTTTTAACGACTCTGCAAAAAAAAACATTCGCTTTATTGATTAGGTCTTATTTTCAGGGTAGCTCTCATTTTCGGGGAAACACAGCAAGTTTAGAAACGTATTATTATCTTAATACTGTATTTCTGCGAAGTCTAGCGTGATGAACGAACTTACTTTTAATCGCATTGCACTTCCGAGAGCTCTTAACAGTCTCATCTCGAGTATTTTACATATATCAGCTAATGCTAAGAGCTTTTCTTTAAACTTTGGAACATTGGGCCAGGGTGTACTTTCGTCTTCCATGGCGGAACCAGCGATACGAAATCCTTCGTAGTAATCGAACTCTCGTTTTGGGTTAGCCATGTTGAAAAATAGATGAAAATCGTTAATATCAAATATTCGAACTCCAGCTATTTTGTTCATCAAACAAAAATTTTGTTAACGATTAGTTAATGCACCACAACATGTATATTTTAAGAACTTCACCAAATGGCGAATTGCCAATGCTTACTTTCCGCTTCCGACTGGATCATATCCAAATTCAAATTTTTTAAGGTAAAATTTTCTTTTCTCTTCTAGAGGAAGTGAGTAAAATTCTTCTGCGACTTTGTTTACTCCATCAATCGATTCACTAGACATAAACACAAAGTTGAAAACACTGCTTACAATCGCACGGTTTCATTTGATGTCTCGGCTTTTCTAGTTTTCACAATTCGGCAATGTCACATCTCAGATAATACGATAAATAAAAAAGCCTAATACTTTATTTAAGATTCAGATAGAACGGGTGATAGACAGAGGACCTTATATATGGAGTGATTAAATAAAATATCAATTCATCTTTACCTTGGTAATCCGTGATTTGACAAGTAGACGAATCCGGATGTCGTGAATGCGCGGTATAAGATCTTCCCCACATCATGGATGGTTTCATCACATATTTCTGCATCATCAACCTGGAGTCCACATTTTGATAGATCAACTATTGGAATTTCATCTGTCATAATTGTTTATGAACCTGACATTTATGGCCTACTCTCCAGAAATCAAATAAAGTTTGGTCTCACTACAAAAAAACCACATGCATATGAAAGTGATAATATTGTGTTAATACAAGTCGTGTCGCGAGAGAGGGAAATGAACCCACATATAAAAATAAAACGTGAATAAAATAATATAAGATTAAAGAAGTAAATTAAATATTGGATAGCAAAACACCATATGCATGCTCGCGATACTACCAACCAAACTGATACAGCTTTTGATTCTATTGACCTGATTAAATATGTGATCAGAAACGTTAGCCAGGAGAGAATCTTTTTTCGTCAGACAACAGTAATGTGACTGTGAAGCGAGGTAAACAGCTTTGCGGTTTGTTAATATATCTAACTCAGGGGTTTCCAAACCAGAGGTCGCGACCCCAAATTGGGTCGGAGTGGTAAATAGATATTAGATAGGGTCGCAAACAGGTCATGGGGTCGCTGAGGTATGGTAGAGGATGGATGTACAAACCATCTAGGATTTGACAAACCATGTTAAATTTAGCAGTTTGTAGCATGGCTTACTGTAAAACGGGTCCATAGGCATGCTCTATGCTTATGCTATAAATAATGTAGGTGCTTATTGTGACACACTTAAAAGTTGTTTTTGGAGTCGTCCTGAAAGAAGCTTTGGAACCCCTGATCTAACTATTTACATGAGGCTGACTTCGTAGACTGCGTCAACGTAAGACAGAAAACTACCAGTTTGTGATTGATGGCACCCAAGCGCACCAATTTATCACATAATACACGTTGAGCCAAAATTACTGAAAAATTGATTAAGTGAGCTCCGCTATATCCTAACACGAGCATCACAGCACAGGGTTGGATGAGAATTTAAAATGAAATGAAACCATGTGGATGTGATGACTGACTAATGGAAGCCTCGACTGGCGATTTGTATTACTAATATCCATGTTCGTCTAACTAATATTTTTACTCTCTGTTTTGAACTAGATTTGGGTTATTATCAAAGATTAATTACGTTAATCGTCGAATGCCGGTATATAAAATTTGGATAATAAAGTTAATACACGGCATGTATATGTAATTAACCTCATTTTGTTAATATTTAGTCCATCCTTGTGTAGTAGATGTATGCAATCTTTCATTTTTGTTCTAGGATCTGGATGGTAAATAACGCAGATAAAGAAGTGATTTATAGGAATTATCTCTGCTACAAGTTGGGACAGAGGAAATTTTCAACCTCTACTTCTGCCTATTTGGAAGGATACGGTATATATCAAGGTAGGTGAGAAGTGCTGATGATGATAATTGTATATGGAGACGATAGCATTCGATTGTTATCAAAAATCCAAAGATTAGTTATATATATATATAATATGAAAAAGTCATGATGTAAGCAAAATTACGCTTTGTTGTGTTTCCGTGTAACCCGTGACTTCAACATCCTATCTGATTCTCATCGTCATCGTCCTTCAATGGCTGTCATTGTAGAGAATCAACTCCATAGCTTTAGGTTAAAGGACATCGAATCCAAATTTTTGATGCCTTATTAGAAAGGATGGGATGATATTCATATTGTAGTCTTTCAGCTTAGAATCTGCACGGCGAAAAATTGGTATTATGTCTTTGACTGCGTGACTCAACACAGTGACAATGCACACTTTCTGCAGTGAACGTCTCTGAATAAGCCTCAGAAAATTGTCAAATTACCACCTTGTGAGTAGACTAATTAGCCCCGGTTTGGGAATTACTCCCACAATATGATGAAATAGTAATGTATTTGACCACATGTGATAACTTATGGTCGGGCGTGGTAATGAATATGTACTCTGAAGTCCCAGTTTAAATCTAGTTATGTCTGGTAATATTCACCAACCATGCATGAGTTTTTTCTGTCTTTATCGTGATGTTCACAGAGTGATAATTCCCACCGATTTAGAAAGCAGATCCAAAACCATAAGATCTTCGGCATACTTCCTGTCAGCAGATGAAAAAAACCCACTTCCTGAGTTGGAATATCAATCCATGGGAAAATTTTCTTGCACGACAGAAACCAAATCGTTAAAGAATTTATTTTAATATTTTAAAATTTAATTTCTGAAAATATTGAAACGCCAATGAATATTGACTCACAAACGTTGCCATTGGTATTTTTGTCGGGTCTCGAGGGCGAGTTAATCATTTGCAACATTATTGCAATGTGTCACGTACGCGTATAGACTGTTCACTGCGCTAAACAATGTTATATGAATGAGATCATTATGATTTTAGATAAACGAGGACACACTACTAAATATATACATATTTTACGTCCGGCTTGTTGTCTACATAAATATTTTGGCGGCTCGCGAGGTTTGCAAAACAACTCATATAAAAGTCAACTTTCCAAACCAGGTTATGGAGAAACGCATGATTTTACTCACATGGACTAACTATGTGTCGATATTGGTTAACAGTAATATCGGCAATTTTTTCGGTATCGTTGTTTGTATTGGCTATATGTACACAGATATTTTCAATATATTTAGCTTCTTGGTGTGATCCATAATGTTGTGAAAAATAATTTAGAATAAAGATGTTGACATTATTTTTCGCGTGGAGGGATTATGTTCGCGGTATTTGCCTCTTTAATTCTGAGCCATGCTCGTCCCCATCCCCGCGAGTAGAAACGGAAACAGAATTCAGACCTGTTTTTAGCTATTTATCAGTCAAACTAGCTCAACTAATTTGGGTTTTGCCTCTGCCAAATTTTTATATTGACATTTTTAATATTACATGGTTGGACACGTGGTACAAGTGAGACATGTGGGGAAAGTGGGACACGACATTTTGGAGACACCCTTCCCCAAGTGTGCCGCCGCTCGATAACCAGTATTGGTTCTCGACGTCTTTTTTCACTCTGGAATGCGATTTTTTTTATATTTCATTAACTTTGAGTATCTATAGTTCGTACTTTCAGCACGGTGAAGAAATAAATTATTGATTACTGATCAATGAATCAGTTTGGTTGGATGAGTAAATATTTATTTATTTTACCAGCATTAGTAGCCAAACCCTATGAGTTTCCCACGTGAACACCGGGATTACTAGCGTCAATGCATCCGATTCAATTAATACATCTGTAACACAAACATCAATTTCTTATTATATTCGTTGGTATCGGCGACAAATGTGGTATCGGTACATCTCTAGAACTATCAGGTTCATTTTATGCAAAAGAGCATTCGACATGTCATTTTATGATATTTCAATGAGACTTTTGGCACTATTTGTCACTGAGTAGCTCACCTATAATCACATTAAGTGCGAATTTTCTATAAAACTTTATTTTTTTTTATTTCTGGCGTATTCAATCTTCTTTATCATAAAAGTCATTTTATGCGAAAATATTAGGTAAAACTTGCTAAAGTTACAAAAATAATACTTGGATTAAATTAGTAAGGTTTTGTCTGAAATATTAAACGTCTAAAAGCACTATTAAACCATCTTTTACCATGCTATACTGGAAATAAATAACACATTTGTACATATGAACATTATGTTGAAGTTTATTGTTTTTGAAAACGTCAGTGTACATAACGATCGTTTCAATAATATGTTGTTGTTGTTGTTATTATTCTTCTCTTTCGTCATGATGAAATCGCTTTTCTCTTCGAATACTGGACCAATTGCTTTGAAAATTTCAGTAGTTGGAGATTGATTTTTTTTCCAAAAGGCTATTACTGTTATTTATTTCAAAAATTTCTGTGAACTTTAAGAGATTCGTTTTTCGAGTGCGAAGATGTGATCAGAATAAAAACAGCGATGGCGATTCCACGAGGACAGCTGAGAAGCCAACGTAATTCTCGCTTCGCTAAGATTTGTTTGTGCGGAACAATGATGTGCGCGTACCGG